GGCGTTCCAACAGTTCAGTTGTTGTTGAGCATTCATTCAATGAGCATGTGCGATGGATTTTTTACAATAGCTCTAGGGGTGTCAGTTTGAATGGAAAAAACTACAGAGCTACAGTACATGTGTCTTATATACATGCATGCATATATAAGATGCGGCGAATTGGAGATTGGAAAGCAACCGATCCTTAACACGTTGCGGTTAAGTTTAACTTATCCCAAGATAAGTTTATTCTCTTCATTAAGTTCTTGATTCGTGTATTCCCAGCGCAGCGAGACCTGATGAGGTTTAGTGATTTAGCCATCTGAAACAATGGGGCGGGTTTATCACGTCTTCAGAATCATCAAGTGTCAAGTAAGTGACAACTCGAAGTTGAGTTTTGATGGTTCCCCTGAAACAGTCTGGATCAAAGTGACTTCGTGTGATAACCCACGACTTCGGAATGGGGTCCCGGTCCGTTCTGGGACCACGCCTGGTGCAACGGTACATCGGATTACCTTTACTCCTTAGGACTAATACATGGTAGGAGCTTATTAAGAGGCACGCAAAGATAGGGGAGTAATGTTTATCAATTGGAGCTCGATTGATCTATCCCCATTCTGCCCCATCCTGCCCATCGTCATCATTGTTACCAAACCCTCGTGTTAACGACAGGTAATAATGACAAGACACATATATGTATAAACAATATATTATTATATACCAAGACCTGTACATTATAGCACCACCACTACGGTTCTTCTGTGATGGAACTCATCTTATCTTTATTGACATGTGCAATAGCTTTCAGTGAAGGAAGAGGCTGAATATCATTTTGACAGCAAACATCGAATGCTCCTTCGTCTTTTCCCATCTGAACATCGTCAATATTATCGCCTTTTAATATTATGGCTAGGATAGGGAAAGTACGGGTTCTGCTAACGGCACGAGCCGGCGAAAAGTCTCACGGCCTAGTCGGATTGCTGATTTCTAACTGGAACCCTAGCAACGCCAAGAATTACCCCTGTATCGATGAATATCCCCATAATAAATATCGTGAGGCTGGGTTTACCGATCGTTGCCCGACCGGTCGAACGCTGTAATGGTAATGTACAGCGTACACGCCAAATTGAAGGTTACAATATAGCGAGGCAAGATTTTTTTCAAGCATCGTGAAGCTAGTCGACTTTCTTTCATGTGCTAATGCTTTTTGCGCGAATATCGTTATCCTTAAGCTAAACTTTCCGCTATCAACATATTTCAATTAAACGAAATGCGACTGTAATAACTGTTAGATGAAATTAATAGTTATAGAGTTTTCAAATTTCATGTTCTTTTAGTATAGAACTTAATGTGAAGTTTATTTCAAGAAGTAGCCAATCATTATCACTTGACCTACCTAATCTGGATTCTTATTTATAAGACCTAGTGGCATCTATGGTTTTGCGATTCCCGAAGACCTTGATAAATTTGAGGTTCCGATCGAGGGTGATTAAGATGGAGGCGGAAGAGTCGGCTTCCCGTAGCTTTCCGTCGCCTCCCTATCCCCCATCCCATGCCAACGCTATGTATGCCACGCCATGAAATTCAGATCATACCGAACCATAGAAGCATCCATACCATGTCATCCTTTCTAGGATTATTACCCCTCATTTTCCTCTCTCTATCCCCCCCTCCTCTTCAAAGTATCTTTTCATATATTCCGCCTAAGTTTTAAGGATGATACGGATTTTAGGGCACCACTTAGAAGCAAGTGCAGCCGGTCGACTATTCCAAGCCCACCTAAATGCAACATACTGATGTGCTATCTTCCGTGCGCTGCACTCCCGCCTGCAAGTTGATATGCGAGAATGTCGTGATAATAAACAACGTCAATGATATGTTGTTGAATTTGCGACAACTTGGATATTAAGTTGGCGCTACTAGTTACAACGTTGTCTTGGCGACGAGGACAAAGAAATAAAAAGATAAAATAAATATTTAACTTAAGTGTTAGCTTGTGTAAGACTGGAGTGTCTTAACATTTTATATTTTTATATATTCTAGATATGTACTCGCAGTAAGTACCGATACATGTATAAGCTGAGTGGCGATGGCGTTGAAGAAATTATTAGAAAGAGAGTTGATGGAAGCTTTTTCGAATTCTTAATATTAATACTAATAACCATAATTCTATGTCATGTAAGTATACGCTTCTTGAATTGCTTGTGTAATAGCTCTTTATAATCAACCTAACAAAAAGTAAAGTTCTCATTAGCTTGTTTAAACTACCTACGTATGTAACTAAGTACCTACCAGGTAAGTTGCGGAGATATCCATAATCCATAGGTACTACCTAGTACCTACGCGCAGGTTCCGGTATGGCCTAAGGAAAGAACTGATGGAGAGGGTCCTCTTAATTATGTGTGTACCTAGATACTTGACCTTATCCATGTCAATGTCAGCGTACATTTACATCCCAGAACCTGGGCCATGCTCTTTTTCTCTCTTCCATGATCCATAAACCCTGATCCCTGAGGTTTAAACCCCATTTTATCTACCTATGTACCTTTACACATATCCATAATCCCCTTCCCCTAGTATTATAGCTACAATCTGCAACCGCGCCAGGAGGGTTGGCAGTACCTTGACGCAGCTCAACGGGTACCTGAGTTTTTGCTGATGACAAGCCTGTTGAGCAGGGTAGCTTTCTCAAGCACGAAGTATTTTTGACATGGGGGAAATCGCTCGTGGGTACCTCGATGTGCTAACTTTCCTTGCCCAAGTAGTAGTAGAGACGATCGAGAGTGAGAGCAAGAGCAAGCGTGAGAGTAAAAGTGAGAGCGGAAAGAAGCTCTCTCATCGTTGTCATCTGTGTTATTCCGTATTCCGTTTATTGTCTTGTCACTATCACTACCACATTATTCACCACCATTACCACCTCTCCCACCATCTTCTATCACAGATTCTCCAATTGACCGGCGCTGTCACCTGACATCCTGATCACATTTTAATCTGTCTTACGCCTTAAGTTTGGCGAAAGGAATCCCATCTTAAACGTCGCAACACACTCGGCTCGTTCGGTACAGAAACCGAGACGTTCTCGTTCACGTCCAACATCCACATCAACCAAGATTGATGATAATATAGGCAAACGCTGTTTAGTATAGCAGGCCTAATTCATGGTTACCAATCCGAAAGACTCGGTTGACAACCTGGTTTTCGAGTTTCCTTATTAGCGAATAACGCACATACGAAAAAATACCCACGGACTTTGGATCAACACGGACCTATTCTGACGATTCGCAACTAAGGAACGAAACCACTGGAGGCGCCCACCGTAACCACCCTCACCATTTTACTTCGCATCATTATATATTTTTATATCGACACTAGCCGCTTTGGAATCTTCGCACTGCAAGGGCTCTCGCCTTTTTTCTAAAGGGATCGCCGTTGTGGTATTCCCCTTGCGATCTCGTCAATTTCTGTAGCATATGCCCGTTGCTACGGACTGAATTTGGTTGTGCTCGAGCCCTCTCCTTTCCCTTTTTGCGATCACCACTTAGGGACCCCACAACTGGGAAAAGAAGACATCCCATCTTCATACAGCTTCCCAACTGCTTGAGGGGGTAATAGCCATCCTCCATAATATCTGTCTTAATACAGGCACAAACACAGATACACTGCTCCTAGGTGAATACTGGGCTAGATGCACTAGTTTATCTGCCATAGTGATCACTGGACCGTATGTCACCACTTGGCTCTGGCATATAACATCCCACTCTGCCACCACTTTGGAGGCTCTGGCCTAGATATCCGCATTGTGTCTGGTCTCTTTTATCGAATTTGTGTTGGCTGGCCTCTTCTATTTATGCCATGGTCCCGATTGCTGAATAAGGTCGCCGATAAAGCAAACTCCTAACTGCCTTGGATACTAAGGAAGGTTTCTACTATAAACCGTAACAACGTCGACTCCAGAGGCTACCTGTCGTTATTTGGAGTAGGGAGGCCGATTCCTGTTGGTTAACGCACTAGGGGGACCGCGTTCCTGGAGAAGTTCTGTGCGCTGGCAGCAAGATATTCTTAAGTAGAGAGGAGGTGAGACGAACTTCTCATAACCTCTCTGTCCTTGATTATACTGCGCCCCAGTAACAAGCCGAATCTGGTCACGACACTGGTCTCAACCTCCGAATTTGGTCTGAACTGTCCGAGAACTTAGGATTTCCATTGATCGACCTAGCTGTATTTGAGGAACCCGAACCTAACTTCAGCCGACTTGCCACTCCTAACTGTGAAACATAGTACGGCCCCATCGAGGTCAGCACTTAGCGCCCCCTAATTCCTGGTTACGTCTTCGATTTCGCTGCAGAACATAGGTCTGCTGCTTGACCACACAGACTGGTTGATGATCTAGCCCGTCCGGCGTAACCTATCACTTCGTTCCTTAATTCTTAAGTTCGACTAGTTGTGCGCTGAGACCTTTTGTTTATACGTAAGTTGTTGATCCCCATTGCTTAAACGACGGTTTCGTCTTCTTTTTATACTTATTCTCTTCTTTTGATCACATCAGACCGACCCGTGGTCAGGAATTTAGCCGATATCGCCAGACTTCTCTTGCTTAAACTTTCTACTCGCCAAGAGCAGCACTATAATTGGAGTCAGCTTTATTATCGTGATTTTCACGTCACCAACCGTTCTTCTTGAGTTTGTTCGTTATATCCATAAAGTTAAACCTAGCCGAGTTCAGATTACTTCTCCTCTCTTTATTATTGCGCTGGACGCTCGCTACTCCTTCTTGAAGTTCGTATCCATAAATCAACTGCATCGAATTTCTCACATCGGTCTGGGCCGAAATATTTTGGGACCAATTCGTCCCCACGCATAGATTTCAATCTCGGCGTCGCATTGAACAGATTCCGCTTACATACCGTTCCGAGCAAGGGTGCCATCCACCTTGGGGCTGCTTTTGAACGACCCACGGTATCCTTGTCCCTTTGCCTTAGGGGACATCGGTGCCTGGCCCACACTACTTATCAACCCTGACGAGTCTTGGTTCGCACTGTAGGACATATAAGTACTCTTCATCTGCTCAGCTTACACTACTGGTGACCGGGACTTAGATCTTGGGGTCACCGAAGAGATGGAGTTGATGGAACTTGTTGACAATGAGCCGACGGCTCGACCTTTTCAGTGCGACTGGCCATCGTGCAATAAGGTACGTGCTTATTCGTTACGCCTGGGCCGTCCTCGGTTGAACCTTATATCGTCGTCGCCGTTAAAGTTGATGACCGTGTCACTAACAATCTCTTAGAGCTTTAACCGCAAATCAGACCTCCAAAGACATTATAGAATTCATACGAACGAAAGACCATATTCATGCGTAACACCTGGGTGTGGAAAAAGTTTTATCCAAAGAAGCGCCCTCACGGTCCATATAAGGACGCATACAGGAGAAAAACCTCATCAATGCCAACATATTGGTTGCGGCAAACGCTTTTCAGATGTAGGTAGTTAGCCGATCTGAAGATTACTAGCAGTTTAGCTAACCTGAGTACCTAGTCATCTAGTTTAGCTCGGCATCGACGAATTCATACTGGCAAGCGACCATATAAATGCGCCCATGATGGGTGTCTCAAAAGGTAACACAAGAACAGACATTACCTAGAAGCCATAGCTAACTTGTCTTTGTAGTTTTTGCCGAAAGACAACAATGGTTAAACACCAGAGACGATCCCATCAGAGAGGTATTCATTCTTCCGAAGTCGACGATTTTTCTTCCGAGTCCGACGGTGGCGAATCTCCGTCAACACCCAAACAACCAGGTTTGCCGTGGTCAACCAACCATTTAGGCGGCGGCCACCCAGGCCTACAAGGTCATACCATCCAGAGGGCAGCGTCGTTCGCGGATTTTGGCCAACATATAAACGAATATAACGTCCAACAACAACAATATCATAGACATAGCGTGTCTGCGGGAGGTTCTCACGAATACCATGGCGAGGTGGTCCAGCAACCGCAGCATCCCGGCGTTCATATGTTGCATCGAACAGCTAGCATGCCTCAGCATACGTATTATGTGACGGAACAAAATAACCCTGGAGTTGCAACCATGAACACAAATCCGATGCAGTCGTACCAGATGCCTAGACAGCAGCCCGACAGACTCCCGTTAGAAATACCATATACCGGAGCTGGAATGACTAGCTCTATACAGAGCAGCCCAACCACCTACTCGGCTGCTGTAGGGCGAAGTCCATCTGCGCAGGATGGGTTTTACACGCATCAGCCTCCACAAACGGCGGCGTATAGCATGAGCGCAGCATCGCCCGTGGTGGAGCAGCCTATGGTCCAGTATGCTCAACAGATGCATCATTCTGTCCATCCTCCTCAGTCGGTACAGGCTCAGGTGCCTCCACCGCAACAGGTTCACCAGACACAAGAACAGTACCAACCACCACAAGCCCAACCGGACGAGCCCCATTGGTATAATGCGGTACCCTTTCAAGCTCCGGTTGAGGTAACCACTATCGGTGCGCTACCGTCCTTCGGATCTGGTGTCTATGGTGACCCTTGGAATATCAAGCCAGATTTCGATGATCCGACGATGCAGATGCCCAGCGCTAGGATCGATAATATGTAAATCCCTAAGCCTGGCATGTCAGCACAGTTCGCTTCGCTTGTCGCATACTTAGGCCTTCGCCATTCCATCGCACGCATCACGGCATGCTTTTTTCCCTTATAATTATTATCAGTACCATTAATCGTCACGAGCCTCCGACTTGCTCTTGTATTATAGTCATCTCGTTTGTTTTTCATGCCGAATAGGATATACCACAGGGGCTCACAGGACCAGATCATTATAACGTTGGAGACCGGATAGCTACTGTGGCGTAACTCTTTGTGATAACACAAAAGGTGTGCTGCTCTCCAGATTGAAAAGGTTTCAGCACCTTCGCCTTATACCAGCCGCGACGTCATGCGCGGTCAGCGTCCAGTTGGTCGAGGCTCGTCCAGCAATCCCTCTTCGACAGTGGATACGACTTTAAACGACATATCGAAATGTCTCGAAAGCCCGGCCCGTGGGTTGCCCGGAGGTATAAGTCTTTCACGCGCAACGGCCGAATCAAGATGCCACGCCACGTCACGACACACCGTTCCCTTATCGTTACCTCCATGTCGTATGGACGATTCCCTTAATCATTTCCTTCAGTCCCGCATGTATGACGAACGGTCACGTCACAAACTTTCAGTCTTCTGTATTTGAATAATTCCATTGGCGGTAATTGGGGGTGGAGAATGCAACGCGGCTCCGACGGTACGAACCCCGAAAGAAGAGAATAGGAGACGAATTCGAACCGACGAAGACGCAACGATAGCAAGGCTAGACGCATCCTTAATCCGGTCGTACTCGTCATCCACCTAGGACAAGCATAGCACGGAGCATCATAGGAGCATCGAGTCAAATCTAGACGGATGGAGGAGACGGGGAGAAGAAAAAAAGAAGAAAGAGGAGGGTACCGACACTGCTGTATTACATCGAAATATTTCCTAATCGTTGGTTTGGCCATTCGGAATAAATCAACTCTGACGACGTCCCGATTTCCTTTTGACGACACCACAAGACATAATACGGTTAACGGCTCTTATACCCTCTATTTTAGTTCGCTCGAAGAGAGAGATAAGAAAGAATGCGGTGAAGGCAGGATGGGAGGAAAGAATGTGTCGAGTAACATCGGAATTTGTTGATGGCGTAACTGTTATCAACTCTGTAATAATAGGATTGAGACTCTTGGGTGGGTGAAAGGGAACGCGATAGCCGTCCGAGGCTAACCAGCTCGTGGACACGAAAAAATGTATTTGTACGATAGAGAAGTTGCCTATACGTGTAGTTTTTTGCTTGGAGCGTTGAATAATATTTTCAGAATAAGTTCGAATCCATTCTTGTTCTTCAGGTTGCGTGATAGCCTTCTTCACCCTGGCCAGGGAAATGGTCGTCGTAGCCGGTTTCGATTTTGCGTAGGAATGTTTGAATGTTGTTGAAGAATTGAGAGAGCCAACGGAAGATGGATGATGTGAGAAATGAGAAAAAGAGGGAACTAAAAAAGCAAGGCTCGGTGGCCTTCCCTAATTGTTATTTGTCTTCCAGCTGTCGCTATCTTACCAACCCGTTTTAATATTGGCTTGCATAGAAAAACCCTAAATATAAGATATAAATATAACACACGTGGTCGCATCCGCCGAGCTGAGAAATGCAATCCCGCATCCTTCGGGGCGACGCCAGATCTTTAACGTCGTTTCATCCATCCGCTCCGGCGAATGAAATGCGGGTTTGATTTGGCTGGATGGAAGGAAGAATGGGTGAGTGGAAAAAGGGAAGGAAGAAGGAGTTGGATAAATACTAGGTAAGTAGGTACTACCGGAGACGAATAAATAAATAGATAAATCGGTATTTTGAGTTTTGAAGCTGATGTGGCTAGTTGAACTCTATGTTAAACTCTCGCGCTATTCCGGGCTATTGTATTTTTTTAATCATTGGACATTTCTTTTCTTAGTTGTGCGATGGTTACATAACACACCACCGACAACCGGCGGGATGGATACTGTCGCCTGTTACACTACGCATGAGGAACTGATATTCACATATATATGCACGTTGGCGCGTGGCGAATGGGGCCTTTCCGTCGAAATTCGCAGCAGACAATTCATCGCGCATGGCTACCGCATACCGAACACCGAATAGGAATGTACGTGATGGGCCGAGGTAGCGCGCTAGGCGACAGGAGAGTTGAACGCCACGTGAAACTAACGAATGCTGGAACTGAGGTAACTTCATATTGACATGCGAATACCTGGCTGTGTCATTTAGATGATCACCAGGAACACTCGATAGCAAAAGGGTTGGTGTCGCGTTGTCGCGCCTCGCATCTGCGTAGTAAGACGGGATGTGAGAAGGAGTCCGGATGTAACTTATCCACGGCTTGGTACGGCACGACCAATATTATCATTTCGAAGGCATAATCTAACTGCAACCAACTCAACAACCCTCAGCTTTCAGCTTAAATATGTACCTCCATCCCTCTCCCCTTATCACTATTTTCAACCCCCCTCCTCTTCCGCTCAAAACGCAGTCCTCCCCGTTTTGATAGTCTTCAACAAGCCTTCGTCCGCGAGCTTCTCCCACATGTTCCAGAGCATGAAGTCGCAACCCCTCTTGGCAATCACGCTCACTGTCACCGGAACCATCTCCTCGACGAATGTCACGTTGCTCGTGTACGGCACCTGGCCGATCGGGATCGTCATGTCGACGCACCCGTAGATCGGGCATAGGCTCGCGCCATTGATACCCGCCCCCGGCGGTGTTACTGCTAGGAATGCCGTCGTGTTCGGGTTGTTGTTTAGCGACGCTTCGCGGTAGCTCGGTAGCCCGCCCGTCCCGATGTCCCAGAGCATGATGCTTTCGCTGCACGACTCCGGTGTCGAGTATAGGATATTCGACTCGAACCAGTCTACGGCTGCGCGCTTGGTCGTGAGAGATTCGTTGTACAGGGCATCGCTGTTGACGGATTCGTTGTAGTTTTTCCAATAGGGTCGGCGTGCTGGATCAATGGGCGGGAAGCGCCCGTCGTAGAGAGCGCTCCAGGCTTCGAGGAGCGGTTTGCCGACTTCTTGGTACTGCGTTATGGTGTCGAGGATCTGGGTCGCGTTGTTGAGGGCGCCGTACTTAGGGACTTCGTCAGTTGTATTTCCGACGACTGCGGTAAGGTTGAAGTCCTCTACCGTCATGCCGAACACCGTCGTCATGTTGCGAATAAACGCCTGCAAAATATCCTCGGCGGCAGGATTCTTCAGTGGTAAGTAATCCGTCAGATACAAGATTCGCTTCGGAAACCCGTACGAATCGGGTACGACAAGGGGACTCAAGCCCGTAATCGAAGAGTCCTGGCATAGCTCGGGGATATACCAATTCTTTGCGAAGCGAACCCAATCCTTTACGTCCCGCGAGAAAACCCCCGCCGTGTCGGTTGCGGCGCCAAGTGGCATAACCCCCTCTAGGCTCATCATCCCCTGACTCGGCCTATTCCCGTACGTACCCGAAACAGCCGCCGGCCGCCTCATCGATGACCCCGTGTCCGATCCGATCGCGAAATCGAGCCAGTCGTATGCTGCGACGCTGCACCCACCCCCCGACGAGCTCGCAGAACAGGTTAGCCACCCGTCACCGCGCGGGTTGAACGGATAATGCTCGTCCTGCCATTCCCAGGGGTCCGCGCCGGACGCAAACTGCGCTAGCTTGTACTTGCCCACTAGCACGCCGCCCAAATCCACGATGCGCTGGACAGATGGCGCGGTCACGTTCGCGGGGTTGGTAATGGATGCCCAGGCTTGGCTGCCGCCCGACGTTACGAGGCCTTTCATGTCATACAGGTCTTTGATGGCGACGCGGGCTCCTGCGAGCGGTCGTGTGTCGCCCCAGCTGTAGATCCGCGAAGGTACTGGGATCATCGGGTCCCAGAATCGGGATTGGTGGATAGAGAGGGGGTAGAAGGAGTCGGTTCCATCGTTGGAATCGTAGGTGCCGTAGAGGAAATCTCGGTAAGAGTCTCGGTAGAGGCGGTATACTGTGCTGAACGCTATCGAAGTCTCGGAGATGGAGGCGGCGTATGGTCCGGCGGTAAGGTTGTTCGGGGATGCGATATATGTGATAGGGCTGTTTGATGGGGCTTGGGCTAGGTTATTGAGGATCCTTGTGATGCTAACACATAGATTTCTAGGTGAAAGGGGAGCAAAACTTACAATGGCTTCCTCCAAAGCTAGGGTCCAGGAATACGTGCTTAGGCGCGAGACTGCTTAGGTACGCCAACGCACTTGCGTCGAGTTTTGGATTGCCACCCGTACTGTTGCTAGCGATATATACCGCCTCTAAGAAGTCCTCCGAAAATACATCGTCGGCTTCCAGGTAGCTTGCGATTACACGCTGCAGGTAATCACCCGTCACGACATCATCCCCCGCGAATATGACCGTCGATGGCACCGGGGAATTTTGTTTGTTCGCTATGGCAGAGTAGTTGCCGGCGATAATCGCTTTGGGATATTCGATATTCGCTAGGTACGTTTGATTACCAAGCTCAAACGCGACGCCACCGTGCTGCGTTGTTTGCAGATTTTTCCAAGCCCCGCGCTTTTGAGGCGCCGCCAAAACCGAGCACGCACAGTACAGAAGCGTTGCGCCTCGGGATGCAAAATCCCAAAACCCCATCTTCGACTCCGAGAAAGCGTATCGTCGAGGGTAGAGGTAAACCTCCAGCTTGGATTAGACTGGCCATGATTTCGCGAGCCGTACTTATACGAACTCATTCCTTCGTCCAGCAAGGATTAATCTTTCCATCGCGTTGGATGGATGTGATCCTGCTTATCTTCGCATAGCTCCGTCACGTCCCACCGCAGCTTAGCTGTACGCTGCCGAAGCTGCAGAGTTCGCGCCTTATCACGACGCCCCATTAACGCCCTCGTCCGGATGCTGATAGAGCCGAGCTGACCGTCGCAGTGCAGCCGGCTAGGTACCCTGGCTTATGCGGAGATGCGCATTTCTGATAGGGGATCGGCAGCTTTTCTAATCTTCTCGTTGGTTATGGCTTTGGGGGTGTAACTTGAAATTTGGGGTTTGCAAAGAAAAAAGGCAAGGCTCTTATCGAAGCTGTTTAGGTATCTATTAGCCCGAACCCCTCCCCCTCGTTCAACTGCAAACGCGTTTTTCACACGAACTATACCGAAAAATTGCTGCGTTGATTATCTAACATGTTCCCCGCCATTCAAGGGGAAATGAGATCATACTGAATTTTTTGAAAGGATTTTACGTGTTCTTTAATATTAGATAATCAAAATCGATATTACAAATGACGTATTCTTATTTCTCGTATAACTCGGCTGATCGACCAAAGATCAAGTGGTCATTCTTCGGAGATCCCGCCATTATTCTGGGCTCCTGTCTCCCGTTGTTCGTTATAAGAACAACATCTGATGAAGTGATCGTCTCGAAACTATCTAGCAAGAGCGATAAAAACTCGTCTAGAATTCTCGGCATTCTAGCATTGCAAACAACTAAACGAGGTGGCAATAAGAAAACCATATTTTATTCCTAACTTGCATCAATATCCACAATTTGGTTGTTGGTCTATACTTGACTTGGGAGGAGGACCGACGTATACTGGAACAGCAATATTCTCGACCGATATTGTGGGTAGCTTCCAGAATTTATCAAGAGTCTCAACTGCTACCGGCTGTTCTAGAAGTAGTAGAAAATTGTTGTCTTACGAAACTCTGGAGTTGTGGCAACCTTGAACATGGAATTCCAATAAGACCCGGGGATTAAGACGGGTATAGGCATACGGGATTCCCCACGAATAGAGGTGGGTGGCAAAATTGAAAATGGCATCCTTCGTAACATGGGATTCTGCAAAATGCCATCATCGCTATATTTACCCCTTTCGCTTATTTAAACCAACCATTGTTCGATTCTCATAACCAGTCTGACATCCCCTTTGGTTGAGCTGATATGGTCCCTCCATCTCTCATTGCTCCCCCTCCTTTCTCCCTAACGATCAGGCCATGGCCGCGGTACCATCAATAGACTCGTTGCCATACGAGGTACGCCAGGAAATATACTCTCTTATAGTGCGGCAGACTGACTCTCATGCTCGGAACAGTGGCTCGGTGCCGACTCTTGCGCGGTATGCTACTGTTTCCAAAAGGTGGCAGGAGGAGTTCGTGGAACCTCTTATATTCAAGGAGCTCCGTGTAACCCCAAACCGACTTCAGGACTTTAATCACATTGTTTCTTCACCGCGACGCAGGGGCCTTGTGCAGACAATTCTCTTCCACGTCTCTCTTGATCGATACGAACAGTATCTGGACAGCGAGCAGGAAACGTCGGCGGAGAGACGGCGAAGCGTCGAGATCCTGGTAACGGCTCTGAAGGACATATTTCGGGCCATGATCCTATGGAAGAAGAGCGAGACCTCGCCCCGTGGACTGGATCTCCATCTCGTTATCGATTCGCCTAGTGATTCCTCGACGCTCGTCGGCGGGAAAAGGGGTCTCCTGGTGACGGCACGGGGCCTAACATCGTACTTGAAAATCGACCCTGACACGCTGTCATTACCGTATCTAGATGTTTTCAGCGGCTTCCGGTGTACGGGAAGACACTTGAAGCCGACATCCGCGTTGGCTATCGCATCGAGACTTCGGACTTTGGAATACCTCGACCTCGAGCTTAGCCACGACTCGACCCGTACCAGAGATATAGAACAAAGGAACAGTTAGTGGTTTTATCTACGTATCATTTTCTTTTCTAAACCCTGTAGATTCTCGCATACGGTAGGTTGTCTAGGTATTACCGCACATAATGAGAACATTAGTCTAACCTCCAAAACCAAACTAGATTTCGCCAACGGCCTCGAGGAGCACGCCGAAACCGTCCGGGTTCTCAGCCTACACCGTCCCAGCCCAATGCTAACGGCATCCCCATCGCCGCCGAAACAGCCATGGTCGGACTTCTACGTCAAAATGCGCGCGTTCAGCCAACAGTGCGAATCGTTCGACTTCGACGACTGCATCGACGCCATGCAGTTCTTCGCCCCGTTTCTCCCGGGCCACACGGCGGAGCGGACGCTCAGAGGCCAGGAAGCGCCGCTGTGGATGCGGTTGAAGAGGCTTAATGTGCGCAATTCGTACTTGGTCAAGGCGCCGTATCTGCGTGTTGCTAGTAGGGCGGAGGCGCTGGCGTCGATTCATAAGATTCTGGTTGCGGTTGGAAGGGCGACGTCCCGTATGCCGGGGCTTTTGTTCGCGCGTGTGTCCCAGTATATCCTCACGGATGGGGAGTTGGAGTGGTTCGTGATCATATACGAGTGTCATGCTGGGAAGGCCGTTGTGCGAGTGAGGGGGTTTGTGCCGAGTAAACCTATCCTTGGGGCTTGGAGACATTCGGTCACGACGAAGGAGCTGGAGTTCGATGTTGTTCATGAAAATGATGGGGCTAATGTGCCTGAGTTATGATAGTTGTACTTTGGGTAGAGTGGTGGGTTGGGTTATAAAGAGCGGAAAGATGGTTCGTGTAGATGGTATGGAATGGATGTACCTAGATTATGTCTCTTAGTAGATATGTGTAGGTACTAATAGAGCTTCATTTAAGGAAACATCGGATTTTACACACATTTCACAGAAGAATAATTCGACATGTTTTTAAGCGCGCAAGAGAGTTGGGTTAATAACCGAAACACTAGGTGCCTTTATTAATGGTTATCATGGTGCCGGTACTATTCTCGTCCTCCAAGTATCTTGGCATGTAAAGGATGATAGTGGTTGGTTGTCGTTCTGATTATCTCGGAAGTACTCAGTGATATTATGAGTCCGGAATTGAGGTGCTTATCCTTTTGGGCCCCTCCTAGTCCACTTAATGTCAAGTTCTCTTGCACTGTCTCTTTCTTTGCCGCTCCTCCCTCCGTAGCCGCTTCCGCTCTGCTTCCTCTTCCGCCTCTCGCCGCTCCCGTTCCTCTTCCTCTTCCTTAAGCCGTTTCTCCAAAGCCTCTGCCTGGGAAACATAATGATCGATCTTCTTAAGCATATCGATCACCAGGCCGCGGTCGAAGTTGTCGGTGTCTTCTTTGTTGTAGTAGTTGGCGAGATTGATCGCGTTGATCTCTAGGTCCTTGATGAAGTATCTGAGTTGTACGGAGTCCAACTCGTGCATGGACTCGGCGTCGCCTTCGAGGCTCTGGAAATCGGCAAATACGCCCATTTTCCAAGCGGGTGCCCAGGTGGCTTGGGTGTTTTTTTGCGGTTTAGGGACTCTGATCTTGTTATAAAGTAAGCACGGGTACCCAGAATAGATTCAAGAATCAATTTACTTACTATTTTCTCTTGGTAGATAACCGAAGAAAAAGTTTGCGATGAGGAAAATTATTTGTGTTTCCTTGAGTTAAGCTGATTTTAAATAGTTTTTCATTCCTTCGATCAATACCGAGTCAAAGCTTTTTTTCTTCCATCGAAACCGCAAAACCCGAGTAGACTTTAACCCAGTGTGTCTAAGCTTTTAAGGGCGTATGGCGCCGTGTAGCTGTCGATTATTTAATTCATCGATTATAATGCGTGTTGTGGAATTAGTCTTTGAAGAGTTGGTTGCAATTATAGCGAGGTAGCCAATGACTTTAGCGCCTGGTGAAACCAAATCGACGGCGAGTTGGTATTTAAATCTTGTAAATAACCTGTTAATAGTTAAATAGGATTGAATTATTCATTGTCGCCGTGATTTCTCCTCAAGATGTGATACTGCTTTTGACTTGAATTAAGTGAGATCATGTTTATGAATCCTGGCGTGGAACTGTTAATGTAAACTCCTTCGTAACCATACTTAACTACTTATATAAAGACACTTAATCTTTCTAAAAGAATTACATAAAGGCAAACAATTAAAATTTTTATGAACTTAATTAGGTAACTAACTCAAGAGATACGTGTGTATAGCGTGATACTGTGTAAACATGAGTGTTTATGGGGTGGGTTTTGAGGACAGGGCATGACTTGGTAGGAGCGTGTATACCTAGGTAACGTTGAGACTTCCCTTTTCACTTTCCGAAACTATGTACACAGTGACTATAGTGTAATTAATGACAAATGTTCCAAATATATAGTTGAATACTTAGGTAAGAGAAAGATAACCTCACACAGACATCAATCTACACTGATGCCGAGTTTCATGGAACAGTGACACTTATCATGCCTACTTGACTGTGCCCCCAAAACTATTAAATAGGGGTAGCTATAGGATTGTCGTATTGTAAAAGGATAGCAATGTATACGGTGGCCTTTTTAAAGAGTTGAGCATCAGATCTTTATCATCTGGTATCATCATACTTGAGATAAGTTTGGAACCTTTTCTAATACCAGATTTTCTGGAATTATAGATTGTTATACGTGTTGTGGGAAGTTAGCAGTTATTTCCACGGTGTTAATGGGTATAATGGGGGTCTGCAGCGGCCTTAAGAGGATATAATGAACGGGAATATCACCATATTTCCGTATTTACGGCATACCTGTCTGCCTGTAAAGCTGAATTTCGCCTTTTCGCTCAATTCGCTCTCAGTACGTGCTCCGGTATTAACGAAATTTATAGAGAATCACCTTCCTAAGTATCAGAAATAGGTCGTCCGTGCTTAGAAATGAATACGTATTGTATGCACTCTGCCTGCAGCTATAGTGATGTGAGACTAAAGCGCAGTTGGTCCACCGTAAACGCCGAAATCGACTCTTGGGTCGGCTCTTAAGGCATGATCTTTAGGTGTTTTTGCCGAATTATCTCGTTTTGGGGTATCTTAGCCGGTGTATTAATCCACCCGGTCGCATCGGTCTTAGGGAGGCTTTACATGTAGGTAAGCAAGCCCCTTTTCCTTAGTAAGATATTTCGTAATACCCAAAAAATTACCTAGGACGCGCCAACTAGAACTTAGGAGCATGTCATTTCTCTTCCCAATTTTCGAACCACCAACATCTTCTATCTATGCTACCAAAGAGGGATGAGCGATTTGATATGGACCTAATGAGTGTTATCGCCGAAACGCCTTTGGTGGAGCAAGCTAAGAATCCTAGTGATGCTACTATGCACTTAGATTGTCGCTGTTTGACCCCGCGACGCTGCCAACTATTCAGTCACATCATTTTCGGATGAATATGCCTCGAGAAGACCCTAGCGATGGTTGGGGAGGTATAAATAAGTTAGTTCTTGGCCTAGCTTTGAGGCTTGAGCGGTTCCATGTAAACTTGTTAAATAGCCACACATAGCCAACATTAAGTCTTTCATCAACACAACTTCAACTTACTACTTCACTAGATATCGAGTTTGAGATTCATATACTTGAAAATGCCCAAGGTTTTACTTACCGGTGGATCAGGCTTCATTGCCGGCAAGTTGAATCCCTAGAGCAATTCCCAATACCTTTCACACCCCACCATCACTAACACGAAACAATCATATAGCCCACGTCCTTGACATCCTCCTTAAGAAAGGATATGAAGTAGTAACCACAGTGCGATCCGAAACCAAGGCTTCTCAGATTCGCGCCAAATACCCAGGCGCGAAGCTCTCGGTAGCCATTGTTCCGGACATCGCGGCGCCAAACGCCTTCGACTCTGTGATTGCGAGCGAGCCGGGACTCGACTACGTTCAGCACACTGCCTCCCCTTTCCACTTCAACTGGAAGGATGCGCGCACGGAACTCCTGGACCCGGCTATTGAGGGCACAAACTCGGTACTCCGCGCCATCAAAAAGCATGCGCCCGGCGTGAAGCGCGTGGTGCTCACAAGGTATGTATTTAGCCACAATTACCAAAAAGAAAAAAAGGAAAAGGAAAGAAAACTAATATCCTCCCCACGAAAGCTCTTTCGCCGCCATCATCTCCGAAGCCAACCTAGCCAACCCGAACAAGACCTTCTCAGAAGCAGACTGGAACCCGAGCACGTACGAGGATGGGCTAACGGGATCGCCGGCGACATCCTACCGAGTCTCGAAGACTCTTGCCGAGAAGGCAGCCTGGGACTTCGTCAAAGACGAGAAGCCCAGCTTCGACCTTGCTACCATCTGCCCGCCAAGTACGTATCTAAACCACCACTCCTCCTCTTTCCAGTTCATAAACTTCCAGTTACCTAGGTACTAACCCCCACAACCTACAGTGGTATTCGGCCCCGTAGCGCACCACCTAGACTCTCTCTCCGGGATCAACACCTCCAACTCGCGAATCGCAGACCTGATCCACGGAAAATGGAAGTCCGAGATCCCCGCATCGGGGGTATTCCTCTGGGTCGACGTGCGGGACGTCGCGAACGCGCACGTGAACGCAATGGAGCTGCCCGAGGCAGGCGGACAGCGGTTCTTTACTACGGCGGGGTACTACGACAACGTGCAGATCGCGAAGGCGGTGCGAGGGGCGTACCCGGACCTAGCGGACAAGCTGCCGACGGAGGCGACGCCGGTGGCGAAGGGAGGCGCGTTGCCGGCTGAGGGCACGTATAAGTATGATAACAGTCGCGCGACGAAGGTTTTGGGGATCGAGTGGATTCCGTTGGAGAAGAGTGTGGCGGATACTGTTAAGTCGTTGTTGACGATTCCTGCTTGAATAGATTAGCTCGGCGCGGATACTTACGTACCTAAGTACTAGGTAGGCATGGATGATCTGTTAGTAAATTGGATAGAGCGTTTCGGAGAATAGAGCAAAGATAAGATATTGTGAAAAGAATAAGAAATATACATTCGGTATATTCTATAGCCTCCTTGAAAAGAGCAAATCGTATGAATTCGTGGTTGTTTATCTACCCTGTTTCCTGCTAATGAATTTACCGTATCGCCCTATGAAGATGAAAGAAAAAAGCGACTCGAAGCCATGCGCACACCATGATTCTCATAGTAATGCCAGGTACGCCCTCAAACTTTCCGAGGAACCCGAATTGCATGCACCCCCCAATGATAATGGGGCTATGCAGCGATAAAAAATGCTAATGATACAAGATGTCTGGGGGAATATCCATTAATCCTCGCTCGTATCCATCGCGTCTCCGCCGGACACCTTGGCCTTGGCGGCGGCGATGCGTTCCGCCTTCCACTCTTTGATACGATTGCGTAAGTCATCGGCCGGGACTACGTCGTTGATGGTCATGGGGTTACGCGTAAAGGGGTCCAGCGGGTTGGAAAGTAGTTGCTGGACAATCGTCGAACGGTCGACGATGTTTTGCGATGGGAGAATGACGGGGTCGGTCATCAATTCACCCATCAAGGGGTCCTCGAACTCGTCAGGTATTTCACCTAAGTCGAGTTCGGCCTGATCTAGACGTTTCTTCGCATCGGCAACCTGTGCGCATAAGGAATCCCAGTCGTCGACGACTTCCTTAGATTTGAAGAATTTCTCCTTCAATAGGACAGAGGTCTTTTGGAAGTTCTTCGGCTTGTATGAGCGCCCATCAGCTGCGACGGCGTCAATGAAGGCAGGCTTCGTCTTTAGGTTGATGTAGATGTCGACGAAGTCCGAGAGAAGCGCCTTCGCGTCGAAGTGGTATTTCTTGGCATCCTCTACTTTGAGGTTGCTTCGCTTATCTCCGGTGAGCGATTCCAAGTTGTAATTCAACATGCCTGCCAGCCGATGTACTATCTCGGGCATGGTAAATGCATCTCGTAATGTTGTCGTAAACAGCTTCATCATGCTCATCGTATCGTTGACTAGCTGCATCCATGATTGACACTGCTGCTCCGCCGATTCTAGGTCCGTTCTTATTTTCTCAACGTCTTCGGGAGATAGACCTGTCTGCTGCGACTGGTGTAGCTGGATCTGATAATCGTGAATTTTGACTAATTTTGTCAACGCTTCATCAAGAAGATATGTCGCATCGTTCAATAACAGGTTGACGAACTGCACAAAGAATTGCCGGTTCACCCTATACATATCATTAGTTGGAGAAATAATTAGACTGCCGAGGATTTCCAAAACTTACTTGCTTTCACGACTCAGCTGCTCTTGATAGACGCTGTTGTCCCATATGCACTTGATGACCTGAAATATTTCGTAGCGGATATTGAATCGGTCATAAAACGCAGAGCTGACGCCACTATGTTCGCATTCTGTAATCAATAGTTAGCATTTGATGGTTAGGAGAAGTATCTGTTACTTACCAATGTAGAATTTCATGAGAGCATGTAAGAGATGCTCATTTGCGAACGACGACGACGATAGGCTATCGCCTAGGATCCCCTTGGATAAGTGGTATACTGGCCACGTACCAGAGAAGAGTAAAGTGACGAGCGATGATTTCAAGTATGGGTTCTTGATGTACTCCGAAGATCTCAAGAAAGTGATGCAAAACGTGATGATCTCATCGCCGGTTGCTGACACGAGAATCTGAGGCTTAAATCTGATAAGGAGGTAAGCACTTGACTTTGATCATAGCCTTTTTTTCTTTCTTTTGGGGGGATTTTACTTACCGGAATATAAACTTGAAGTTCTCAACCACATCCTGTATAGAGTACTCAGGGAGGCAACTAAAAGCATCCGATTTGTCTGCTGGGAGAGGCAATCTTATCTCCTTACCCCCGGCTGGCCTGTAGTCTACCGCGCTAGCAACTCGGAGAAGCCACACAGATACGTATCGCATGAATTGTAGTGATAATGTTTGCATGGACTCATCCAATACAACTCCCTCTATCGTATGTTTCAATGCGATATACTTCTCAACTGTGTTGACAGCGTTCTCATGATGCTGTCTGGCTGCGGGGAGACGGAACGGATCCTAAAAAATGTTAATAGTGATAGCGACCCGCACCAAGAATGATTAACTTACATTTTGCAGCTTTGGCATCTCTGCCTCAATCTTTTTAATAAGGCCTTCGACATATTTTATGTCCTTGTCAAGATCCTTAAGCTTAGACTGAGTTGCACCAAGTCCGTAATGGTGTGCCGCTAGAGTTAGGAAGAAGATCTCTGAGATGAAGTTTGACGATCCTGCGACGTGTGTTTTGTAAAAAGCATCTGCAGTGGCTTGATCTGCATTGAGCTTCGTCTCGTCACTCATATCAACTCGAGGACTACGTCGGAGATAGTCGACATCAATCTTGTCTACCTTAGAGAAGGTAGAATCCATGAAAGGTTGGCATAAATGGTCCAAGATCGCAGTCAAGTTAACCATGAAACCATCTGACGCTACATCCGTGGCCTTGACTTGTAGAGCACGTCTCTTGTGGTTTGTATTCAAGGCAAACGCAAACCAGTCAAGTGTGGCATTTCGGGATGCAGCGCTAGCCCTAACAAAGGCATTTATGATGCCTACCAAATCACTCTGATGAGCTTTGAGGGTCATCTGCAACGCACTCTGAGACGACTTGATGTGATTTGGGGCGATTGACCGTGCGCCAGCAAAGAAGACCTTAGTGACTTCAGGCTGTAAGGGCGATATGCGAAAGAAAGGCCCCAAGATAGTCTGAGTCTCACTTAAAAGAGCTACTTGCTCTTTTGTCATGCCCGGGGTGGCAGTCGCTCTAAAGCGAGGATGTTGCACAAGCGCATTCAAAAGGGGTGGAAACTTTGAAAAAGTAACCAGACACTAGAGCCGTTAATATGTACATAAGATTTCGGGGTAAAGTAATGCTAGGGAATCTTACATTGATATAAGGCTTGTAGTCGTCGTTCATCGTCATCGTGGCGAGCTTGGTGCTCATAGCAACCATAGCATCGGTGAAGACGGACGCAACGGTCTCATCCTCTGAAATGCGAGACGTCGCCTCGACAAAGAAGTCCATGCAAATACCGTCTTCGTTATCATGGTGACGAAGGAGGTAGGGTACTAGAGTGTCATGGTTTGGGTTGGGTTCACGGCTTCTATTTGTAAGTATATGGGTTCATGCGCCTAGTTTTATACTGGGAAAGAATCATACCTGAAGTACTCTGGCATAGTCAGAGCGAAAATGCAATTACTCATGCATAATCGCTTCGCCTCATTCACCACAGCTTCTTTCTCTGGAGGCAAAGGTCTAGGAGGTTTGGTAGCCCTAACAACACGCTTCCAGCAGGGCAGTAGATAATCTAGAATGGGCTTGGTAGTAGGTAGATGCTGGACTGCTTCTAATAGAGCTGATTCTACTGATGCGACAGTTAGTTTGATAGGATCACCCGACTGCTCTAACTCAGTTCTAAGTTCTGGTAAGTAAGTAGACTTGAAGCCTCTGCTATCCGTCGTCTTCGTCTCGTCTAGGGTCACACGGAACATGTCGCTCAACACTCGGTTCGTCCAATCATCTAAGCTTTCCTCCTTGCCGATGTGAATCTTTTTCGAAGGAGGAGTTGCTGGTTTGTTCTTGTCAACAGCGGCACTAGCTGGCCTTTTGAATGCGTTTTTACCTGAGTCCCCATTTGATGTCTTCACAATTTCTGTCTTGTTCTTAGTGCCTAATTGCGAGAAAGGGTTCGAGGAGACGGTTTGACTCTGCGGGACGACGGGATTGCTTTGGCGGGTGGGTAGGGGAGTAGGTCGAGTATTCTCCTGGTTCGTCGGGGACTGATTGGACGGCGTGACGGGCGTTGAGTTCGAGGCTACAGATCCGGACTTGGAAGCTTCTTGGGGTTTGGAGTCGGTCGAAGCTGGAGAACCCCCAAGACCACCTAGTTTCGCAAGTCGCTTCTGACGCATCTAGGATTTAATAAATATTAGCTTGAACAATGAATAATTAATAAATACCAAATGAAAATCGGGTCATTGTATACCTGCTCCTGCGGCGGGAGGGTCGGCGGTGGATTCTCGTTAGGATCCATCTTGCGCCTACGTAAGGTTACCAATGTATGTAGTACCGATAAGTGCGTGTGAGACGGATTTTAGGTCTAACGATTGAAATTTTGTCGACGATTCGTTGTTGTGGAAATGGTTAGAAAAGATCCATCTACCACGCCCTTAAATAAAAAAGTCCTTGGGCGGATATGTTGTTAAATGTAAAATCCGCATAGATATAAGGCACAGTAAGAGTGTAGATGGTAGACAGGGTACACTGTTAGATGGACGGTAATAGAATGAGGTAGTAGCGCAGCAGCCTCAATGATTTGGCAGTGGGATTAGTCAATATCTTATCGATAATGCTCAGCTTCCCATTTGCTGATAAAGGTGTCATCCACCTGGCGAACAGCTAGGCGGGCTGGGCGGGGTAAGTGCGCCTCGCGCTCACAGCTCTACACTGTATTACGTACCTAATTACCATCAGCCTTGAACCACTCTTTGGGCAGTTGCCACCAACTGCTGGACTCAAACAGTGTCACCTGTATGCAATTCTATTGATTGGAAGTGACTATGTAATAATTGATACTGTGGTACCTAGTAGTCTCAACATTGGAAGCTACGACCCAGACTTAATAGTGGTCTCTCCGCTAAATTTCAGTAGGCAACCGCTATAGATCAGGGAGTTCAGACAGATGTAAGAAGCCCTTTCCTCAAATTATCCATGCATGGTCGAAACCTTAAGTCTCAACATATTTTCCCCCTTCCTCTTCAATGTTTTCGTCTTTGGATGGAAGTTTAAAGAACTTCGATCACTCGTGATAAATTACTTTCGACCCAATCGTTAAATCGACGCGAAAAGCTAGTTCTACATATGTTTCAGCACTAAATCAGCACTACTAAATACCTTTCATTTAGTAAATCAGGGTATAAACAACAGGTCCTAAGTCGAGATGCCTTTGGAACTCGAGCCAAACGCTATTATAATATTTACGGCTTTCTTTACATTTCGATACTGTTCACGTGTAGAACGCCACTTCTGGTACGAGCTATGAGCAGAAGAATCGTCCTATTTCACTTTCCTTTAGATAGCCACATGCATGCATCAAGATCCATCGACGATAACCTCGTCATACTAAGTAGGTAAGTTAGGTAGTATACTTAGGAAATCCGCTAATCTTGTTGCATAAGAGCTCAACAGTATATCCTGGAGAATGGATTATCACAAACTCACAAGTACAGTATATCATCTGAATACCCCGTGAGCCCGAGCTTGCTCGTCCTTTGCTCTTTTTCACACGGCGTTTAATTTCGTGGTCCCCGATCATTGAACTTCGAATAGTTTCCCTCGCTTTTAATATTCATCTCGCGAATCTCAGTCATCGTCTCATATAATATATGAAAAACCATGGTCCTTGCTAGGAAGTTATCTCTATGTGTTTTTATTGTATTGGTATATATTTTGTTACATATCGCGATGTTGGTCATATGCACATTTTGGGTAGCTTCAGTTTAGCTGCTGCCTTCATGGTTTAAATATTGAAGACCTACTTGCACTGACAAATATCAGTGTAGGAACTTCTCTGGAATTAGGCCATATCCATATCTCTTCATATCTTTGCAACGTTTATGGGAAATATTAACGATACCATTAATGTACAGGCTATTTGTAGGAAACCAATCCTGTCATCCGCTTCTCATTTTCAGTCAACACAACATGCAAATCATGCAGCAAACGATCCACTGCCACATGCTTTCATCTTACTCAACATGAATGCATTTCCTAATCGAGGCGACAAGTTCCGTGGGCAGTCCCCTAGAATATCGAGGGATAATCATTCATAGAGAATACCCAACCCTTTTGGGATGTGTTCACGATTATATAGTGACACGGCTTGGGCAACCTACGGCTGATAGCGTTTCACAGTGTCCTGTGGCTGTTCGCCTACAGCGTCAAGTCATTGGGTCGGCGATTTTTCGTTCCTGTTGGACCCGATGCCGACCCTCTTCTCTCGATTCTGCCCTCGTTATTCGCCACTCTTGTTCAAATGCATCCTAGGTAGACTCGTCGACACACTACGTGACCAGGTCTAAGGCAGTACCCGGCCAGCCCGGCCAGGACTTCATCTTAATCTAGACCATGCCGTGTAGATCTCAGTGGCTGAATCTCTGTTGATATATGGGTACCTTAATGTAGGTACCTGTCTTTCAGCCGAAAATAAAGGCAGCCTATGCGACGTTCTACGACAACCTGAATTCTCAGCAGCAATCGGAATATCTAGAATCTGGTGGCCTCAAAACCCAGATAACGCAACCTGGATCGGTCAAATCTTTCAGCTCTTCGGGGGTCATCTCGGCCGCCACAGAAATTTCTGAATGCGCTGTGCGCTGTTTCAACATCGAAAAGCCCAACATTGAAATTTTGCTAGGAACGCGTGGCTACCTATCAGCTCTGCGGCACTTCACATGAAATGATGTCGTATTTATCGCTTGAATGCGATATGGTGACTTCCCGCTGTATCTAACCCATTCTTCTAGAGGGATTCTGCGGGCGTCTGCAGACCTTCTCGACCTTCTATTGACGAAGTCGTACAGCCCGTCTAGCCCGTCACCTTGTCCCATACGAGACTCATTATCGTCGGCACGGGTCGATGCAGGACCTGTGCCACACACACTGTCTTACTTGCCCTGGAGGTCAGGGCGCCATCCATCCCAAATCGTGCTCTCGACACAACGGCGTCCTGTCGTGTGAAGCGTCATCGCATTGTGCCATGGCTTGCAAAAGCCGGAGGCTGATAACGGGATATATGTATGTATATGTACGCACATGGCAGATATATTGCAGGCGCCACAACGGCAAGCGACGCTACTGTATTTGGGGTATTGGGCTCCATTAGAAGCGTCGCTCATTGAAGATTTTGGTATCCTTCACACTCGTTTAAGCCTTCTTCACCGCTTCCCGTCATCTGGATCTTTCAGCTAGTCCCCAAGTATGCCTCTTCTTTCTTGTCTTTGCTCACCTCACATAGATATATACACACGATAGACGAGTAACTCTATCTTGCTTACCATGGAATTTCGCCACCAGAGTCAAACCAACGAGCTTGATCTCAGTATGAAAAAAGCGTACCGAGATAAGGTCAGCGATGGAAATATTCTAGGTCTGGTACGGGTTGACATTCGAGATGGACAGCAACCATGTGTGGACAAATGTTACAACCAATTTGTTGAAGAATGGCATGAGAAGACGCACGGAGGTTTCGAGGGCGTTTGCAACCAACTAGCGCACATCGAGCCTAACACGGAATTATTGAAGCTGTATTGCTGCGACTCGATAAACTGTGGTGTCGCCACTGAGGTGAAGGGGCAGAGTCGTTCGTTTTCCCTCATGGGAACTACATTCTAACCTTTAACTGACTCGAGTGGCTAGCCAGCGTCGACTTAATAATTAATAAATGTCAAAAGTGAGTTACGCCGCTGCAGCGGTATTCGAATCTACCGTTGACATCTCTTAGTGTTGGCAACTACGTGATTTATGATCCTGGGCCTCCTCAATCTAACGGCTTCAACTGCACTACACTTACAAGTGGTGAGTTTCTTTCGACGCCCAATTTGTCTAACGAATCCTCTAACTAAGCTCATCAATCTAGAGCCAGGAGAGGCCAACCCTCCAACCCCGCAACCGAGTGACAGCCCATCAGCAATGAAGACCACCGTACCTAGCTCCTCACCCGCAGCAGCAGCTACATCTCTAAGCTCTGAGCTCAACTCGACCGCGTCGGGGTTTGGCGCGGTGCCAAGCAAGCCGACTGGCCTCACGGAGGGCAGCAAGGCCGCGATAGGGATTTGCTCGAGCTTGGCGATAATCGCAATCATCTTCCTCGTTGGCTTCCTCATCAGCCGCCGTCGATCACGTCCTAAAAGCTTCGCGGGTAACGCCCCCCAAAGCGCTCCCCGTCTCAATCGATCCTCCTCTGAGCGCCCGAGCGGCTCTCACACGCCGCTAATCACGCCGCCGCTCTCGGCTAAGGGGCCCCCGCTAACGCCGCCCGCTCGCCTGAGCGATCGTAGGTTCTTGCCGCCGCTGCTTAAGCCCGGGCAAAGCGGCACGCCGAACTCATCTCTAACCGGCGGAATAGACGAGCGCGCATACTTACCCGTAGCTCTAGGCTCTCCTGCAGAAAAACGACCGGCGCTCCGCCACGAGCGTCAGGCTACTCCAAACAGCACCGCTAGATCTGCGGGCTCGCCCTCCCTCCCAACAGCCGTGCACTTCGCCCCGCAATTCCTGCGTGATAGCGGAAGCTCATACGGCAGTAACAACGGCGGCGCATCGAACAAAGTCAGCTCGACCCACACGCCTCCCTCAACCGCGCCCTTATCCCCGACGCGACCCGCGCGCCCACATAACGCTACCACACATCTCGAGATTCCGGACTTGGTCACCCCGGCCGGTCCACCTCCTAGTCGTGCTCTTCCCGCGCCTCCGCCGCCGTATCATCCCGTTTCTCCGACTTTCACGGTCTCGCCGTTAACGCCGGCTAGTTCTTCCGCGTTGCAGCTTAGACCCCCGGCTCTTGGTGATGGCGCGCGCTCGTATAGTAGTTCGCAGCTTGTAAATGCGGAGAATAGAGGGTATCCGGCTGCGAATGGCGGGTTGTCGTCGTCGGCGAAGGATCTTTGTGATTTGACGGAGTCGTATGCGCGTGAGACGGCGGAGAGTTGGGGGAGCTGGAATGGGGGTGGGGGGCCTGGGGTGGCGATCGCGGCTGGGAGTGGGAGGAAAAGGGGGAGTGGGGGACGGGCGAGGGAGAATGGGGGTGCTGGCGGTGAGAAGAATGGGGAGCATGAGTCTGTGGTTTCGTTGCAGGAGCTGGATTTGGAGAGGTTGGGTGGGAAGTATTGATTTGGTGGTGGTTGGAATATGGAGTAGGTAGGAGGTAGGAGGTAGGTAGGTATAGGAGGAGTAGGAATAAGGGGCCATAGTATAGGTTTACGCACACGCGGCACGGGGTGGTAGAGGTATAGTGATATCTCTAGACATGGAGATTATCCCGTTATGGTAAGATGCTGGCTCTGTAGGGCTATCGGGTAATGGCTGACAAGTAGTATTGGGATTATCTAATACTATGTAGGGAACTGGAGGACTTGGGTTGTTGGGAATAGGTAGCGTGTACGCAAAAGCCTGTTGTTTATTAGCTGAGATAGCTTGTTAAATCGTATAAGTGCCCTAGTAGTGTTTTTGGTTTTGAGGGAAGTGAATGCATAGACTTTTTTCGAAGCATTCCCCCGGAGCCATTGTGACCCGCGCCGACTTCTCCCTGCGATACTAAACTACCTAGTACCTACCTACGTTCAACTGCCAGGAACACCTCAAAAGCAAACTACGAGATACATAGTCCTTGATCTAGTAATAGAGGCATGCACTGCATGGCTGCGGCTGAGACTCACAGGTACGTAGGGATTTCTCATATTACGAGCAAGGATACATTTTTACTCCATCGTCATATTATTATTATTACGGTCCTGCACGAGGCCATAGTCCCGTGTCTTGCAACCTATACGGATACGCACATACGCGCCCGCGAAGCCGTTTAAACGAAACGCTCGACAACGCTTCTGATCGATAAGGGGTCTCGTCTAATGCGGGTCCGTCTGCGGCCATTGGTCCCAAGTGTCTCCATTCGCGACAATGAATGAGAGACGTGCTTCTCGGAGCCGGTCCCATGGTTCTTATTGCTGCCCGACGAACCGTTGCAAAGTTCGGTTCCGCCAATGTCCGTCTCGTACGTCGTGGGGCTTCCGAACTTATTGGTTGGAGATCGGACACGACGGAGGGGCCGCCGACGACTTGGCTCGCATCAACGTACCTCGACCTACCTAGTTCATACGTACATCGGTAGTAGGCTAAATGCTTCCCATGCGGAATATTTATCATGTAAGTAAGAAATCAATTACTGGCATTCGCGAGAAGAAAAAAAAGAGGATTCATCCATATGCAAGTTCGGATTCGTAGGCGAGAAAGAAGGGCGGTGTGGGAATACCTCCAACTACAGCGTATGTATTAGACGCTCAGACCCAGATTTGTTTCTAAATCCGGGACGAGAAAGGATATATAAACCTCTACCCTAGCTACACTTCCATCTTCGCATGCTCTTCTTTCCCCTGTCTTCTAGGTTTTGTTTATCGCTTTCTTTTCTTTCTCCTGCTTTCCTGTTTATGTTTATATGTTACAGCTATGCACACCCAATATGATATCCGATCGTCTAGGTTCTCTGAGATGACCCTCCCATAGCTCGCCTCACCATCGCGTCTAGTTGGGATTCCTTTTGCTTCACACTGTCTTCGATCTCTTGATTGGACATGATTTTGCCTTGGACGAGTCTTTCTGTTGTTGTGCTGGGTTTGGTGACGAGATAAAACTTCATCATCTCGGACCCTTGTCTGCTCCTATCCGTGCCGCTATATCAGCAATGGATTTTTCCCCCTCTGCACGGTATTTACTTACTGGTTGCTAGAGAGTTGGCTAGGGTTGATGGGGGCTTGAGACATGGCGTGTCTTGGTGTCTGACCCTTTGCTAAGTGGCTGAAGCCAGGACCTAGGCGAAAAAAAAGAAATAGCTAGCGTTTTGGCTTGCTAGATGACCGGCTAAACCGAAATGGTTTCGAGATGAATCGGTACTTAGGAATGGTGAGTGATGGTTCTATCTTGATGTTGTCCGTCAAGACTCATCACCGACCCGGTTCACGTTGTCATTTTATGGGCGGTCATTACGCTGCGCGCCGAAGCGCGACAACGACATTGAGGCTTTGCTCAAGCCATTACGATCGCCTTCGAGTTATGAATCACCCACGAGAGGGGGCTTGACTCAAGTCCGTTCCGCGCAACATCGATTGCTCCATGGATGGTCTACGACTAGAGGATTCGCGCTGTTGAGTCCTCAGGTGTAAAGCTCGCGAAGGCGTGTTATGCACGATACCGGTAGATCCTATCGCATTGCATCTCCGACTATATTCCACGCAATCAGCATCGAGCACGTCGCTGCAGGCGTGATTGGCAGGGCAGAAATTGTCAGCTTTGCGCATATCTCCACTTCGTTTTGCGCCGTTGCGCAGAACTGGCGAGGCATAAATACGGTAATTTTTGAGCCGGGGGAGGAAGCTATCATCTCACCCCACATTCAACTCTCCTTTTTTCGAGATTTTCTCAAGATATTTCAAAATAAAGGGGTCAAATAGATTGAATAAAATCAACCGGATACTATTTTTGTCCCTATTATCAATATCAATCTTTATCTCGACCTAAATCCCCTGGTTGTTAATAAATGCTGCTTATGAACGACCCCTGTATCGTCACCTGCGTGATGACTTCGCATCATACTTAGGAGAAATGCTTCAAAGACCCCGAGATCTACTGACTTCTTACGACCAGTACTCAGCGAGTTCTGTCTCTTATCGTCCTCGTTACCCATACCATTACAAACAATACGACCCCTATCACAAACCGGTTGAAAAAGTTCAGCCGGTCCGCAATTGTCATATCAACGCTTTCAACTCCCTTGAGACCAATTGGAACGCAACTAAAGCGAAACTCGTTTTTCAGTGGGGGAAGATCCAAGCTCGTAATCAGCGTCGCATCAAGCGAAGCATGGTCAAAAACTCGACCACATTGAGAAATTGCATCATCAAGACACAGGTACCAGGACCGACAAGCGCCGGTGACTCGGTAAGATCCCCTGAAGAGTGGAAGTAATCTCATTCTTACCCTCATAATAGCACAACAGTGAAGCTACGTCTGTAGCCTGTTCCGACCGAGCACAAGCTTCGGACTCACTGGTTGCGGAGACCGATTCTGTGGACGGAGACTCCAAGCAATGTCTATTCGATTTTAACGTATGTACGGAAGAACTGAACATACAGAACGACGGATATAAACCTGGGGACCTTTCACATAAGAAGCGCAGATCAGCCGATCCTATGGAGAGCGACAGGAAGGCAGGCGCTGCTCGAAGACCCAGCCATTGCCAACGCGACTACGACGGTAAGAGGGCGCTAACACCAGACCAGTACGTAGCCATCAAGAAGCAAGAGGCCATTGCGCTTGTGATGGCAAAGTTCAACCAGTGGTTCAATAAGAGATTGGAGATCATCTCTTGGTTAGTATAAAAATGCCCCTTAAGACGCCTTGCGCCAATCCGTTCTCTGAAGAGAGGCTAACATACGTCTAGTATGTCACATCCTCCCATATTATGCATTTCTTTTCCAAATGTGGGGCGTCAATTCATGCTTATGATGTTAACATTTTAAAGATGCGTATGAAGCATCCGAAGCTTCAGGGAATCCTTCGGGCTGCTCCGGCGGCGCAAGTTCCGGAAACATTAATTCCGGGCAAGGCCAATCAGGCCGTTCGACTCGGTCTAAACGCCGACTAGGCGGGGATGACCAGGACGGTTCTTCAGCCGGTGGCGATGAAGGTGACCCTAACAGGGGTGGTAGTAAACGAGCTAAGAAGGAGGAGGCAGAGGCCGAAAAGAAATTTGCCTGTCCCTTTTACAAACACGACCCAAGAGCGCACAACAAGCACCGAAGCTGCGCCGGACCGGGATGGCCATCGCTTCATCGCGTGAAGTAGGTGTTGTGGGATATTGACTCTGGTCATCACACTGACAATTATATGATAGGGAACATTTGTATCGCGCACACAGACTGCCGAAACATACCTGTCCCAGATGTAACGAGCCCTTTGAAGATGCGAAGGATCTAAGCGAACATCTTCGAGCCGAGGAGCTTTGCGAGAAGCTAGACATAGTCCCAGCACTACAGGGCATCGACGAAGCCACTGAAGCAAAGCTGAAAGTGAGAAAGAAGAATGGCCTTGGCATGACTGATGAACAGAGATGGTGTGAAATTTACATGATCCTCTTCCCGAAAGCTAACCCTAACGCCATGCCAACTCCATGTAAGCCAACTCGGGTAATATTATGACGTGAAGATACTGACCATGTTGAAAGACTGCGATAGCAATGATGCTCTTCGATGCTCCAAAAGCATCGAGGAATGGAAGAAGACCAAGAAGCGGATGCAAAAGGATCTGCCGAAGAGCGTGCAGAAGAAGGTTGAGAAGTCGTTCGAAAAGGTAGAGGTCGACGTGCTCAATCGTCTTCCTGACATCGTCCGAGACTGCTTGTTTGAATTCTTCAAAGACTCATCACACGATGATCGATCGTCATCAACGACGACTCCTGCGGCAACACCAAGGGCCCATACGCCCAGTATCCCTGCCGCAAGAGAACAGCCTGCTTTGGCAACAGAGGAAATCAAGGACACCTCGCTGGACATTTCGTATTTCCTAGAGCCTGCCATGATGGGCGGGCCGGAGGATTTTGACTTCTTTGATTTCGGGAGTACTGACTGCGGGTTTTTTGACAAGGAATCAGACTCGGGCTATGCTTCCACTAGTACCGGGAGAGGCGTCACTGCTGAGGCGGAATATTGAAGGTTTGTGAGATCCTAGATGCCGCGTTCCCACCATCAATGTGCAGCTGGATGACTGCACCTCGACTCTCTTTAAATGACCGTCTCTTATGTACTGTGTTTTCAGACTATGAGCGTTGGAATTCTGATCATTTAACATGTTATGACGAAAGTCGTAGTGAGGGCTATGTAGGTCGTTGGCATTCATTAGATCCTAGGTTCGAATATTAATTAACTCGTTTTGCTTGAATATGCTTCGTTTGACGTTGACATCCTATTAATCCTTCGTTTGCTTGAGTGTTTACTGTTGAGCAAGAACTTTAATGCGTATGGAGATGTTGAATCCGATGTATAATATCCTCTTGACTATACATTATACCTGTCTTGGTAGGCAGAGTCGAAAGTTAAGCTTGAAAGCTACTCGGGATGAATGTTTTGTCTAGAAATGAGCCGATTTTTGGTATGGTTTCGTGACACCTTCTGCGATAGATTTAAACCGAACGTTACCCGATCCTCGACTGCATCCCATTGACCCATTGGGTTATGAACAAGATTGTTCTGTTTTAAATGAATCATGAATTCCGTTACTCAAAGCTAGAGTTGGATACATGACGGCCAGATTGTGGTGATTCTAATGTATACCTACAGGTCAGTTGAATATGAATTCACGGCCGTACTATAGGCTGTTAGTTGCACGATTCCAAGGTTGGGAGCTAGACAATTATACGATGTTGTTCCTGTTCATGATTGTAGACCATGAATAGTAACGGGCGCGCTATAGAAACTGTTTTCCTTTTGGATATATGTTGTTTGATTCATGATGGTTACCTGAAAAGGTAGTATGTTGTATGTCAAGCCAAGATCGATAAATCGATGGATCCAGCTTGCTTTAGTTGATGAGCACTAATGCAGGGCGACTTGGAGTGACCTGCAGTAAGACGTATGCCGACATCCTTCCCCATACTGCTATGCACCTATCGGTATGTGTAAGCCCTGGTAGAGCCTATCGGTGGTGACCAAACTTAAATGGAGAAATGGCTGCATTTTCTCCTCTTGGGGTGCCTGAGGCGTATCTCGCATGATAACTTAAAGCTCCTATAAGGTTGTTGAGAACCAGCTTCGCTTTAGAACAGGATCTTGTTCAATGTCCGTCTAGGATAAATGCGGGAAAATGGCATTATTTCGTAGAAAATAGGATCATGCCGTGGAAAGCTGCATGGCCATGGCGGTCTTGACTGCGTCTTTGACATGACGAAACACGGGAGAGCAGACTTGGATATCCAAGCAATATGCCGTTCCGGATAGATAACTTAAACCAAGCCGGATGATGGATACGTCGATCATTTCTTGACTGCTGATCCGGCGATTATTTACGATATATGACACAATCGGAGCTGGACCGATGCCACGCAAGGGATGTTCAGCCTTTCAGCTTTTGGGACACTTTCAGACAGCCAAGACAGCAAACACCAAAAAGAAATTACCTAGAACTGAATATTAATAATAAGCTGAACTAAAACATAAAAAGGGGAAATCGGATCTCATATTAGAGGACACAGTTTACCTGACAGCTCCTTTTAGTCTAGAACCCGACTTTGAGCTGTAATACTCCATATTGTATAGTTGAGATGGGTGTCCCGCCATTCGTCTATTCATGTCTCCCTGCTGGGTGATGATTAGTTCATTACGCGGAAGATATTCAACTCCGAGCCAAATGAAGTAGGCGTCACATAAAAATCGATGATTATTGAAAAATTCATAAAGGTTATGCTTTAATTGTCGTTGTCATTGTTATGCAGCGGTAAACTAGGAGATAGGATAGGACGGACAGAACGGGCAGAACGGGGGCTGGCGGGGATCAACGAATAAAGGGATGGGTAATAATACTATGATAGCAAAGTGCTAGACGAATGGAAAAACAAGATATTGATTCGCACAGGAAATTTGATTGCATCGTGAATAATTCTTAATTCTCCATGTGGCTGCCAAGTCTGTAGGTCCTGTAGGTCTAAATGAAGTTCGCATGGTAGAAGTGGTACTGCAGACGTTTGGCACATGTCAAGGTGGATTCTGTAGATGTTCAGTGGACTTTTCAATTTTCAGTGTAAGATATTATTACCTGGAGGTACATACTTTAGCGATGGTTGATTGTGGCGATCCCCCTCTCGCAAGCCACCAATTAATTGTGCCATGTGGATTTTGTGGATTTTATGGATGTATGCTTAGTGCGTGCATTGACCCCATTTGACCACATCTTGTTCATTCTAGCGGGAAGCCACGAAGTACATAATATATGTATATTCTATATACCGGTTACTTATCGCAGCATACTTTAATGTTGTGTGTGAAGTTGCAACGCTGGTTCATAAAATCACTACACTGCAACGCTAGTCTTGATGTGGTGATAGTGATACATCCATGGATAGCACAAGTACAACAGGTAGAGTACATCTTTTTTATGGCTTCGACGCCCCTAAACGTAAAGCTCAATTGTCCAATTGGATGGTGTTCCAAGCCTTAAGCTGTTTCCCCAGTGGCTCGATTCTCCTGCGTCAGCATAAGAAGCCTGCAAGCCATGGTTCTGTTTGCTCTCACAGCGTCAGGGGCCGACACACTAATTGATTTTTTAATTATTATTTTTCTTTAGCGTTCTCCTTACCTTTCCTGCTTGTGTATCCATGTCGTCCATGATGGATCCTTCTTGTGACTTGTCGTCTCGCGCATCTTGATACTAGTCCATAAAGTACCTAATTACCTTGTACCTGGCGACCTAACGACCTAAGCGACCTAGCTTAGGTACAGCGTGGTATCAGCTAGAGTTATTTGGGGGCGGACTTTAATGTTTGAAAATAGGGATAGGGATGATGGAAATACTAATGGAAGGATACTTCAATACATCAATCGATAGTGGACGGTTTAGAAGTTAGAACCTTCAGCACCCCTGTTCCTTGTCAAAACTTTGACCACTCTTGATTGAGTATCAAAGTATCAAAGTTCTTCAGTGCCTATACGAGAGATAAACCAAAACTTCATTACCCTATTGTGTGTGAATACCCTCTTTTTTAACATTCTGCCGGTCTTCGTCTTAACTAACAAGCTTCGACTATCTGAACAATTACTTTCCTTCGCCAGCCCAAGTTTTTTCATTTGTTTGATCTTTGATACCCCCCATCCTCTTCCATCACTTTTGATCTTTTTCTAAACAATCTTCTAATAATTCCCTAACTTGAAGAAAAAAACGTCTACTTTCTTCCCCCGGCCCGTACCAGCTACCAGCCACATCACGACTAGCGGCGTTTTGATTCAGAACCAAATTAGCGACGGCGGAAAAAAGACTCTATGAGACGAGTCATTAATCCATCGCATACCTTCGTTTCTAGGTCTAAGTCTAGGTCTCGGTCTCTATTTGTAACAAGTTTCCGTTTGGTCGATTATCGCCCACTTTCCGCTATTTCGAAGGAGCCGAACAAATCCCTTTGATCCTACTTCCCGCTCTCTAGATCTTCCGATTTCCGCTCTCCGCTGTCCGTACGTACCCGCGTGAGAAGCTAGGCCAAATTATACACCTTTCTCTACCGCCTCATATGCGGTTGACCGACCCGCAGCTACGGTGCGACTAACCGCTCCAATGCCCTGGCAACCGCTGCCTCGTATCGCCTTCGCCGTCGCGACCTATCCCTTCGAGACCAAGAACGACAATGAGCTTCCCTTAGAGATCGGCGATGATCTATACATTATCGAGGAGACGTCCGACGGCCAATGGCTACGGGGATATCTGTTGGCGCCTCCTTCGCTTTTGGCTGGTCTGACTTCCGTCAAGGGCCAGCCGCTAGAAGCTCGCGTTTTCTCCGGTATATTCCCGCGCAGTTGTGTTGAGATACGTGAGGTCTTGGGCGATGGCGACGAGCATTCAGAAAATAGTAGTAATTACCAAGTGGATGATGATGCGCAACCGATTGGAAGTGACTCCGGAAAGAGTGGAGTGGCCCCGAGTGCGAGGAAATCATACGCAAGAGAAGGAGAAAATGGTAGCAGGCCGCATAAACCGAACGGTACCGCGTTGAACGGGACCATCTCTCGAATCCCGGAATTAAAAATACGTGAACCGGGCGTACCTAAGCCAGCCGCGCCGGTCCCGATGCTAAGGCTCGGCGATGAGACACCTACCTCTACCATGGAACCCTTAATAGACGAAATCGCGTCATGTCTGCGCGAATGGCACTCGACGAATTTCCACGACCTTCTCCTTACTAGGCAATATACTAAGCTTGACAAAGTTTCCCAGTTAATCCAAACCCTGGACCTGTCAAGGCGACAATTTCTCCACAACCTACTTACAACTCGCGAATACAATGCGCTCCGAGAAAGGACAGTCTGGGACCTGGTTAGGGGAAACAAGCTTTGCGGAGGGGAGGTTATCGTACGCGACCCTAACGAGAGAGGCCGAGTTCTGACTGGTGACGACTCTGTTGTGGAAATTACTAAGCTGCAGTCCGTTATGAGCTTGTTGGACGAACCCCCGCAACCACATGTCGAATTGTCCGCTTTGCACCACCTAATGGTCGATATCAGAAGCTTTGCTGGCTCTTCTAATGAGCCCACAACGTTGGTGTTGTACCTCGTTAGCAAATCCGTTGGGGGAACCCTGACGACTCTCTCGGAAAGCTACATGATCGAGGTACCATCTGGTGGCACGATGGGCTATTTAACTAGGAATCCCCAGATGCGCACTTTATTCACCGACCTGACCTCCGCGGATATCGGCGACGGGCCGTCTGCTGACTCTGAATTATACCTAATAGTGAAGGTTCGTTCACCACAGCAGATTACCGTCGGCAAACCTGTCTCAAGGTCGGGATCGTTCGGCCCACCCAGCACACCATTTTCAAAAGACAAACCCCCATCTTCTGGTGGTAACAAGGCCTCGAGGAGGAGTTTGATGTGGGGGACTACAAGATCGGCATTTTCTAGAGGAGGGTCGAAACTTGATTCCCTTTCAGAGCAACCCGAGGAGCGACCAAGAACAGATGGTCTCGACAGTAGAGATGGAGGGGTACCCCCTAGCACTGCTGGGTCGAGAGCAGCGCGCCCTTCCGTAGATGGTCCGCAACCAACGCAGATGCTAGCGGAGAGAATGGTGGGTATGGGTGTATTGAGTCTCAACTCGATCATGAAACAGGACGAAGAGACAGAGCACGTTGTCACAGTTTGGTCGCCATCCGCGAAGTTCACTGCCGAAAAATATGACGCTACTGAAGGATGGGATGGCATGGTTCGCGATCTCTTGGAAAGCAAGTCCGGTCATTACGAAAAATCAAGAAGGGCAGAACGGTTGCAAATTCATCTGAAGTCTTTCAATAGCCCCGACGCCGATGCTCTTATCAAAGCAACCCCTACTTCGCTTGCTGGTATTAGCAAGACTAACAAAATGGGTTTCTCTGGTGCCCCTACGAAGCCCCGATCCGATATTTACGTGACGGTTACTGAAGCCCTTTTGTCTCGACAGAATCTAATCTCTCGTTTTGGAGCCAGTGCTACGACTATTTCAAGTAACGTACACGGCGCAAATCTTATGGTTTCCTTAGAAGTTCGACGATTGTCAGGAGAGCGAATAGAGGATTGCATATACTCTTCTTCGAATTCGGAGCCGCTGAGCACTTGGCGCTCGTTTGCTGTCGAGCGTGGCGAGCATTGGGATCAAACTCTTCGATTGTCGTTATTACCCGCTGATGTCAGCATGGCGCATGTTGTCTTGACCGTTTCCGACTTACCTAGTACACCATTCGCAATTGCCTACATGCCGTTATGGGACCAACATGCATTCTTAGGCGATGGTATGCATTCTCTTCTTCTCTATAAGCTCGACGAATATACGCAAACAGCCCAGGCTGGCCCCGTAGGCCGAGGTGGATATCTAACTCTTCCCTGGAGTGCTCGTAGTGACCCGAGCGAAGTCACTGGTCCGCTTGCGACTCTTCGAATCGAAACATATCTCTGCAGCACGAGGTTCTCTCAGGACCGAATAATCCTTGGTTTGCTAAAATGGAAAGAAGGTCCCAGAGATGAGATCCCATCGTTGCTGAAGCAGCTGATATTTGTACCTGAAATCGAGGTTGTCAAACTACTGAGCGATGTCTTGGATGGCCTTTTCGGTATTCTGGTTGAATACCAAGGCAACGATGAATACGAAGACCTTGTTTTCACAGCTCTTGTTAGAGTTCTAGGCATAGTCCACGACCGTCGGTTCAATCTAGGCCCATTAGTTGACCACTATGCCGAAAACAAATTCAACTATCCTTTCGCTACGCCTTGTCTAGTAAGATCATTCACACGACTATTGACGAAACCGACTGAATCCGAGACCGCACGAAAACTGAGAGCTACACTGAAAGTTGTCCGCCACATTCTCAAGTTCATCACACATGCAAGAGGTCAGCAGAAGGTTAAGGAGGCTGGCATTGGTATTACGGGTAGCACTGCCGGCTTTACGCGACATCTGCAGAGTATCTTCAAGGCTCTCGACTCAATGATGCGAAGCACCGCGCCAGTTCTGGTTGGAAGCCAAACATTAGCAGTGCAGCATTTCCACACCTGGTTACCCGAACTCACAGGATTGCTTACCACTGAAGAGATTCTTCATATCGCCATCGACTTCATGGATTCCTGTGCTCTAGTCAAGGGCAAATTGGTCCTGTACAAGCTTGTTCTAATAATCAACTACTCTAAGCTAGATCTTTTCTCTGGTCCGGAGCAACGATCTGCACTCAGTGCCAATACCGTAAGGTGGATCGCGCCACATTGGGGTCAGGTAGATGAAGTGACAGATCAGTGGAAAGAACAAGTTCGCCTCTGTTGTTCGGTACTATCAAGCCAGGTCGACCATCTCAATGCCGAGATCCCGGATTACATCCCGAAGATTGTAGGATCATACTTATCCATTCAAGCTACCGAATTGAAACCAAAGAACCGATTTTCACTTCTCTTCCCCACGACCTATCCTTTCCCCAGCAAGCAAATATCAGGCGATGCTGTGCAATTTGACGAGGCTTTGATAGAATTATCGGCTATCTTATCCGCGCTTGCGAACTCGCCAAGTGGGATGCAGCTTGAGTTAGCTGCCGACGACCTTACAAGTCTCCTAAAGGATACGCTTAATGTTTATATGAGTATTCTCCAGGGGGAAGCCTTCCCATCCAGTTGGCTTAGCGTGTACATATATCACCACAAGTCTACCATGAGGACGTTACAATATCTTGCTAGTATCCTTTTGGAATCATTCTTACCTCATCCCGACGAGGCGGAAGACTTTGATACGGAGCTATGGCGAATGTTCTTTTGTACATTACTTAAGCTTGTCGGTAGTGGACACTTGGCACTTGAAACATTTTCGGAACAGAAGCGAAGAGCAGTCTGGAAAATTGCTGGCGACGTAAGAGAACACGGCGCTGACTTACTGAGACGAACATGGGAAGCCATCGGTTGGGAAACGAGCACCGACGAGCGGATTCGATACGGACTAACGAAGATGGGTGGCTACCAAGTGCAATACGTGCCTACGCTGGTTGGTCCTATAGTTGAACTTTGCTTGAGCGTCCACGAAGGTCTCAGGAGAATGGCCGTCGAAGTACTGCAAACCATGATCGTCAGCGAATGGACATTAAGTGAGGACCTCTCTGTCATTCAAACGGAAATGATTGATTGTCTGGACGGATTTTTCAAAAACAAAACCATGACGGAGAGCATTTTACAAAAGTTGTTCGTTGGCGAGCTTCTTGAACGATTCGACCCACTATCTCAAATTCCAGGCGACCCTCTGTATTCTGCGCTGAAGGGTTTAATCGAAACCATTGCCGAATTTTTAGATCTTCTCGTCGCGGTCCATAGTGGGGATACAACGAGCGAGGCTTCTCATTTAATTAATCGCCTACAGCTTATGGAGTTCCTCAGAGACATGCAGAAGGAGGAGATATTCATCCGCTACGTCCATCAACTGGCCGCATTACAGTCCGATGCTAGGAATCACACCGAAGCTGGACTAGCTCTTCGCCTCCACGCCGAACTATACGATTGGGAACCCTCGAGATTAACGAGTTCTCTAACAGATCCAGATCTTCCAGAACAGTCCCATTTTGAGCGCAAAGAACGCATCTATTTTGACATGATCAAACACTTCGAAGACGGAGAAGCGTGGAGCAATGCTCTTGCCGCGTATAAAGAACTTCAAGCTCAATACGAGAGCAATGTTTTCGACTTTGCCAAGCTTGCGAGAACTGAAAGAGCCATTGCGACAATCTACGAAAAGCTGGCAAAGGGCGATAAGCTCGTACCTAAGTACTTCAAGGTTGTTTATAAGGGTCTTGGATTTCCCCTAAATCTACGTGACAAGGCATTCGTGTATGAGGGCTCGCCAACGGAGCGTACATCGGCCTTTACGGATCGTATGCAAGAACAGTATCCAGCTGCTCAGATCCTCACATCTAGTGATGTCGATAGCGAGGTCGAAGGACAGTACTTGGTGATTTCGGCTCTTAGTCCACATCGCGATCTCGGCCACCAGGTATTCCAGCGGGCTAGGGTTCCGCAGCCTATCCGAGATTATTTACTCTCAGCCCACGCCCAAATGTTCTCGGTGTCTTCTAAGCGCAGCACTAATGGTCCTGTCGAAACTCACTTTGCCGAAAAGACGATATATACCACAGCCGAGCCTTTCCCTACGATTTTACGACGCAGTGAGATTGTGGACATCAACACTTTACGGTTGAGCGCCAAGGAGACGGCCCTTGAGCGTATCGTCCGGAAGACGCAGGAAATGACGACAGTTGAGAAGCGACTCGCCGAAGATGATGATGAAGAGATTGCGCAACTCATGGTAGATGCTATCGCTATCTCAGTTGACCCTATTTCTGAGAGCAGTGTTGCCTGCTACCGCCAGCTTCTACCTGCTCCCCAATCCGAAGATGAGGAAGAGCCAGAACTTGACCAGCAAGAAAACGCAATCAAGATGGCGCTTGTTGACCATGCAATCATGATTAAGAGGTGTTTGACAAGCTTTTCTCGCAGCTCAAACCCCGTCCTCTTGAAGGGATACGAGGACTCTTATAAACGTAAGCATTCGTTATGGATTCATTTAATGCACTTGGCTAACATGATTCAGACTTCTTATCAACATTCGCACCGGAGATCGCAATATTTGCACCCGTTCAACCGTCCCGGGAAACCGCCACTAATACTCCGTCGCCAACTTGGCAACGAGCGTCCCCTACCAGCGAACACCGTCCCCAGGAGCACAAGCCCAGCGTTTCGCTAACAAACGGCGCTGGCATCGTTGAAGAAGCAGCCGTGCAGCCTCTCTCTACGAGGCAACGCGGGACGCGGCTTAGCTTCATGGGGGGCAAGAAGAGGGATCTTCCGCAGTCAAACGGCGATGCAACAAGTATGCAACAGCCATCAAAAGCTGACAGTGACTCCAATAGCCAAGTAAGCAAAGGCAAGGATAACTCAAATCGAAGGAGCATATTCCGTAGCCAATCGAATGACACGAATATCAGTTCGAATCAATACGCTCAACCCTACCCAAACGGAATCGTAGACCCGACCACGCCAGATTGGGTGATAGATAGATCACGCAAAAGTAAAGAGATAGTCGATGTCGTCGAGAGGGACTTTGATAGGCCTAACGACGGCGGGATAGGGTTCACTTCGGTCAGAAAGAGGCTAAGCATGTTGAAGCTGGGAAAGAAACCGAGCAAACCGAACGGCTTCTTTATGGGCGGGGTAAACGAGGAATCCTAGCAGGTCCCAGTTCGCGATACTGGCGTGTACACAACGGACGTTGGGAGTCAAGGGGGGGAATACCAAATTTGGCGGAGCAGGATAACGAGAAGCTTGATGAACAAAACTGGCGTTCAGGACTATCATTTTGACGAACGGGCGAAGTGGCGCCGGAACTAACTGTCGTATCGATGCTATTTACCCGCGCCGGCGGACTCTTTTTTAGGTGCTGTTTCCATTCTTCTATTTTTTCGATAAGGGCTGTCGACAACGACGATCTCTCTTCTCGGGCCTGTGGGAAAAATTAGTAGACCTACACACTTCCGGCAACGAAGTTTCAATTTCATAAGTCAAAAAAAGTGTTTGCAGATGATCAAAGTCGGGGTTATCATCTCGACTCTTATTCTATCTATATAGGAATTGAATTGTATGTATGATCTTTAATTATTAAAACACGTAATTTTGAGACTTTTCTCTTTTGTTTCGATTCTTTCGGGCTACTTACATGTATTTATATTTCTTCGATCTTTAGCAGTTTTTGGCAGGTCAGCGATCTTCCGTGTCGCTAGTCTTACCAACCGAAGGGGCTGAATAAACCAATTAGGGTAGAGCAACTCTCCCCACTAGACCAGATGTTCTTGGTGTGCAGTAGTTCGCCATCACGAAACTGCCGGGTAAATTAGAAGGGCACCCACATACATATAGGTAATAGGTAGGTAAGAATCTTTCCACGAGTCTAAGCCGAGAACAGTCCGCAAATCTCTTCGGAACCATCTAGGTGCTCGGTAGGTGATAGGTGGTTCAAATATTCGTTGACATGAACTGACCTTCCGGGAGAGGTGAGGATCAGTGGCGAGGTGTCAAATGCCTATCAAACATCCAACAGCAGCAAGGAAATCAACAGAGACCCCTGTTGAGTTCCGGGGATACAGCTTTTTAGAGAGACCAATAACATGTGACCTTGTTTTCTCGTTTCCGAACCTGTTTTCTAGTCACGCATATTCAATTCAAGTTCAATCAGTTATTATGGTTATTTTTGTTTCCGATGTCTCAGGTTATAGGGGAACGGATGCATGTTTCTTGAAACATTCCTATTTAAAGACATCCACATCCACTGGGTCTTAGAGTAACTGTCGTCATCCCGTCTTCGTAGCTGACTGGCTCCCCCACGTAAACCCTCCCAAGCTCCGCGAAATCTCGTTCCTGCAGATCCTTGGCCAGACCCCTGGTCTTTCTTGCGTTTCTCAGGCCACGTTCGCGTTGTGGATCTAGATATAGAAAATACGACGGAAATAGGATTACTTTAGCATGATAAAGATGTCGTTCATGATCAACACTCTACTAGATCAGCTAGATATAATGTGAAATGCAGCTGTAGTTCGGTCCGTTTCATCGAAGGTAGTACCAATCTAGCTAGGAAGATGATGCGTTTGCCGCGTTGCGAGTGGTGCGCTGCGTACCCATGTGGCTTATCCCGTGCTTAGGCGTGCTTAGGGAGCCTAGCGATCGCTTAGGAATCTCGGACGGCAGCGAGGCAACTGGCTGAACCCAAGCCGTCGATCCTAGCTAGATCTAGCGAATCAACGCACCGAATGTCGTTCTCCCGGCTTGGCGGAGTTTGGGGACAGTGATCCCTCAATACAGCAGCAACACAGAGCTTCTACGGTAGGAAAAACGGCGTGTTTCGTTAGGATGGCCGTGGCACAGATAACTAACGCTGTCCTTTTTCGTTCTCGGCTTTCCTCGTCGGCCCTTTCTTATGTTTCTCTGTCCTCTTCTAGTTTATCCATGTGGCATTTCCCCCCTGATTACTTGCGTCGCCATCCTCACGTCTCTTTAATTGAAACAGACTTACCTCATCTACCGATCGGGCGACCAGGCTAATATATTGCTTACGTCTCACTTTTCATATCGAAATCCAAGCAGGCGGTCCAAGGCCACGATTCAGAGAGCTCCGGTAGAAGGGCTCTCCCTACGCCAATCTAGATCAATATGCTAAACAGAGCCTCTATGATCCGGAGATAGTACCTAACGCTAACGCTAACGACGAACAATGATGCGAACCGTATCGAACCGGGTGCTACCTCTCGCATTCCGTTATGGCTCGGTGCTTCTAGCCGCCCTGCTTGTCTACTACGTTATTCGCGAGCCCCTGAACTCGGCCGTTAGCAATGTATCGTTTCTAGGGAAGGCAAGTTTGCACGCCACCGAGAAAGGGAACGAGCCGGCCGACATTGCGGCCGTCGGAGGCGCCAAGGCCGTTGACGACCCGGCGCAAATAGATCTGGCAGGCGCGGTGGAAGATGTCCCGGAAAAGAAAGTGCAGGAGCCAATGGGCGATATTGGTATTGTCTACGAAAAGAAATACAAGCCGGAGCCGGCACCTTCCAACCCTATCGGAGACCACTTCCCGTGGCTCACGCATTCCAACGCTCCGCCGCCAGTCCTCGAAAACAACCTAGCTCCTTTCCCACACGTCGAAGAAGCGACGCCGCTCCTAATCGGCTTTACGAGGAATTGGCCGCTGCTACTCCAATGCGTTAGCAGCTACATCGCGGCGGGGTGGCCGGCGGAGGATATATACGTCGTAGAGAACACGGGCACATTCCACTCGAACCGAAACGGGGATCTCGAGCTACAAAATCCATTCTTCCTCAACCACACCGCGCTCAAGATTCTAGGAGTACACGTTCTGGAGACGCCGACACTTCTCAGCTTCTCGCAGATGCAGAACCACTTTTTGAGCATGGCGCTGGAGCACGACTGGCCGCACTTCTGGTGGAGCCACATGGACGTGCTAGTCTTCAGCGACGAGGACGTAAAGAAGAACGACCGCGACCACGACTGGGATCACGACCCGTACGCGACCATCTACGAGCGCTGCGTCGGCCTTCTACGTTACCTCAACGGCCCCGACATGCCCCCCTGGGCCACCCACTTCTTCCAATTCGACCACCTGGCCCTCGTCAACCGCGACGCCTACCTCGAAGTCGGAGCCTGGGACACACAAATCCCTTACTACGCCTCCGATTGCGATATGTACCTCCGTCTCCACTGGGCCGGGTACTGGCAACCACAAAGCGAAGCCGGGCTCGTCTTCGACGTGGCCTCCGTCTTCGACGACATCGCCGTGCTGTTCCGCGTCGCCGGCTCACACGCCACATTCTTGGGTGACCCAGTATACGCCAAGGCCTCGTCCAGCGGCAGCGAAGACGAGCGCGCGCACCACGAGGCCGACCTCAAGCGCGAGAAGGACATGTACCCGTGGGTAGAAAAAGAAGGCGAGACGTTCGCGCATCTCGTGGAGATGGCCTCTCGCATGCAGGATCTCAAGTGGAAAGACGAGGGAACCCGGCGGAATGACTGGCAGACGAGACAGACGGGCGGAAAGGACGATCCGTTTTACCGCGACCCCGAGGGCTTTGCGGCGGGCGTGGAGACGCTGGTGGATGCTGGGAGACGCGTTTTCGCGGATAAGTGGGGTCATCGTGGGTGTGATCTCTTGGCTATGGGGATTGAGGGCAAGGATGCGTGGCGCTTGCAGCGCGATTGGGATATTAATGAGGGGCCTGGTAGTGAGGGTGGGAATTGGGGGAAGGATTGGATGACGGGGAGTGATGGGGAGTGAGTGGTAGAGCTGGGTACCGAGATAAGTGAATGGGAAGGGGGAAGATACAGATGCTTGGGGATAGGGTGGAACGCCGTTCTAGAAACCTGGTTGAAAAGAGGCGGTGATTATGGATTGTGTGTACATAAGACTCTACGGCGTTGGCGGATGGACGGGCGGGAACAGTCCCCCTTGGCGTTGTACGGATGTCTGGTTTGATGAAAAGCGCTTGCGCATATATTGTTTATAGTAATGATGACTCAAATATGATCTCTAGGTCCGAGGTCTTTCCTTGATTTAACTAAAGGGTGCTGTAATTAGATCACGGACAATGATGAGCACCCGTGCTCTATGAGAATCATCACTAAGTTCGATGGTATTCTAATTCTTACGTTACAATAAACTACGAATTCATTCGAAGGTTAGGTAACGGGGGGCCCTCTCACTGGTTATGCGCTGAAACATACAGTTGGTAATGGATATTTTTCCACAGAACTTCTTTCTCGCAGCTGCGCGGAATGATATCCAGTATGACTAACCACATGATATATCGAGGTATATTCTATTAATAGATAGGTCGTCATATAAACGTTCTTATGTGCTCCAAAATACCTAGTGACGTTAAAAAAGATAGATCTAGGCCTAGAGAACGTGTCTCCCCTGTTTACCCCTGACGTGACGCACTGGGCAATGAAGATCTACAGCACATAATATGATCACCTCAATGGCAATGTAGACGTGAGCCCGGTTATGTCCTTGCAGTATATACCTATGTATATATGCTGTCGTTGTAGACGCGGCCAGACACGACGCATGCGACGCCGACTTTCTAGTAGGGCCGACTTAGTTGCAGTCCTACCTACCGTTGCAATGAGTATTGCATGACTGGGTTACAAGGCTGCATATAACACGCATTAAGGCGACGATAAATTTAGATTTCTAGACTTGTCTAGATCTATGTGCTTGATAAATGTTTTATTAAGCATCAGATACTTCTCCGAAATTGAGCTCTTGAATTAACACAATTGTTACATTGAATTCCATCGACATTCGCTCAGTCAGTTACGCCTCCCCATTCTAGATCGTTTAATACAAGATTAATCTCAGCATCCTGTAAATCATTCGCCATTTCTTGCTACCGGGTAATGTAAACGAGGCGGCGCGTCAATCATTGTCGACCTAAGAGTAAGATACCTAGGAAAATGTGGCATGGCGATGGTCAGAGCAAGACTTCAAGCAATCAGTATTCTGATAATTCAGGTGTTATATATGCAATCAAGCTTACCGATATAATGACGTTTTTTTATTTATCTCTTAGGGAATCTTAAGGGGTAGATTTGGATGAGATCTAGGCTGGTTGTAGGGGCAAGCGCCATTGAAGGTGTTCGAAGCCTCGGGTGGTATCGTTGGTAATGTTGCCGCTTTTATTCTAACAATACACTAAAAACAATGTGACGCCCAAAGTGAGTTAAGGTCTTCCTGTATCGTCGTGTCTAACGTCTCGTCCATTTCCGGAATTTTGCAGCTTAGCCTTTTCCTCTTAGATACAATGAGAATAAGCCAAACTATAGTTGATACACAGAAAGGGTTGATGACCCCGAAGACCCAGACCACAGGATCCAAAATACCAATCCTCTGTGTGATGACGAGAAAAAGTGTGAGGACCACAAAGAAGTACGAGATACTCAAGCAAGTGCCGGCTTGTCGTATTTCACAATCTAGCATGCCAGGAGCCTCTTCTGTGAAAATACATAGGCCCTTAGGCATATGTAATATCCTTTGAACCTGGCGGCCTCGTCGTACCACAAGTTCCCGTCGTTGAACAATTTGCTTTTCGACGATAATCATAACACCAGCTAGTATGCCTTTGAAAAGGGCTATTGTCCCAAGGTGGGCGCAGAACTCAACAAGACATTCTGCCATCATGTAAGTGACGTCGGTGTAGTGTTAAGTATTGGTGTAGGTGCCTTTGGTGACGCGGAGTAAATAGGAAGAATGATGTTTGTTGATATTCTCAAGGCCTAGATGAATACGACTTCGAAGTTTACTGCGGGTATCTTATCATGGGAGACTGAGTTAGGGTTAATTAATATCAAAGATATCTAACTTTCTAGATACAAATAGTGAAGAACTTTATATATACTTTACTAGGTACCAACCTAGGTATGATAGACTTTCGTGGTAAACCTACTAGCAAGACTATACAAACTTTATTACCCCTTTAATTCTAACTATAGTTAAGGATATTATTGTCTTAGAGATTACTAGGTTAATGATATGAACTTGGTAATGTTGAAGAAAGGCGTAATAGATCAAGGTTACATCACCGAGGATAAAGAAAGGTAAGTATAATTAATTTTACATACTTAGCCAGATAGAAGTAGGTACCTACCTAGGGAGATATACAATAACTTTGTTATTCCATATCTACCTACCCAGGAGATTCTGACCTGATTACGGAGATATGTAACTGTAAATCGACACACCTTGTTTCTAATAGTTACTAGGTACCTACCTAGGTAATCGTTGAATTTACGAACCCTTTATTAGTCATATTCATTTTGAGAGTTAGTTGCATAACCTGATAACGTTTCTCTATTCTCTGGAGTTGATAATTCACTTATGGTCAACATGCCTCTGAGACATTGCTGTTGTTTAGGGAAAGATAAACTGATAGTATGGTGGTAGGCCTCGTCTTACCCAAATCAAATTTTATTAAATAAGCGTACAAGACATCATCGTTTCGTGGAGAAACGCCAGATCACATCCATAGCAACATGTTGACGTTAGTTTAACACTGACAGTTAAACCCGAGTCCCGACACAAGGGATAGGGGCCACATTAATACCTGACCACCCTTGACAGCGAAATGAGCTCAAAAGAGCTCTTAGAAGAACTTATGAAAAAGCGGTGGCAAATTCTTCAAGATTCGATAACAAATAGGCATTGTCTCCACTGTCTGAGAAACCAATTAAGGACTTTCGATGGGGACCTTGAGTATTCGTTTCGTTATACTTTGATAGAAAGCTACTACGATACGAAGAACTCTGCAGTTTAGAAAGTCCTGTTGCACCGCATGACGGACAACATGCCCCTAAGGTCCTTAGTTTATGAGTTCCGTATGTAGAATAGTTATCCGATATTTGCGTTGATGTCGACATAGGACCCTTATTTGAACACTAAATCGTACAGGCATTTGCCACAGGACTTTCTATATCTCGGGTCTTCCCGTCGTGGCAACAATGGAAATACATCCGTAGTTGTATCTTCCGGTGTCATCATCGGAGAACTTTTATAGTCCGATTGAGAGAAACTTGCGAGGACCTGAATTGATATCTCGCCAAGTCGGCCCCTAAAAGTATTTCAAAGAAATAATAATTTGGCGGAGCCGATGTCAACATCAACGTCGACTTTGATGACGTTAGGTACTATCTTGGCTAACTGACCTTTTAACTAGTATGATCTTAACTATCTCAAGGTATTACTACAACTGGCCGGTTTGCCGCCTTTGGGAGGGAACACATATTCTCTCATCTTCCCAAGCATGGAACTAGTGTTCTGTTTCTAGTATAGTTGATGACTTCCCAAACGCCAAGGATAGCTGGATTGTTAACGAAGGGGTGCATATGGCGGCATGCAGGTGTCAATGAGATATCAAAACCTGGAAAAAATTAGTCTACTGCATCGTGATATGACTATTCGAGATGTCTGCATATCCTACACGAAACTACTAGGTATTTCTTTTTATCATGGGTGAATGGTGGTTGTGAGAATACAGTTTGTTCAGCGTGGTACGCTTTAGGGTAAGAAAAAAACGTGAAATTACGAACATTCAGCTTCTTTAGCAATATGTAGCGATATGTATTGTACCATGGATGACTTCATATACCCAAGTTCACCTGGGCCATATCGATAGGTACCTTCTGGAAGTCATAATGGAGCATTCTACACCAAGGTAATATTTTCTCAGTCTCCATATCTCATAGAGTCCGGCCTCTCGGATACAGCCCATAGCAAACACCGGGTTAGACTGGAGTCGCTCTATCATATATTAATGTGGCGAAGATACCTGCACCCCAGAATCTCATATGGACCGACCATTTCTTGTGTAATGATGCGATAGATTGCGAGAGTTGTTATTGAATGGCGCATTTAGGCGGAAGAAGACGTTTTTTGTCGTCACTGGTATTCGGTTAGTTTCATCTCGATGATAATAGGTGTGATTCGGATTCGAATTGCAACAAAACTAAATGTTGTTCTCAAATGAAAAATCTCGAGATACTCAGCAGAATTTCTCAATGATTGCTCTTCCGAAAGCGGTTTTCCATTGGACCAGCTTCTACATTTGGAATACTAGATACTCGGAGTCCAGTCTCAACTAGGCATGATCGCCTAGATGAATAGCATTTCATAAGCCTATGCTAATGTCGCTTACTATGACAAGGCATCCTAGCATTAGCATCAGGTGTAAGCAGTGTAGCGAGTGTGAGTGTGAGGCCCACGAGTCATAGTAAAATATAGTGATCACGGTCCGCCCAGTTGGTAAAGAAGACCGGATCGTTGGGGCATGTTATCTCTCGGCATGTGAAGGAGAGGGGATCGCAGAGAGGGTTAGTATTGAAACAATAAGGGTCCTAGAGCCTGGACTTCCTCAAACATTAGACTGATATCATTGGACGCGACGTCAAAGAAAATTGGAACGTGCTATAAAATCAGATAAGGTTGGATGGGTTGCAATCTGCGAGGGAGACGCATCTCAAAAGCCCCCCCTGAAATGTAATGGGTGGGCCAATCACATGCGGGAGTCTCGAAGAATGGCACCAATAGTGTTGCCGTATCGGATGATGTTGAAAACCCGACTTTGATCGCTAGATTTCCGTAGGCATATACAGGGATTGAATGTACCTTGTAGGCATCTGGCATAGATATCTGGCAGGAGTAAATGACGAACGCGTATTCAAGATTTCGGGTCGAGCAAGCTGAATCAACGTAACGAGTCGGCGCTGCGGGTCGATTTAGTGTACAAACCGACAGGGATCAAGATCCCCGAACAGATCATCCCGAGGGCGTCGATCACTACGATCGCATATTAGGTATTATCCCGCCCGCGGGTTAAATCTGAGCTTAGAATTGTTCGAGAAGCTATAGTTATGACCTATATATTTTCAGATAGAGCTAATGGGAGAGCATTTTTGGTCTGGGATATTATCGACTTGCCAACATAAAGAGATAGATAAAGGTGAGGATAAGCATTATTTAGCTTATAGCACACGTATTATAACCTACCGACATAGTAGGTAGCTAAGACAACTGTGGATATCAACTTACTACCCGGTCCATGTAGACAACCTTGGCGGCGATGCCAAGCTTTGAGATTTTCGACACCTACCGCGTACGAAATTCCTACATACCTCCCATGATGATTTTTATCGCGTAACAGCTCTAGTTTCCTGCCATTTAAGAGTACCTTGCAGTCTATCTTGCAACCTCGTTTAGCACAAATTTACCCTTTAAGGTCCCCTCCCGAAGAACATAAATCTAGATATCTGCGACTGATGACCGAACGAACCACGTCGAGTCTTGGAAATGGTCGAGATAACGTTTGGGCAGCCATCACAGTCGAGGTCGGGAAAAACGTGATGGGAATATGTAGTAAGTAAAGGGCCATAGAGGAGGTAGGCTTCTTAGTAGTCGATGCAAAGACATGGGGGATCCATCGCGTCTAGGCCAATGAGAACGAAACTCGTAACACGGTAGAGATAAAAACCCGATACTACCTGCCAAAGTTGTCACTCAGCCTCAACAATGAGTAGGCCTCCTCGCCGGTGTGACTACGCCTGACCTGGACTGACCTGTTACCTAATGCTGGTCCATGACCAATGTGACCTATGGACATAGCCGCATGCCTCTCAAGTTCTAGCCGCAAAAAAACGGTCGAATTCATTCTACCTAGCTAAAATGTATTAGCATATCTGCCTAGGTAGAGTCTCGGTGAGATACAACTTATTGTTATGTAACCAGTCACATTATGTGTCTCGCATCAATAAGTTCCTCCCCCATACCCCCATATCATCTGCTATTGTGGCTGCCTATGTACTAGGTACCTACCTACCTACCTATTCTACTAGTAGCCACCAAGGCATCTATCTTACAAAGGCACTCACCTGGAAATATGATAAATCGACGAGATGCCTACGGCCAAAAGCATGCGAGCAAGTGGCGTAGTAAGTTGTATCTCTTCCCTTGGTCCTGATGACCGGATTCGGACTCGAGATCTGGTAACGCACCTCTGATAGGGCTGGGCGTGTTAATTGTCCCAGTAAACCACCACGCTTCTCTACACCCGGTTCTTTACAATGTGCCGACGTGGCGTGCAGATATGCACAGATATGTTGTGTTCCGGTTAACGGTTCCTGAATCTAGGGACTTGATCCCCACAACCAGAGTAACCAGTGGTTAGCCACACACAACCTTCTAGGGATCATGCCCGCACCCCATGCTTGCTCTATTGTGGATTCTGAGATCAGATTTGAGGCGACACTGACTGGGATCAACATGGGGATTTTCCATTTCGAGTAGTTGGTAAAGCAAACAAGATACAAAGCTTGATAGCTTGGTCGACTCCATCATCGTTGAAACTGGGGATGCACGCCACGCCCATCTAGGCCCGGACGTCCTCCCATGCAGGACCGGGGCATCGTTGATCTTTGCGATATCGAAGAAGCCGTATCGTTCGATGGGTCGGGGATGAATAGTAACTTAGAGCACCGTAGGTATGAGGGTCCCTACCTGATCGCGCATAGATGAAGCCGAGAATCTCATGCCTCACTAGTACTTATATCCCTTACCTTCATCCTGTCGTTTCTTCCGATTTCTAGAATTCCTCGTGTCAACCAACCCCAAAGAACAACAATCAAAAGATTAGAGAAAAAGACATCCTTATCCTCTTTTCACCATGACGCACAACCATTCTGAAAAAGGACACCCGGGTGCCTTTGATTTGGCACCGACCCCCATTGCTTCAACCTTACCATCGACCGGACCCTCAACGGGGACGACCACCCCGTCGATACACTCTGTTGGGAAGGGGGGCAATAATGAAAAGCAGGTTGAGACAATCACAGAGCGTGCCATCCTCCCAGACCAACTCGGAACCGAACTCAGTCGACAAGTCCGCCGTAAGTCTTCATCGCTACCTAGCCTAGAACTAAAATAGGTTGCTAACATATCTCCTATAGACAAATATGCCTCCTCATACAGGAAAATATTCGGAGTCATATTCACAGCCAACCTAGCTGTCTTCATAGCCTTGATGGCAACCAATAAGGGTAATCCTAACTCGCGAGATGTGGGTAGCGCCGCATCTGCAAACCTCATGGTTAGCATCTTGTTCCGTCAGGAGGAATTCGTCAACCTTTGCTATGAAATCTGCGTCTGTGTCCCCCACTCTTGGCCTATCTACATCCGAAAGCGCCTCGCCAAGGTCTTTCACTACGGGGGTGGTCACAGTGGTGCAGGAACGGCTGCAGTAGTATGGTATATACTTTACACGATATTGGCAACGAAAGAATGGATTGACGAGCCAGTGACTGACGAGTTGGTAAACATGATCACCAGTTGGATCTTGGTCTCCATGTTCATCGTCATCTTAACTTCAGCTCACCCCGACTTGCGCCGAAGGTTCCACGACTACTTCGAGGCTTTCCACCGTTTCGCTGGTTGGACGGCGCTGACGACTTTCTGGATCCACAACATCTTCTCTGCCAGAGTCACTGCCAGACAATGGGACGCTTCCATCGGCTACGTCCTTCTCCACTCTCCTAACTTCTGGTGTATCTGTATCTCAACCTCATGCACCATCGCCTCTTGGTCTCGTCTGCGCCACCGCGTAGTGTACCCCGAGAAGTTGAGTGACCACGCCACCCGCCTGCACTTCAAGTACCGGGGAATGGCACCTTTCTACGGTCTTAAGATTAGCGACAAGCCTCTGACTGAGTGGCATGCTTTCGCCACCATCCCCGATACTGACCCTGAATCTGGAAAGATCACAGGCTTCAGCGTCGTAGTCAGTAACGCCGGTGACTGGACCAAGAAGCAAATCATGAAGCCCAACGAGCGAAAGCTATGGGTCCGTGGCGCTCCCCTCCACGGTCTTCTCTACACTTCCAAGCTATTCAAGCAAATCGTTGTCGTCGCCACTGGATCTGGTATCGGACCTTGCTTGTCTCTTCTGTTCGCTGATGCTACTCCCCGCCGCGTATTCTGGAGTACACGAGAACCTGTTGGAACATATGGTGCTCAGGTTGTGGCCGAAGTTAAGCGAGCTGACCCCAACGCCGTTATCTGGAACACCCACGAGAGGGGATACCCGGACATTGTTCGGGAAGTTTACCAACTCGTCCACGAATCTAACGCTGAGGCCGTCTTCATCATCTCTAACCCCAAGGTGACAGAGAAGGTCGTCTACGGCATGACCACTCGTGGTGTCCCCGCTTACGGTGCTATTTTCGACTCTTAAACAACGGCTATAATGAATGAATGGATCATGACGGAAGATTGCTAATATCGGCAAGTCCTCTAAACTTACTAGGGGCATTGGGGATGGCAATGTGTGATGTAGGGATTAGCGAAGCATTAAGTTGGGATTCAGTGTGGGATCACAACCCGAGGAGTGGCATTGTCGACGAGAAGTTAAAGTTGAATGGATTTTTTATTATCTGGCGGGCAGCAGAGCCGCTCTTGTAACTTTTCACTTCGCGACATTCTTTTTCCTTTCTCCCCCTTATCCCCCCGTTTCTTTTTCAAACTCTGCAGGAATATGGCTGGACATCATGAGGACACTGTAAATAGATTATTAGATAACGCGAAATGCCGCTTCTCAGGTTGGACACAGATATCAACTAGGTATCAAAAGCTTAGAATAGACTTAGATCCCACCATGAAACTAACTATCTATGAATGCGATTTTTACCTTCTGGTAAATCATTCTCTTAGAACTCTCCATTGTCACATGGTTTTTTCTTCGTAGTGTTTTTCATTTTTTATTCTTCTTTTCATACCTACCTAATCTCTTCACCAAATGACACGGAGCTACTGCTGGTCAACTATAGTGCATGTGTTACTCCTTGTCTAGAACGACCCATCATGAATACTGTGGCAACCCTCTTTACCGATGCTATTGGATATTCCAGCGTCCCGAATATGAGCTGAAGAATGATACCAATCCACTTCGCCCACTTACTACAATCCTACCTGCTTGGCTAGGGAGCCTAGTAACGTAAGTACCTTTCAAAGGGGCTACGTCATGAAAAACCGAACTAACAAAAGTAGAAGGCTTCATTTGAATATGACCATGATACCGTATTTGGAGGTTGTTTGAAGAGTGGCGGGAGCAGAATCTGAGTGGCTCCACGAAGGGTAGCAGTCACATGTAACAGCAGATGTTACAATGCATGCAGTAAGAATGATATCCGATCTAGAGCCTGAAGGTTACAGCCAAGAATATCCACACTAATATGACGCATGTACTGCTGTGCGCGCCGCAAATCGTCGGAGGGTTAATTATGTGAGTCAATCTGATGAAAAATTGTACGTTGGATAGTCACTAGTGAAAGGGTGACGACGCCACCCCCTTTTTTTCATCTTGGCACAGCATTAGATGCCGACGAATAAAGGAGTAAACCCCTAACTTCTATAATATGTACACATTAAATGAACATTAGTTAAATTGTACTAAGATACCTTTGAGAATTCTTTTGCCCATATTTTCAAATTTCCTTTCTCAAGCGGCGACCCCCTTATTCACAAATTTTCTTCCAAGTGGACATGGCGATCACACAGCTGGCAATCAGCAAGTATCCTGGGACAATATAACAGGAGAAGCCCCAAATGTACCAATACCACGTCCCTGAGCCTCAACACGTACCAAGGGCGACTGTCCTGGTACGCTTGTTACGGTTTCGAACCCAGTCTTCTCCACTTGAGCAGCCAGAGTGAGACTAGAGTTGCTCGCACCTGTGAAAACCTTCCACGCACGGTGTTCTGTCGCACCAAGCCAGCTCATGTACACCATGGTCTTATTATTTGCAGCATCTATGCAAGCAAAAGCATCTGGTGCTGTCTTGGGCTTGCCAACCCACGGGAGACGGTAAGCGCGGTACGAGAAAATGTAACCATCACCAGGTCCGAATTGAGCCTGCATGGCGACAGAACCATCTGAACTATACTCTCGGATCTTAGGGGTTGAACCGTATCCCATCACGACGTGTCCATCGTCTAGCTTCTGCAAATTTCCTTGGGAATGGGCGTAGACTGTGTCTCGGGGATCGATGTACGCACGATCAAGAGTTGCCTTCATGGTTTTTGTGTTCAAGTTCATGAAGATGCCTTTCGTCTGGTCTATGCCGGAGACGACGTCCGAGTTCGCGTTGTCGAAGATGCTGATCTGAACAGTGTCTCCCACCTCGCGGTGAATTCTAGCATCGTGCTGATAGGAAAAGGAAAGACCTTCGCCAAGCTCAAAGTCACCTCCAGATTTGCCCTAGATTTCGTTAGATCATGCTTCTGAGGAAAAAGGTATTTGCTCAGGTGGGGAAAGGTGAGTTGATCTTACCTGTAGAGTCCATTCTACCGATCCGTCCTTCGCGATCTTGAAAACTGAACTATAGTAACGCGAGGAGATCAAGTATGACCCGTCTGTAAACTTTTCGACTGAGTTGATATGGAAATATCCATATGGAAGAGATTGGTTCTTCCCGTAATCTGCCAAGGGGTAGAACTCCAACACATCCGAAATGGGAATCTGGTCAACGTGGCTTAGTGCGCTCCATTTGAAAAGGATTTCGTTGGTCTTAATGTCTAGCTCGTAGAAGATAGAGTCGGACACCCAACCATCAACTGGGCCGCCGACCGAGCTCAGATCGTACTGAGTGACGTTGTAGACAGTCACTAGGATAGTGTCATCTGCAGTGATCTTGGATTCGTGCAAATCAAGGTACGAAACGAGCTGGGTGGGGTCCAGTTCTGGGATCGTCACAAAGTTCTCCTCCGCAGCAGTCAACGAAACATTGTAAATGCTCGTATAAGACTCATCGAGAATCTGAATGATACCATGACCCCAACCATAAGGCTCCGGTAGAGATATTCCATTGAAGAAAGTCAAGACCGGTTTCCCCTCGAAAGTTTGAGCCTTGAAAGCGGCGTAGTCGCCAAGTGGGGCGCTCTGCCAAACGAGCTCATTATCATCAGACATGATAAAGAGACTGTAGTTGTGCGCATAGTTGCCATTTTGGACGAAAAAGAGATATCCAGGAGAAGTCGGGCCATATTTTGTGATGTTCAAAGACGGTCTGCGACGCGTAGTGTAAGCAACTGCTCATTCCATAGGTAGTCGTGAGTTGAATTGTGTTTCCAGGAATATTCAATCTTGGAGAATATGAATATTCTCATAGGCTGTTCATGAAGATGAACCCCAACATAGGTACTGGGTAAGTAATAAACAAGACTAGGGTTACTTACGGTTCGCGGGAACTGGATTTATACGTCTGCCAAGGCCATGAGATGTTCTGCGCTGAGGCTGGCAAAGCCTGAAACAAGCATGCCACAGAATATGCTAAAGAAAGTGAGAGCTGCATATTGAACTGTGCCGTTATCGTGCGGATGGCGCAATAGTTCGAGCGGAATGCGTGATACACGGAAATGCATAAAACTACGCTTTATAACTACCGGTGCCCTCAACTCTAAGTCCGATTGCGGTTCTCGATGTGGGCTAGTAAATAAAATTCACAATAGGATGGTGGGCTTCGTAAACGTGGTCCCTGTCATGAACACCCGGCGCTAGACCAGGGGCTTCATCCAGTCTGTTTTCTTACGATCATAATGTTTTTTCGAGTGTCGTAGGACTATGGGAGTAGCTCTACGATAGCGTAGGTTCTTCCGTTTGAAGTGATCCATCATAAATATAAGTATTATTTCTAGCGTTTGAAATAATGTCAAGATCGGATCAAGGCATATTCTGGATGAGTGTAGATTTTACGCACTGAAAATGTTGAAAATAAGAAAAGTTCCAGGTACGCATAGTAACGATAACAACGCTAAAATCAGTATAGCTAGCGCGCTGAAGGATTCAGGATGATCATCATTTCCATAACAAGTTTACAACGTCATTAGCAACAATCATTCCACCAATTACGGACAGATGTCAGAATTAAGTAGAACTTCCGCACCTTCAAAAAATTTCTAGGCTATGAATTAAGGGAACTAGACGGGAAATGTGGATCTAACGGATCTAATCAGCGGATCTGATAAGATTGATCAGGATCAACAACCAATTATCACAAGCTGTGGGTCGACTTAAGTGTTGAATGGCAGTAGCGTTCAGGGGGTTCCGACCCCAGAATCCGAAGTAATTTCCCTCCCCAGCTTCCGATATGCAAGCGACATCAAATATTTCACTCAGCTAAGGCGAAGTTTCAACTTTTCGTTACTAAATTCCGGCGGATACGGAGTAGTAAACTTTTCTATCTCAATTCAAATATCTGATCCGGAATATCGCCATAAAACTTCCTACGCACCGCTTCACCATCCATCATGCCATGGATATAACTCTCCCCTATGAGACGATAATAACGTAGAGGGTCCTTTTCTCTTGCCTTTTTTTCGTTCTTCGCTCTTTCTGATAGGTCGCCATTCTTCTCCGCATCCTCCTCACTACCATCATTAACCTGAATCTCTTCTCTCCCAGGTTTCCCATCATCTAGCAATTCCTTTAGCTTCTTGTTTGCAATCTCCGTAGCTTCCTTTATACCCTTTGGCACCTCTCCTTTAGCCTTGAAATCCAACTTCCGGCGTCGTCTCTCCTGACACTTACTAATAAGTGTTTTCAGATTTTCCGCAGTATCATCCATCTTTTCTTTCCTCGTATCCTCTGGTCCCTTTTGCCTTTCCCTCAAAATAACAGGCACCGTACATCCGTAGATAATACCAACTTTATCTCCTTTTCTTACATCGCTTGATGCTAGTCCTAAAACATTTCCCTTCGTCTTAAACAATCGGCGATTCCAAATAACTGCCTGAACGCGTCGACAAAATTCAGCAATAATGGAATTGCGTTCGTCGTTGATTAGAGCTGTGGTGTTAATACCACCACTCCGTAGCCCCCCCTTGATTGCAGACTCCTTACATGCTCTGGCGTAATAATATGGCGGATTTTTATTATCCTTGCCTCTGTCTGCAACAAGTGTTCTCCAGAACTCGTCAGGTGGGTTGTATTTGTCAGGTTCTTTCCAACCACCTAATTTGAGCCAAGATGTCGGAATAGAACCACCCTGAGAAGCTTCCATTACTTCAGCAACTTCATCAAATATAAATCCCTTGACATAGAGGCTGTAATGTCCTAAGGAAAGTCTCTTTCGGAATTTGAGGACTGTTAAATCTGCATGTTCTGTCTGCGCCGCACTGTAGTTCCTATCACGGTCGCGAGGAACGCCAACAAGAGGATCGGCGTTAACTCTACCAGCTTTCTGAATGTCCATACCAGGGTGATAGAATAGTGCGAAAGGCGCAGATGATGCCAGAGGAATCCAAGATGGAAGCGGAATATCAACGTCCTCCGAGGTATCATCGGTATCCCCATCTGAATCTTCACTTTGGGAGTTACGGATGCGACTACGTTGTTTCTGTGGCGAATTATAGAGTCTCGAAAGGTGAGGGAAGTGCTTTTTTTTCCACTGCCTAGCCTCCCATCTCCGATCCTTATCCTCTTCATTTGATACTCTGACTTCACCTTCATCATAAAATGACCATTCTTTTTTATACCAAATTTCCAGAACAGTTTCCAACCACTGCCTCAATGCTTTCTTGGGCTTCTTTGATAGCGCAGAGTCTTCTTGAATACGGGTTGACCCCCTGGTAGGTGGTTCGAGAGCCCATGGGCGGCATAGAATATCTAGCGTCTGCACCTTGTCTACTTCGTAGCCGCGATGGATGCTGAATTCAACGAAGTCTCGGCAGACATCATAATATGGCTTGCCATAATCCACGTGGAACGGCTTCTCCTCCAGAAAAGAAGAGAAGCCCGTGCGCATAAATAATGCGTATCTTTTGTCTGCAGGAACTGATTTTTCGACAAATGGCGAAGTATCGCGAGCGACGGCGAGCAATGAGTATATCGCATCTCGAGGCTCTGATGTTTGGAAGATGAACATGGTGGTTACTAGGTATTGTAAACTCAACAAGCTCCGTCTCTTCAAGGGGTCGATTGTTTGAATATCATCAGGTTCGGGATTTGGGACGGTGTTTGTGTCTATACTCTGGGTTCGAAAGATTTTGCCTGTTGCTTGGACTAGGAGGCTGGCTCCAAGTTCGGAAACATGTTCGAACCAGCCAGGAATGTGGCGGAACTTCTCATCCTTCTGCATCACCTCGGAAAGCCGGTGAGTCGCCGTTTCCACTTCAACAAATAATTCCACTGCGACAGCAAAGTTATCCCAAGGAATTTCGTCGGGACCGCAATATATAGTTGCTTTCCGGGCCAGCGCGATTTCTTGGACCATCCACCGGCGCGAAAACCAGGATCTTTGCATAAGTGCCAGCAATGCTTGCCACTTGTTCCCATATGTTTTGTCTGAACATATCAAGTCGAAATGCTTGAGTTCTATCACTTCTTCTTTGATGAATTTGATTGCTGCCTTACTATCGTCGTTGCTCTCTCCAAGCCAGATACACACCTGCTCGGCTCTGGTATAGATTCTCGACATCATCTGAACCTGATGATTCCGCTCGTTGTCATCTTCCTGGTTGATACATATTGAATCAATCCATAATGTTCTAGGTTTCTGTGTATATCGGAGATACTTCAGCGCCAGTGCTAAACTTTTCTTTATCCTTCTCTTATATGGCATGCCGTCCTCTTCAATGATGATAGCGTAATCATCAGGTTCAGTTCCCCAACACCACGATAAAGCTTCGTATTCGATTCGAATGGCCTCAACATCCCGGTATTGAGCTATTCTTTCTTCCTGGATCGCATCTTCTTCCGTTGGTGGTGGTTCCGAACTAACATTGTTGTATTCTCTACTATCCTCATCTTCTAGCTCTTTGCGTGGGTATTGGGTGGATCCGATCTTATCTTTCTTGGGGTTAAGGTTAGGCTTTGTTGGTACGTGAAAAGCGTTATCATAATCTGCCTCTATGAATTCGCAAAGGATTTGATGGTTATTAAAGGCGGCTGGCTTCAACCGCAGAAGACGAATTCTCATTTTTGTATTAGGCAATTTGATATATTTGAACTCTTTAACAAGGGACAGATCTGGATCATCATATCTTTGAAGCTTAGGAAGTCCGTCTGAGGCGACTCCGCTACCATCTACTGGGAGTAGATAATAAAGGCGATTTTCCATCATCACTTTGGATAATTCCCTCTCCATAGTTGTGCTACAAGATTATTTTTCATAGGGGAGGCACAGAATAGTTTAGTTGGGTCAAGACATATGAAGATGAATTTGAGTAGGTAGAGATTTGTTTGAAATATCTTTTGCTTGAATGCATAAAACTAACCTGAGCACATGAGTTCTAATAATAAATTTAATTCATCAGTCAATCCCAGTTAGCTAGCTTCTTGCGATCTAACTTGATCACCTGGCACATGATATGGTTTTTCTTTTTTCTTCACCCGTATGATTCAGCCACTCCATGCGGGCTAATCTACGAAATGGTCAAAGGGGGACACCACCCCGGTCCAAGTGAAGAAGAACCGCCAACCGGACACATCCACATTACCTCTCATGGAGCAACTAATTTACTGTAAGAATGCGATTTGTTGAAGCTTGTAATCACCGTAACACTATTACACTTCGCGCTACCTCTAAGAATAGAGAAACCCGTTTCTACGTAATAACGCGATAGGCCTGTAATTATATCTGCAGTGACTAGCCACACCCCTTACCGTTATCGACCAACCCGGTTTTATCCACGGATACTATTATGTTGTGCTCCATGCGAGAGTTATTACCTTAGTTTGGAGAGAAAGAAAGTTGAGTCGTTTTAAAAAGAGTGAAAAAATCATGAGATGAAAACTTGGGATTCAGATGATTGAACTTTTATGTTATAAATGTATGAGTTAATAACAAGTGCTGGACAAATTTACTTAGTGAACTCAAAAAGGCCTCCGTTTCTTTCTTCACATATTTACTTTCCCGCAAGAATAAGACATTATGCGGCTAGCCGCTGTGGACAAAGGTCTGCATGCGCTTCATCTTCAGCTACCAAGTTAGCCACCATACATGTACGCTGGCTAAGGTGGCGTTTGTGAGTGTCGTCTTCCGAGATGCAACCAAGAGGCATTCAAAACGAAAGAGCACTGCAACTGAAACTTGCCTTTGGTGGTGTAGTATGGCAGGACCCAGAAAGCAGTTAATCAGTGATGTCATCGACGATGCTATCTCACATTATACTTTGGAAGAGCTCATGTCGGAATGACTAAGAGTGGCAGGGAGGGGATATTGACAAATGTACCTACCTAGTACCTTTATGTACGTACTTAGGGAGGTCACAATCTAAAAAGCAGCATACAATATTACCATGCACCGATGTTAGGTACCTACCTACATATGCATCGGCACACGATTTGCGTCGGAGTATTAGGCCAAAAGGATAATGTAATGTATACCTTAGGTACCTTACTAGGTAAATATAATAAATGAACATGAAATATCATCGATAGATAGCTTAGATTATATCAAAATATACCATACTTTGGTTTGCGTTTTGGGTATCTTTGACGAATTGCTCAGAATAGTCTTGATATCCCTTTTGATCATCATCGAGGCCTCGCGGGTATTTATCTAACGTGGTAGTACCAACCATCCTGTATTGGCCGTTACTGTCTGATCGCACCAGAATAGGCGACAGAAGCGCTGGAAACACGCATAATATGTCGCCTTGTTCGGGGTTAGCGTGGTCGTCCCAGAGGAATCCCGTTGTACCATCTTCCAGCACAAATGAGCCCTGTCCGAGGATCATATACTGCCATTTTGCACTGTATAGTAAATCATTTGCCTCCTCCTCTATTGTAGGCCACTTCCTCATCATGAATTCCGGTCGAATGAATGGCTTGTCCTGTATCATGGATTCATATGCATTCACGAAAGCCTGTTCGAAACCATCAGGCCAATCCCATGGATCATTCTGGAAGAATCGAGATACTCGGCTCCGTAGCCATTGTTGAAGAAGTTGATTACGTGGGATATCTGTTAATGAGGAGCTTACTGAAAGTATCGCCTTCTCACAGTCAAGATATTTGCTTAGTGGATAGATCGGTTCAGTTGCAGTTCGAGGTGGTTGAGCTGGAAAGACAGAAATACAACGTCCTAATATTATTCCTGGCATCCTTAAAACGTTCGTTTCTATTGAAAAGCTGAAGCACGAGCAAGAGGGATTATCAGGTTCATTGTCGACTCCAATTGGGACTTGATTCCGAAGATCGGGAACCCAAGACGGGACGCCATTCAGAGCTCCGATAGGACCTAATCCTAGCACCCTGGTGTCTTTCGCTTTTGAGAGGATGAATCTGGTGTACTGGAAATAAACGTTCTCATATGGTTGTTTGTAATCGGGAAGCATCGACTGTGGAAGCGACCAACCCCTGAGCAATCCCAATAATCCATATATGCGATCATGAGGTACGGTAGCATTGAGATGGTAAGTTCTGTCGAGCCATCGGAGGATTTTGAAAGCGTGGTAAGCTTCTAGATCAGCAGTACTCATCTGGTCGACATCGCCACGTGGAAGCGGCTCATACTGGCCCCGGAGCATGAAGTATGTCAAGGGACTTGACGACTTAACATAGTCTGACCGGAATACCAAGTAGATCCATGCGGATAAAAAAGCCTTCAGATCCATTGATACAGGGCCTAAAAGTAAGATAGGTCGTTTCTGGGCAAGAACAACTTCCTGTGCAATCCAAATGCGGGTAAACCATGCATTATTTCCGACTTTTTTCAATGTTGCGATAAATTTGGACAATTCTGACTGGTTCCTGGCCTCTTTTAGATTTTCTTCTGTGTATTCTTCAATGACCTGCCGCAGTGGAGCGTCTGGGCCACCAGCTCGGCGCTGGAAAGTTTCTAACAATGCTGACATTTCCGCCACAGAGTCCCGTTCCTCTGGGTTTATTGGACCTAGCCATGCCACAACTTGTTCGCTCATAGTGTAGATATCGCCCATTTTCGGTATCTGGAAGGCCTTTTCTTCAATGTCAGTTTGGTTGATACAAATAGCATCAACCCAGAGGTAGAAATTCCTAGGGTCTTCGTCGATCAGCTCCTCTGGATCCTCGAGCAATCTCCGCCTGAATTCAAGTAAGGCGTCGTAGAGGTTTTGCGTAACTTGGAGCGAGCCCTCATCAACGATTATGACCTGCATGTTTTCTGTGCTGCCCCATACGTATGATAGGGCGCAGAAAGATGGGTTGGATGACAGCTTTTCATGATGAAGGTAACATTTTATAACGGGTGAGTAGTTCACATCAAAACTGATCAGCCTTATTTCATCTTCGTCTAAAGAATGATATTCGACAGGTTCCAATTGTGTTAACTGATCCATACTTGTATGTGAACTTAACGAATCTGTGATAAAAAGATGTGTTACAATTTACGTGTTGCTTGTTAAAATCGATCGGCTCTGGGGCTGAGGTACCTGAGGGTTGACGTGCCTATCAGCTGATACGTTTGCTGATCAATGGGCTGTAGGAGGGGCAGGCAGCAAGGGGATCGTCGTATAGAGAATTGGGGGCTAAAACAATGACCATCCCCATGCTTTATCTCTCATGCCACTACAGGACTGTACCTACCTACCTAGGTATGTATCCCTTCAATTACGAGATAACCAGAGACATAGAAAATCTGATTGTCAAAGCGAAACAATCACTGATAGTGCACCCACCGTCCATTGTTAGCCATGAAGATGCCAAAGAAGGAACCAAGAACAATGACCTTGTTTCCTATTGAACATGCCTCAAACCCCTTTAACACTTAGTCCCGCTACCTTTCAGATGCACTATTTAAATCTACCCAGAATTATCGTCTCTACTCTATCCAGAATTATCATCTCTACTCTATTCAGAATTATCATCTCTACCGCTCATAAGTTTTTATTTAAGCAAAATTTCTATTCACTATGGCGACGATTCACATTTTTAGAACTGCTGAGGCTGAGTACAATGCAGAGCCAGGATTCTGGACTATGAGAGACTCAGGCTTGTCCGTAGAGGGTCTCGAACAGTGCATTGAATTCTCTGCTTATTCCGAGTTCCTCTCATCTATGCAGTACGTCACCCACGTGGTGTCTTCACCCTTGCGTAGCTCTATCTTCTCCTGCCGTATCGCATTTGACCGTGTAGTTTCGAGCACTAGTGTCATCGTTTCTCCGAATCTAATGGATGTGGGATGTCCGACTCCGAGCCTGGGAACCGACGCCGTTACGCTTGGCGTGGAATTCAGTGGGCAGATTGACCGAAGTATGCTTCCGAATGGATGGGAATCTATCGACTCGGGTAGCGCGAACGAGTACAAGTTGGAGAATATCAAAGCACGCACAAAGGCTGCAAGAGAGTGGCTTATGGACCTTGCACGTACTGCGGGCGAGAAAGCTCACATTGTAGTGATGACCCACGGCCAGACTGCCCATTTAGTTGCTGATGACTTCCAAGGAGTCGAGTCACCTTACGATGCCAATTGGGATGGCGATTTGAGCTGGCGTTCTTACAATTTCGATTTTGCCGCTGAAAAGATGATCGAAACAACTGAAAGCCGTGTTAGAAGAGGAGTGGCAGACACCGATGTTCTTACCGACGACGAGAACAGCGCCATTAGGGCGGCAGTAGAAGGCCTAATTGAGGAGCGTGCGCCTCTAATTCGGATCACCCAAGCTGACCATGTAGAAGCTGAGAACGCGTTGCCATTGATGGTTAATCATCTTCATCCAAACTAGGTACGATGGTCAATCTTTAGTAGGTGTATATAGTCAATTGAATTGATAAATGCCCCAGATAATTAATACTTATTCTTGATATTTCTTTATGTTTGGTACCTACTTCTCTGGTAGGTACTAGGTACCAGGTATGTTGCAAGTTTTGAAGTTGTAAAATCACGGGCCACCTAAAAGATTTTTAGTGTCCACAATATAGTGGAATTTAGCCCCTAACCCTCTAAATCCTAGGGCCTGGATATGAACTGAAGAAGTGGTAGGTAGGTAACCTTAGAACCAACCTCACTCTTTTAATACCTACCCAAAGTTAAAAATATCGCCGGCGTGATCGACGCTCCACATTTCACAGCATTTTGCAATCTGGAAAACTCTTAACCGTCTAATTCAAGGTAACTGGTAATAGGCTGGGAAGGATGCAAAAAGTATAAATTACATAAAAACGCAATCCTGGATAATAGAAACAAAAGGGGTATCGTCATTTACCTATCCAGATTCCCAACAGCGCCCCATTGTAACAACCTCTTTTCGTATTCTATTCCCATGTGTATCCTATATTCCAACTTTTAGTTGACGCCAAGCCCTTAAGTGCCAGTAGGGCAATGCTACCGAACCTCATGATGCCAACCCCAACTCCTAATTATACAAGCTTTACGCAAATTAGAACTTATAGCTCCATGCTTCATGTTAGCTAGGTTGTGTACTTTGGGAAACTGAATGTTGTCCGTTATCATCGGTAGCTGTTGTAGTTTTTGCTCCGTCTATATTCTTCAACCGTGTATCGGAAGGACCTTCATTCGACGTATCCTGGAACTCTTGGATATAGTCTGTGTCATCGGGGGCATCCCTATCGCGGGCGGGAACTACCGGGGCCTCCACATCTGCTGGCTGCTTGCGAAACCTCCTTGGTATGAACGTCTTGTACATTGTTTGCCGAAATGTTCGTGTAGTTCCGAATACGACGAAAACCTATAGGGTTATATATTAGTGACGCACGAACAGGCGATATGAATAACGGCTGGCAAGTTCACGTTGAAAAATACGAGGCCACGAGACTCAAGCCTCCTCAGGGTAAACGATAGATGGACCTACCAGTAAACTGGTCGAAACCCCTGCCAAGAAATGTAAGAAATCGGTCCTAGCTTTCCCCACAGACAGATCCGCAGCTTCGCCTAATTGCTCTTTGGTGTGGGTTCTTAGCTGAGCCACCTCTGATAGGATAGTAATTAACTGGAAAGTCGCCAACACGACGAAGCCGATTGAGAATCGCAGGACCAGCCAACGATCATAGATGCTTTGACGGCCGTCGCCTTGATCCAACACATTGATGTCTCCACCAGACTCCCGCGACCTTCGCGAAAATAAGTAACGAGCATTCCATGAGACAAGCCGGTGTCGAGTATAGATATATTTGATGAGAATCGCTATTAATAAGACACTGCCAATCGAAAGGCTAATCATTACTACTCTCGTGTCAGCAAAATCGACCCCTTAAGGATTATTAAAAGGGGTGGGGGACGTTTACTATTAAAGTTCGCGAGTATTAAGAAAGCTACGTGAGAGTTTTGGACCCTTTCCACACGCAGTAGAGCCATTAGAATGGCAGGCAGGATAATAGCCACAAGTTTCGCTAGCTGGTTGGCTCTTTGCCTGAGGCGTTTGGAAGTTGTAAAGTGTGCGAATTTAAATACGGTATAAGTGAGCGCGACGGCCCAGAAAAGGGTAAGCATTGCTTCCACATTGTATGTGTAATATTCTATTACAATATGGGTGGTCAACAAGAGGTTCATCAGTGAAAGAGGTCTCTTTAACTTACGTATATAGAATAGGACAAGATCGAGGCCAAATGACGCTCCCGCGATAGCTATCTCTGGGCTGCCAAGATGCCTGAGAGTGTATTCGTACTGCTCCGTTTTGATATCTCTCCACCAAACGAATGTATGAAATTGCTGGATAATACTTCCAATGGTGCCAAGAAGCGTAGAGTAGGAAAGTAGCGCGACATCTATGAATTGTCATTAGCGATTGATATTAGGATAGTAGATGTGGCGGTCCTTCATGGTTAGAAACATACAGCTATCTCTTTCCTGATGCGTCCAGACCAACCATATCATAAGCCCACTAGCTCCAAGGCATAGGAATGAATATACAAGAACGATAATAGCAACGCCAACTACCTCAGGGAGTAGTTGAACTCCCATATCGAGTCGACGAGAGGTAATTGAGACATTGGCGACAGTCGAAATAGACTCGACGTTGGAAAGTCGCAAAATTAAAACACCGGAACATCGGGATAATAAGGTTTGGCTATCCAGGGGCTTCCGAACAAGCCAAGCAATATCTCCATCGCCCTAACTGACGAGTAAGTACCGCCGCCGATTCTAGACGCCAAGAGCCCGGTGCTGTCACGGTTACAACCTTGTTCGGGCGTGTTACCGAGATAATCCATGTGAGATTTCCACTCAGATCGGCGTGGGGGTGCAGAAGTAGCTAGCCTAGGTTCACGGAGCAAGCAAAAGCGCAATACGAATGGGAGATCTCAAGCGAGAAGGGTTTGTGCGGCCAATGGCATAATTGGGACAATTTCGGCAGTGTTGGGGTCATCTACCGAACCCTCGACGCCGATGAAACTCAACCCCACGTTATGGGGAAGCGAGCTTTAGCACATCATCTCGAGGCGAAAACTATGATGACCCTATTTCTGAAGTCATGATATAAGAAAAAAAGAGTCGAGACCATAGAGGCTGAGATTCGCTCCGAGCTAACTTGAGGCGAATATTTGTAGCGTGTTGTGACGATGCTTACTACGGCTAGAATTGGGTCTTGGAGGGTCGTCCGCTGAACTTACTGGACGTTAGTGAGAAACAAGGGTAAAGAACAAGCCAACTACTAGGGGAGTCAGCCCGGTTTTCACGATCCAATACAGCGATCGACGAGAATTTTGGTCTAAATCAAACTTAAATTGGCTATGGTGCAAGATCTAATAATATGGAGAATCGTAGATCACGCTTCCACGAAGTCCTCAAAACTCGGTATCGGAGCCTTAACTAAGATGGTAATATGAGCAATCTGATATATGGATCGTTGAACTTCGCATGTTGCTATTATATAGGTACCTAGTAGGTAGGTAGTTCTTTCACACCAGATTACATCGAATGGGAAGAATTGGAATAGGATTATAGCCTTAGTCACTGTCACCATAAATCTAAAATATACTAAGCATTTCGGATTGAAGCGGTGCTGCATTGGCAAGTCTTTAAGAAAGATCACATTATGTTTCCGCTTTTGTAATTGAGCTCTTTGCAAGGTACTGTAGCTCAGGGGTTATATTTTAGAGCCCGATATCGCCTCTCTCTAAAACTGCTCCGTGCGTCGAGTTCCACTATGGTTCTGAATTCCTTGTTGTTAGACGCAAAAACCAGTTACATTTTTGATGTTCATCGACCGGAAAAGATCGCATAGGTACTAGTTTGAGGTATAAGCAAAGTGACCCGTCTCAACCGACCTTAGCCGCTGAATTGATATCAAGCATTCAAGGTAACTTGAAGCGCGACACCTACCTGTACATACCTATAAGTGCCCCCACTATATCTTCGTTATGCAGTGGCACACATAAAACAGAATGCTCGCCGCTCGTTATCGGCCCGGACACACTTTCGAACCGCCAGCGACGTTCGTAACGACTATATGATACTCTAAAACATATTCCCAAGTGACTAGCGCTTGTTTCGTATAGAAGTCTGGTGAAGAAGTTGAAGGCCAAGACTTAATAGAATAGGTAGCTACGTAAGCGTGTCTCTTGGCCAATGAAGTGAAAATACGATTAATACGGACATGGGGTCACCTTTACAGGGCAGCAGGGCTCTCGTAACCTAAAAACCTACCTACCTAGTCGTCGATCAGCTAGGAGTGGTACCTTAATACGTGCATATTGACATCGGCGACTTAGGTGAATACCCCTGGACATCTCATGACTAACACTGGAGTCATTCCCATATTCCACATCTAGTATTTTGCGCCGGAGACTGCGTAGGTAGGTATATAGTGATGCGCTCCCGGGTTATGCCCCTTTCAATCGCGTTAAAACTAAAACCTTCGATGCTATGCTGGACATAGGATTACCGCAGACCTCCATAAGAGGAAGGTGTTACGCCATTCATCTTTCGCCTCTGTACCCCAGAATACCTGGGTGCAATAAATACCACCAAGCGGGCGTTATACGTACCAAGTTTAAACAGCCTTCTAGGTATAAAACTAGGTGGTATAAGATCCAATCATGTTATTCTATATGAGCCTAAAGTTCCTACATTCAAGCTGGTAGTCCACATAGGCATAGGCGTCTACTATGTAGCTGGAGAAGTGAGAAGGGCCAAATCAGATAGTTGTTTATCATGTGAATCTCAATGAATGATGCATGATATCCATGATATTAGTCAACAGAACAACTTGGCAATAAAAAGGGACGCGACTACGCTTGAGACAACGTGATCTAGATTGCGACAAAAGTCACATTCTCTTCGAATCAATGGGGTCTGCCGAGACAGGTACAGGAATTTGACCCACCCTAAACACCACTCGGTCCTGCGATGTCACACTGAGTAACGAATCCCACCTCATCGAAAACCCTCACGAGGTTTTCAAAAGCACATTACAGCTGCTTTGAACTAGACATGCTAGGAAATCTGATCGTCTCCTTTCCAATTATAGCTTCTCGGGCTATCTCCGAGATACCCATTCCTTGTTACCCGGATTGGAAATGCCGTTACCCACAGGTAGCACTTGCGTAGCTCTTATCGAATTCTTGCAGATCATCGAAACGTATATGCAGCTTAATTGACGCGCATGGCACAGGCATTTAGTACTGCGTAGAAAGTAAATCATCACATCTTCAACTTTATCGACAAGCGAGGAGAATCCCGCGAAGCTTCTTTCCGGTCAGGCATGATACCAAAAAGCCCATGCATCAACAGTACTGATCAGCTCCGCATTCACAAGCATTGCTAACTTTATTAACAGTTGCAACCTCAAAGGTAACCCTAACCCTAACCCCAGACCGATCATTTACGAACATTCGACATCTAGAACTATCAAGCGCTATTGCAGCTTACTAGATACCTACCTACATAGCTGGCGACATCCCTCTAGCCGACACTCCGTTAACGGACTAGCAATAACATGTTAGGAGCAGAACCTATTCTGATATGATCTGAGGATAGAGCTGAAGTAGAGTCTGTCGTCGTAAGCAGAGCTTCCTGGTAACATCGTCTTGTCTACAGACGGCATTCTCTTCGCATCTTTCTAAGCTAGATCCCCTCAACCTGGGAGCCTCCAAACTACGTCCGTGTTTGAGTGCAGGGAGATAATACCATAAAATGACGCTTCAACCCTCGTTGCTGGTGTTAGATCTGGATTGATCTGCAAGTACTTATACCTCCCTGGAAGCCTCAGTAAGGAAGGAGAAAAGGGGCATGATGACCAATTTTTATTATCTTAACCTGATACTAGGTAGGTACCTACACATCCTTTCGTTAGGTCAGTGGGATGATTGAGGCAATAGCTCATCAAATATGAGAAATACTGCTAGAGAAAGGGCCTATGGTCAATACAATCTAAGGACGACCCATGGGGAATTCGTGTGCATTTTAGATGTTAACATCCTCCCTAAATTTGAGATTATGGTGTGTTACTCCAGAAACGACAGCACCCTGGCAGATTTGTTAAACTTGTGATGCTTCGCTTAGTGGAAATGGTGCCCTAACGGGTTGTAACTGGCTCCAGAACACACTAGGTATCTTAGGAAGTAAAGAGCATGAGAAAAGCTCGAGGAAGAACCACCACTCTAGAAGCTTTTAGGTCATGATCTCTCATTATCAACAAGAAAATCGGAAGCGGCTATACATTTTAGTAAGTACGTACCTAGGTAGGTAGGTAAGTTTCTCATGTGGAAATCGTTTAACTGTAGTCGACGCCATAGGCTCTCAATGTGCAGGCCAAAGAGCCCAGGGAGCTTATGCTATTTTCTTCCAGCGTTCTTAAGCCACCTAAGCGCCATTCCATCTCCGTCAGAACAGTTGCCCGTTACGCTCCCTGATATCCATATTAGTGAGCGTAGCTCAGTGATGCACCGCTGTTCAACAGCCTCAATAGCCGGCAGTGTTAATATAGCATCCCCGTTCTAGCTGCACGAAAAATAAGCAGACTAATATAACCAATACCTAGGCTGTCCCAGCTTTTAGTACCTAACTAACTCATTCCGGTTGAAGTTATTTGTAGGCAGAGAGAAAATGTGCGCTTTATCGCTATAGGCTCCCGCAGGCTTGCCAGTGGTCTTTTTCAACGATTATAAGGGCTAGAGACACATGCTCTAGCATCCTTGTCAGCGCCTTCTACTGGAGTAGAAGCCGCTAGAAATTAGGTACGTACAAATACCTGCTCTAGTGGTGCTCATTAATGCCCCGGAGTGCTCCGTCTGAATAAGAGAATTGGGTATCATATCGACCGTCCTATTACATTTTGTCGCAGCAAGAGAAGGCTTGCAGTTTGCTTGAGCTGCGAGTTTTTTTCTTTGAATATAATTTTCTTTTAAAAAAAAACATTATTAAATGAATTTTTTATCGAAATTACCATGAAATTTTAAATATTATTTCAAAATTCCTACCTATCAACGAAAGTTAAATTCAACGTGAAAGATAGGTATAAACAAAAAACTTGGAATATTTTCTGAATTAAATTAAAAAAACTATTAAAAATGTTAAGATATTCCAAGGTTAAGTACCTACCTAGTACTTAATAATAAGACGATATATCTAAAACGGGCTTGCCTCGCAAGAACACCTTCGATATCCATTCCGCTTTTTGGCTGCCCCAAGTAGTTTGATCTATAGAGATTATGGACAGCCATTTTCTCAGCCCTTCATTTTTGCTTTTTTCTTTCTTTCTAGGACTTGCCTCCATATGACCTCGGCGTTAAGTTTTGAAACGGAACCTAGCGCTTGGTAGGACCAGTATGATATATTATTGGCTGGGGCTTCAAAACGACGCAGGTGATATAATACTTAGATAGTTAGGTGGCGGCTCTTCGACACCCTTCCACCCCCTTCCACTCCCCTCTACCCCTCTCCACCCCCTTCCGATCCCTTAGAGCCTCGTCGAGGTAATATCTTGCCTCTTGTAAGTCTGAAGATAGTAAATGTTGTCTCGGCTCTCAAGCTACGCTGGATGTTTGAAATATATACCTAGTGGTCTTATCTTACCAGAATCTGACCTACGGTACTCGAGTCACATCAGGCTGTGGCAGCCTCGTTGACGATTTGAGTGTATGTAGAAGACCACTTCAAGTGTATATCACAGCATTTAGGGAACTCGCCAAATCAACAGATGATACTATAAGTCACTCGTTAGAACCTGGCGTGGCCCCTTCTCCCGAGATCTTTTATAGTATATGCACCATTTAAATCAAGCAATCTCTTTAGAATTCAAAGCTACCTTCCCATCATCTCGATGTTTTCAACCGGTCCTCCTTCGCCCTCACGAAAGAAACCCACTACCATGGAGAATATTCAGTACGAACTAAGATACTTCAAGTACGAACTATATCCTTATAATACTTGCTAGAGTTCAACACCATGCGCTGACTAGTCTATGGAATACTATAGGACTGCGTACGACCTTTCGGATAACGAGTCCGATGACGAACAAACAGCCCAGTGCGAGACTTGTCATGGGCAATTGAATGAAATGTATCGATGCACTAGGTGCGAATGTGACCTTTGCGACAAGTGCTGGGAGATTAGAAAGTCGCATAAGCCCGGCACCAAACCCCATGAGAAGTCACTCCCGAAAGATGTCAGGACGGTCAGTGACGCTCTCCGTCTTACGGAGAGTAAGAACAAAGAACTGGAGCACAATCGCGAGCGTGACGCCGGTAACATGTGGTTTGGTGTTTCGGAGCCCCAAGGCAAAGAAGGAGAATACTTCTTGTATGAAGGAATGGCCTACGAGGACCTCATGATTGCGGGTCCGTCCTGCCGTCCAACCACGACTTCACCAAGTCTGGTGTCCTTCATCGGAGAAACAGGTGGGCGGCCGCCATATTTTTCTATGAGGAGTTTGTCTTGTGCTGTACGGCTAACTTTGTCAACCTAGGTTCTGGCAAGAGTGCATTGATCAAACTTCTAATACTAGTAATGCCCATCACACTTCCCACCCCAGCTCATAGTCGGAGCTAACCAAAGCGCCCCCTAGTTCTCAGAGAATCGCAAGCGGCGTTTTCCCACTCCTATAGTCAGCCCCCGGGAAAGCGGGCGCTCGACTTCTTCGAACGTGCACCTATATGTCGATCCTTCAACAGTTGAGCAATCTACTACAATCCTATATGCTGATTGCGAAGGCACAGGGGGTTCTGAAAAGACCATCGATGTCGAAGATAAGAATGTTGAGGTTTACTCGCCGCAAGCATTCCACCCGACACCTATCAAGTGGGGGCACATTGATGCGGACGGTACCCAGACCAAATCTAGGCACTATATTACCAAGACCCTGTACCCACGGGTGCTCTACATATTTTCCAATGTAGTAGTCTATGTACTGTGGAACAAAAAGTAAGTGCTCACCATACATCCCTCCTAGTCGCAAACCAGTGGTCTTACCTCCTTCTACTTTTAGGCGTAAGGAAGACATGATCGTTGACCTCCTACAATGGGCCCATAACGCGACGGATCAGTCATATAACAAGCCAGTCTTACCCAGTCTTGTGATCGCTTTGAACAGAGAAGAGGCCGGTCCCAATGAAGACTTCTACTCTATCGCCACAGCCACGAATGACTTTCTGACGAACGACGACGTCAAAAACATTCACATGAATCCGCGGATAAAAGAAAAATATACTAATCAGTGGAAGAAACGAGATCGTAGCAGTGCTATCCATTCAGGAGAAGACCTTTTGAAATGCTACTTTTCAGACGTAAACGTCGTTCACTTCCCTAATCAAGACTGCCCGTCAAAGATGCATAGCCAAATTACGGAACTGTATCAACTGCTATCTAGTCTCTCCATCACAGCGCAAAAGAAGCGAGCGCAAATGCAGATGGACCTAACCGCAGCATCGTTCCCCATGTACTTCAGAAGCGCTTTCGGCCATTTTGCTTCCAACTACAAGAAACCGTTTGATTTCAGCGAGGCCTGGTTTGATTTGTGCCCCGTTGTATTCCAGTTTAGGGATTCGATCCTTAGTCTGGCACATCTTGTCAGCAAGGATAGTGGTCTAAACGGCATGGAATTATGGGAAGATTTGACTGATTTTATCGCGTCTTGCTTTCTTTTGAGCTGGAGTCGAAATAAGATTCAAGGTTAGTGGCGTAAAGCTAAGTTTCCAGGTTATCTCTCATGATTTAGGGGGGAGCTTTGCGCTGCAGCGAAGTTCCCTCGTACTGCACTACATGGCTAACGGGTTGGTGCTAGGTTCCCCAGAAGGTGTCTTTGAGGGACACCTTGAACAGCTCAAAATCGCATTTAGCGGATATTGGAACCGTTTCTGGCCGTGCGAAGAAATATTTCTAGTAGACGGCCAGCACGCGCGATGTGTCAACAGCAAGATTGGTCATCAACACCACCAATTTAGCGTGGATGGTACCAAGTGTGATATCAAAATCCCCGGAAATAAAATTACAGTAACAGGTTCACCGGATGATTTGTATAAACCCCTCAAAGATAGGGTTGCGAAAAAAACAAGGCAGCTCCACACCCAGTTGAGAACAGATGAAGCTCGTATGAAGCGACTCAGCCTAAGCCAATGCGTGTCGCAAGATCATTTAAAGAACGTGGCGGCGTTTTATAAAAACATGAGGGATCTGGAGACCTTCAGCAGCCACTCGGTGTGCTTCTCATGCCTGGATACCGCCCCCAATAATCACTTACCGTGCGGTCACGTTATCTGCACGGCTTGTGTTCTCGATATCGTTGCTGCCAGCCCAAACATAGACGGACCTTTTGCCAATGGATTTGTTCAACTCCACCACTGCCCGCTAGGGAGACACGGCAAGAAGTGGGATGAACCATGGGTTGGAGTGGTGAAGCCCGACCAGGCTGGAGTGCGGATCATGTCGCTGGATGGGTACGTCTCTACTTCAAAGCGATTTGATCCCAAGATGCAGGCTAACTACTCGCATGATTCATACAGGGGCGGTATACGGGGTATTATTGAGCTAGAGCTCATGAAGAAAATCCAGACACGGCTATGTGGAGTTCCAATCCGAGATTGTTTCGACCTAATCGTTGGAACAAGGTGTGTGCATACATCATTGTGTCCGAGACGGGATTCCTTATTAAATGAACTAGTCCTGATGCTAACGTCGACTAATTTTAATAGTGTTGGGGGTATTATAAGTTTGGGTCTTGGTGTTATGAATATGACAGTGGACGAATGTGAAAAGATGTTTGGCGATTTCGTCCAAGAGTCGTTCACAACCAACGTCCCCGAGTCGTTCGGGACAAAACTGGGATATTTGGCACAAGCCATATATATAAGCAAGTATGAAAGCAAGCCACTGGAGAAGGCATTGCAGAAAGCCTTCCCGGATCGTCTCCCGCTGTTCGGCGAGCCCTACCAGCCAGGACAAGCCTCCACTAGAGTGGCCGTTACGAGTACTACCAAAGAGGGCCGGGTACTCTTAATGAGCAATTACAACCGGAAACCTCTTCCCCTTGGTGAGCAAGATTCCTTTTTGACTCGGCTAGTTTACTTCGATATGCTTACAAGGCGCGTTCGAGCAGCGTTGTATCAATTCCATCGACCAGGACGTGAGAAGGATCTGAAGCTGTGGGAAGCGTAAGAAATACACCCGAACTGACGAAAATGCCCTCCGTAATACCTGCTAATAGAACGCGCCACAGTGCGAGAGCAACCTCCGCAGCTCCCACCTTCTACACACCCTTCGCCCATGCAGCTTCCGGTCAGACCCTACTTGATGGTGGCCTCTATAACAACAACCCCATAAAAATTGCCGATGCTGAGAGCAAGGCCATATGGCCAGATACCAAGTATCGAAAGCCAGATGTAATCTTATCGCTGGGTACAGGTTTCCTACCAGACGAATTCAGCATGGCCAGCGCACCAGCCATCGTGGAACATATCCCTACATCTGAACACCGCGATACACGCGAGATGAAGATGAAAGTCTTGGAGTACTGGAGACTGTTAGGCGAGATGTTTTACAAGCACCTCATGAACAGCATGTTGAGCGAGCGAGCGTGGTATGAGTGGCTTGGAATCAAGGCATCCGACGAGGAAGACCGGCGCCGATACCATCGATTAAATGTCACACTTGACGAAGATATTGCGATGGATGATATTAAAAAATTGGACGATTGCCGAAGGGCGGTCCAAACGTGGGCTGGGAACAATGAGAATGACGCCACCATCATCGACATAGCGAACCATCTACTGTCGTCGTGTTTCTATTATGGTTTTGCGAAAGGAGAGATCTACGAGACCTGGTATGAGGGATATCGGTGCCACGGTAAGGGTGCTCTCCATGTTTTGAAAACCTTTGCCCTCCGTCAACGTCGAAGAGATCTAACTGAGGCAATGAGCGCAGGGTCCATCAAATGCCGTCTTCCAAGTGGCGAGAATAGTAGTACATCCCAATTAGGGCAATACTGGTGGGACGCGTATCGATCGTCCGGGTTCCTTCCTCGATTCTTGATCAAAGAAACGCATAGGGAGGGTAGATGGGAAATAAAACGGATATCTCGAGAAGCGATTGAAATCATGGCCAGGAAGGGCGAATTTCACTTCTTAGTGGATGTACGAATCTCAAGCAAAAGAGCCGAGACGGACATTCGCCTATGCATCCGTTCAGATAAGAATGAAGGCAACCTCTTCCCAATCAGTGGGTTTCCACGAAGACTCCAAGACGATTATCCAGGTAAAGTCTCCAATGACCCGGCTCTGTTCTATGTACAAGGTGATGTTAGCTAACCTAATGGTATACAAGACCTCGATAAGGAAAAATACCCAACTACGATCTCTGGGTTCAATCAGTTCCTTAGGATTATCACCCCTGGACGAAAGAGTAGGCTTCTAAGATAGCATAGTTGATCACCAATAACTTTGAATACTTGCCTTGGGTGTAGATCGTCCAGGTGAAGACATGGGGAAAGCAAATCTTGTCAAAGGATGTTATGGTCCAACCATATTACGGGAACCAGACCCACAAACTGGCAGGACGCAAAAAAGACAATCCTTTGGGAACACCTCTTAAAGTTTCGGACAGGCGGCTCCCAGGTACAAAGGTACAAGTCAAGGCTAGATTATGTAGCTCCAACACTCTTTATAATAACCCGACTTTAGGAATCTCTCCGGAACTTTACCGACCCAGGCTTTTGATTGGCTTAGATTTTAGTAAAGGCGCGCGGGCGGCTAGCTCTGCTGTGCGCCATTGCCCGAGGTATTTCCCGGCGCTTTCGACACTCTTTTCATTGATGACCTTATTAAACTCATTTCTCAAAGCATCTTCGAACGAAGACGTATTATAAGCTGCGTAATAACAGTTCGTGCGATCTACATTCATGCAACCCTGAGGAAAAGCGAGTAACTGCCTAGCAATATTCGACGCTTCGCGCAGCGCCTGTCCCTTGGGAACAACTCGGTTCGCAAGACCCATCTGCAGCGCTTCCCGTGCAGTAACACCCCGCCCGGTAAGAATCATGTCTAGAGCTCTCCCCAAACCCACGATTGCCTGGAGGCGTACCGTACCGCCATCTATCAACGGCACTCCGAATCTTCGACAGAAAACGCCGAATACAGCATCCTCTTCCGCGACGCGTATATCGCCTAGAAGAGAAAGCTCAAGACCCCCCGCAACTGCGTAACCTGCTACGGCACTTATGACGGGCTTCTTGATCTGCATTCTCGAAGGTCCAATGGGGCCGATATTGCGACCTTTTACTCTATGACTTGAATCAATAATTGGGCCCCTATAACCCTTCGTTCCAGGCTCGAACTTCGCAACCTCGTGGAGGTCAAACCCGGCACAGAATGTGCCATGCACACCGTAAAACACGCAAACTTTTTGGGTTGCGTCGTTCTCGAAGTCTAAGAAAGCGTCCGTGAGCTTTCGTCCTGTGGGGCCGTCAATTGCATTTCTTCTGTTGGGTCGATTGATCGTGATCGTGGTGATTCCCTCGGGAGTCTTGGATACCTGCACAGCATCACTTTCGACATTTGCCATCGTAAGTGTTAATAGACCGATACCCGTTTTAAATACGATCCACAGTATATGAGGTACGATTCATCAATTGAAAACTAAAATGACTTTCGAATTTGACGATTCTTAGTAGAATGAATGGGGATGTTTTACATGAACATAAAGAGGGGGGACGGGTCGGCACTGGCTCGTCCCAGTAATTACCTAGATGCCGGACCGGACCGCAAAAGGTGGGGTTGTGTTTCGGGGCGGGGTGGGTTCATACTCCCTACCGCGGGACCCGCCAGTTACGTCCCGTACTTACTATTACAGCTATAGAGAAGGATGGGAAAGTGCGATCATTTCTTCCGAGACTTCGATGTCGTAAAAACTCGGTCGAACAGCTAGAAAGCGTCAAAAGTATTCGGGTCGCGAGATACATCGATATTGCGAGCAGCTTGACGTGTTCGCCAATAAGTAGAATGGTCTAAGATTGTACATCGTCCAACGTCTTACAATTTTGAAATACTCTATGTTTATCTAGTGATCGTTGTTATGTACCTACCGATAACTTCTTCCTAATTGATACATTCAGTAACTGTTTGCCGTAACCACATGATGGAAGTCGAATGCGCGATCTACCTCCGTTAAGCCCCTTTACTTGACCATACGCCCCCACCCTCTTATTCAGTGGTCTTAGCAATCTCAACGACATCAGCCCACTCTTTTGGTCTATATCTGCCACCCTCGCTTGCATCATTCAGATATCCCTCGGCCTCTTTCGCCCAAGCTAGAAGCTGCTCCTCAGCGCCCCACTCGCCCATCGCCATCAAGCCCACCGGCAACTTGCCCTCACCTACCTCCGCATCAACGTATCCTACAGGTGCGCTAACGGCCGGGCACCCAGTCGAGTTCGCTAGCCAGATGTACATCATGTCCCGGATAGTCTGGTTGCCGTCGCTGAAGCCGTACGTTTCGTCGCCGGGCTCGATCTTCCAGCCAGCCTCAGGGATCGTCGGCGTCAATATTAGCAGATCTGGGTGCTGCTTGAATAAGAACGCTAGGTGCTCCATGAGCAGACCCCTGAGTTGCCCGAACTTAATCATGTCGACGGCGGGCGTGCACCCGGCGACCGCCAGCAGCAGCTGATTGCAGTAGTTGACGTTCGCGAGGGGGTGGGCCGGGTCCACGGCGTGAGACCGGCGATGGTCTAAACCTTCTGTGAGTGCCCATGCGCTGTGTCCGTATTGGCCTTCAAGAAGGTATGGGATAGTGATATCGACTACTTCGTAGCCTAGCTTGTCTGTGAAGTAAGAGATTGCCTTCTCAGTGACATTTAGGACATCTTTGGAGGCTTGGTTGAACCAATCCCGGTAGATACCGATCGTCTTCTTAGTCAAGGGGCTGGGTGGAATAGAAAGCGCAAATGAACCTTGTATCGCATCTTCTGGATTAGGCGCAGACACTATAATGTTATCGATTAGTATGTGTTGTCTACGCTAACGGTATATCTTAAAAGAGCATATGCTTACTGATACGATACGCAATAGCCAAGTCATTGGCCGTTGCAGCCATAGGGCCAATAACGCAGATTGATGATTTCATCGTATGTGTACGATGCAAAGTAGGTTTCAATCCGTAACCACCACAGAATGATGATGGGATACGGATGCTTCCTCCTGCGTCGGTACCAATCGCAATTGGCACCAATCCGGCCGAAAGGGCTGAACCTCCACCGGAAGATGAGCCACCTGGGTAGTATGATGGGTTGTTCCAATTTACGGGCGTTCCCCAATGGGGGTTACACCCATTAACGTCAGATCCCAGTTCATGCATCACTAATTTTCCGACGACGATAGCGCCAGCTGCTTCTAATTGCGCAATTGGCCAGATTGTGCTGGTGGCAGGCTTGAAGAAGGGATCGGATGGATTGAATTTGAGCCCCATGTGAGAAGTATATCCCTCAACATCCATATCATCTTTGACACCTATTGGCACGCCATCTAGGACACCTAGAGGTTGACCGGCAGCATACCGCTCTGTCGATTTCTTAGCTGCAGCGAGCACTAACTCTTCTTTCGTGACAGCGAAGGCCGATTCATATTTGGCCGGCGGGTCCTGCCCCCTAGATATCAAAGGAAGCAAGCCTTTGGCCACTTGAAGGGGTGTCAGTTTTCCGGACTTGAAAAGCTCATGATAATCCGCAGCGGAATGAAAGCGGCCAGCTAGATCATCTGATTGACGTTCGTGTAGCTCGGGAGTGATTTCGGCCTTGCTCTGAACAACACCATCGGGTACAAGAGGTGTGACAATAGGCTGTTTAGGTTGTCAATCTTTCAATGCGGATAGGCACACGTGAGAATGTGAGGATGGGTGTTGAGCGGCATACTTGGAGACGCCAGTCATATTCATGTAGCCCAGGGACGTCTTTGACGCAGCCAAATTTAGCATTTGACCATGTAGCCTGAGCAATGGTCTGGGAATAATTGACGCTAATTCATGTGAGCGACGATATTGTTGTATCTAGATGGGGCAAGGAAGGCTACCTAGTACTTACAGTTTCGCAGCAATTATCAAGGACCATCCCTTAAGAGCAGGATTCTTGTCAGCAACAGGTGCATACACCGTTTCGGGGCCTTTCTGGGCCCGAGGGTATCCAGAAAATCTCCGGGAGGACTCCATTGCAGCTAGATGTGAAATGAAGAAAATGGTTATTTCCTGTAGGACACGTTTACGTTGACGAAGTAGTAGTCCAAAGTGATGAACGCGTCAATGTGAAGGTGAACAAATGAAACCTCGGCAACGGGATAAATCCCACTGGTAGTGCTAAGGTTGCACAGGCCATTTCCTAAATTGGAAATGAAATGTCCGATTCTGGTGGGAAAGTCCGGTCGACTTCCAATTGGCTAAATGGGAGGAACGATGGCATGGATTGCCAGCCACAGGTAAGCCACAAATGCTTGGGTACCACATTAATCATGTACCTGCCTAGTAATAAGGACAAGGTGCTTGAGCAAATCAGCTATTATATATCTGTAAGCGTTGATATCAACATCCCTTCTTCTGTTTTGGGGGGCCGGGGTTGTTTAGCGACTTCAAAATTTCCGATTTAGATAACGAACGCATTAAGCGATCGTGGGCCGGAAATCACATTAGACAATACATACCTAGGTAGGCATCTAGGACATAAGGATTTATCCTATTCACTATCCACACATCAATGGGTAGTCAGAAGATGTGTAGGTAGGTGTATTTCGCTTATGGCCATAATATATACAATAGTCCCAAATTACCGCCACCCGAGAACTAACAACGCCGGCCTAAATTCAGGTAATCGTCTACGTATCCGGATAATCCAAGGGTGGTCAGGAGATGTAGGTGTGATTGTTGGGAAAGATGCCTCTCCCTCCTCCTCGGTGTATCCAGCTCGTAATAATCGCTCGTGGTAAAGGCGTATCTCTTGCAAGATCACTATCTCCAGACTCGAACTAAGAGCAAGTGCCACATCTTCATGCCGAGGGAACACGGGTGACATCTCCTGAAAACGTGCCCAGGCCTTGTAACCCTCGATCTTTCTTTGATCTTCCTCGCTAGACAAATCTAGGATTGTTCCTTTGCCTTTATCTTGCTCCGTTATATCTGGCCGAAATTTAGGCCAATACGCAGTCTCTATCTGTTCAACTATAAGATAGACCACCTTCACGCTATGAAAGCGATGACCTTCGATAAGATCCCTTATGACTACTTCGATATCGCCCTCGAAGTCATTCGCGCTGATCGCCATCCGTTCAACTGCGGCGAAGAATGGTTCCGGATTCGATAATGGGTAGGGATAGCCGCTGTGAAGCTCAAGGATATCACGACAGCCAATGAACCAGGTAGTGGTCTGAGTATCCTCGGCAGTTGGGAATCCTCGCACAACAGCATGGTTCATGGCAACTTCTCGCGACTCTTGGCAGACATGAGCAATAATAGGTGGAAGGAGACGCCAGTTCTCCCACGGGACATTTTTAGCGAAGAGTTGGATACGGCCTCTGGGGAGAGCGTGAATCCAAATGAGCCGCCTAATTTCCGTGGGTAGTCGAGTAAATTGTGGAAAGGTTTGGTGGTTTGACATTTGTTCGACTCTTCTTAGGGTACTGCTGGTTTAGTCGAGGGAGCTAGTATTCAGACTAAGGGTTAGGCGCTTCGAGTAAAATAGTTCGGCGTGAATAGAGCACTATGGTCACTCTTGTCGTACAATTTTATATAGAGGCTATTAATTTGGTGCCCGATCATGACTGATAGGATGCACAACTCCTATGGGCTAGGTGGTTGGAGATTGGGCATCCAAAGAATGAAAATAAGTAGTAGAGATGGATGTGAGAATAGATGATGATGTAGGGATAGGAACTGGGACACTTCGAAATCCATCTGCGCACAAGTTCCTCTCGATATATATACATATACAATGATATACGAATATAATATGCAAGAGTTGGAGAGTGTTCAAGTGTCGTGATTGTCCGACGATGGTTTCCATTGCGTAAGGCTGTATGATAGATATGGTCGAACTGGCACAGATTGGAATTTGTGGATCCAGTAAAGAGCTGTGGAATTGACGTGATTAGTTGATCTAATCGCACCATCTGTTTTTTGGTGGTGATTCTCCAATGTTTTGATGCCGCAATTCCACACAACTTGATGATATATTCATATATCTTGGCATTGGTACAAATTGTGTATGCTCAATAATGAGGGTGACCGCCCTTACGACGAGTATCTTTATTATAATCAATTGGTCCAGCACTCTTTTTCAGTTTTGCTACCTTCAATGTCGATGCTTCCACCGATACATCCCTCGCTTCCAGTCATCTGACGCAAACTGAAACCATACCAGAAGAGAAAATGACATGATATTGGTATCATCGTTATGCTACTTTCATCCGAAAAGCGGCTCCGGAGATGAGAGCTTCATAATCAGAAAAAGCTCTAGATTGATTAGAATTTCTGACTCCAGCTAGTTCGGTGGATAGTCGGAATCGATAGGTCCAAGAGCGGAATAGATTATAAACGCTTTCACGCTATCATGCCTTCTATCATAGGTGGCGGAGCGTTTCGAGACTTGAGAGGCTGATGCAAAAGTAGGCTAGTAGCAGATGTAGGTAATATGTAGCCCAGGAACAAGCTAAGAAATACTCTTGTTTTCACGTCTTTCATCCACATCTTTTTGGACTCTCCACTCTGCCCAGGCCAATGCTGTCTTAGTTACAACAAAAACTGCTGGCCAGAGCAATGCGGCTCTCACTATAGATCTGCGCACAACGGGAACGGGCGTATTTAAAAGCCTTTTCTCGACGATTCCGTGCCAAATTGACTCTAGAGTGATTCCGCCGATACAAATATAGATGAGATTCTCCTTGCCGGTAGTGTTATGTATGCGATTGGCTATTTGTAGTGAACGTGGTTGGGTTGATGATGCCATCGTGACTGTAGATTTCGATTGTTTTGTTTAGCAATATTGTTAATATGGAGAATAGTGTCGAACCAGTGGGGGTTTTGAAGGTTCCGACGTCCGAAGAAGCCACTGACCTTATCTGCTTACATAATATATGAGTAACCCAATTCCTGTTGTGGCGTTGTGGACCCTGGTCGGATTTCAAACGAAATTGAATATTACATAATCATATTTCTTAGGTAATCTACGAATCTTGGACCCAGGGTCCACCGGTTCGGTCATTCGCTTACATAAGCACACGCGTCTCGTAAATACACTGCTTTTCGTACAGTTTGTACGATACCTAGAGCATTTGCACCTGAAAACCTCACTTTTTGGTTTTGGCCTTTTGCGACAACAGAAAATCTACCTACTACCTACGTCTCTGCTCTATAAATGCCTCCATCTATCGGCCACAATAAGGAAGTTTCTGTGGTAAGATTTAGGTTTGATTTGATTGGCATTTTCCCCGACAATACCTATCAATCCACCTCCGCAGTTGTCGGTCCGCCTTTCCGTTGTTATACCTCATGATCATTCCTACTTTCAAGGATTCCGGACAGGATGTGATATCTATCAGAATAGTCGAGTTGTCTAGTTCTAAACGTGTATAACTACTACGTAGGTAGGTACTAAGGTTTATCATTTCTATAAGAACCATTGAAGAAGCTTTTAATATAATTCTTTTAGATATCATGCATAAATCGTACCCGGTATCGATTGAGATCATGACTGAAGTATAATCAGATCCTGGATACATGGAAACATAACATACGATTCAATCGTGCAACGCCGGGTCATGACCTGATAGAGCTTCCGTCGCTAGGACACATTACCGCGCCTATGCGATCTTCGTATTCCTCTAGGGCAAGAATTCAACGATCTGAATGGTGGATTAAAACAGACAATAGTCAGCTAAGTTGGACAGGGTCTCGCGATGGACATGGATTTAATTGAAGGGGATATGGTTCCTTACCCCAGACTTCCCCAACCCCCACATGATACCCCGATCTCTCCATTCGATCGGTCAACCGTGGATGCGGAGGCGAAAATATCGAATAGTATACGATGCCAGGTACTAGAAGGGCTCAAATGCATATAAGCAGTGCATTTCCCCAAGTTCTGTCCCGAGCCTACTACACTTCATGTATTCGCGCCCATACACAGTCTGTCGCCCAATTCGTCCAGTCACCTTGGATACTAGGTACTAGGTAGATATGGCAACTCAATCACACATTGGAAGTGCCCAAAAGGTGGCAGACCAGGAGTTAGAGGAGAAGCTAGGGCATACCGCTATTCTCGACGCCAAGCAAGCCACTGATGATGAGCATTCCCAGACTCTATGGCAAGGTCTACGAGAAAACCGGAAGGCTGTTATGTGGTCAATTCTGCTTTCCATGACCATTGTAATGGAGGGGTAAGCCTGAGGAATCCCCATCATTTAATTATTAAGCCCCTTTGCTAAGATATAAAGTTACGATGGCATTCTCATCGGTAATTTCTTTGCCTATCCCGAATTCCAGAAGAAATTCGGGCGATACTTCGGCGAAAGGATCGGCTGGCAAGTCACGGGTGAATGGCAGACGGCTCTAAATATGGGGAGTACCGCCGGTGCTGTGGTTGGTAAGTAACGCTCAGGACACCTATATGCTCCTAATTGAGATATTGTTGATTGCCTAACTGCCAATTGTGTAGGTGGATTAATCAACGGTTACGTGGCTTCCAGATTCGGGTATCGGTGGACTTTGATCATATCCTTAGGTTTACTCAATGCCTTCATCTTCGTCGTCTTCTTTGCTCCCGGTAAGGAGGTGCTGCTCGTGGGTCAGATTCTTTGCGGGTTGTCTTGGGGAGTTTTCGCAACGCTAGCGCCCGCGTATGCATCCGAAGTCTGCCCTACCAACTTACGTGCATACCTTACTACTTATGTCAACCTTTGCTGGGCTATTGGACAACTCCTTGCTACCGGAGTACTTCGTGGATGTCTTCATATACAAGGCGAAATGGGTTATCGTATTCCATTTGCCATTCAATGGGTTGGTCTTCACATTACCCCGCCCCCTTTTAAGCCTAGGGTCCATTCATATGTACTGCGCCTGACACGTCCTAGCTATGGCCAATTCCACTTATGGTGGTGTGTTACTTGGCGCCAGAGAGTCCTTGGTGGCTTGTTCGTGCGGATCGTCTCGACCAGGCCAAGCATTCCATAGTAAGACTAAGTGGCGAGAAAACCAGCGACCAGATAAATAACCAACTTGCTATGATGGTACACACTATTCGAATAGAAGCTGAAGCGACAGAGGGAGCTACTTACCTCGATTGTTTCAAAGGTCCGAACCTAAGGCGTACGGAGATCGTCTGCGTTGCATTCATGGGGCAGATTCTTTCTGGAAGCAGTTTCGCCTATACGCCAACTTATTTCTTCACCACTGCTGGTATGGATACTGCGCAGGCATTTAATCTAAGTCTAGGAGCGAAGGCTATTGCTTTCACAGGAACTGTATTGTGAGTAATAGCGAATCGATCCACTTTCTGTTGATGACTAACGATTTATATCAGATCATGGTGGCTCATCTCATACTGGGGTCGACGACCCTTGTATGTTTGGGGCATGGGCTTACTATCTCTAATCCTAATTCTAATTGGAGTCTTGGATGTCTCTGCTGGTAAAAAAGGTCTCTGGCCATCCGGAGGGCTCTGTGTTCTTTGGCTTTTTGTCTACTCTCTTACAATTGGACCTCTAGCCGTAAGTTAACTTAGCACATTAAAGTCCTATCAAAGCCCTAACTCTTTCTCTAGTACAGCATCATCGCAGAAACCTCTTCTGTCCGCCTACGACCTCTTTCAGTCGTCCTTTCTCGTACGTCTTATCAGCTTGTCAACATCATCTCACAGTTCTTTCAGGCGTATATGATGAATCCTGTTGAATGGAACTTCCTTGGTAAAACTGGATTCTTCTGGGGCGGCACTGCCTTTTGTGTTTTCATCTGGTCTTACTTCCGTCTGCCCGAGGTAAAAGGTCGGACATACGAAGAGCTTGATATCCTATTCATGAAGGAGGTCCCGGCACGCAAGTTCGCGTCCACACACGTTGACGCATACGCTGCTGCCGTTTCAATTGGCCCGGATGATAAATTGGAGATTGAGCAGAAGAATTCTTCAACGTAAGCTTGTCAAGACTTAATGGTTGGGCAGATCTGCAGTTTGCGGCACGTACATAAATCCCACAACGAAAGACCCCCACTATATACACTAGGACAAAGACTTCCAAGCTGTGCCTAGCTAGATAGGTATGTGATAGTATGAAAGTTTTTATTGCTACGATCTGGCCTCTGTAGGCTGTCAAGATGCTAATTCCCTGATTGCGCTCCCTCGCCGTCACATCCTAGGTTTGGTTCCTTGGTAACTAGGGGTTGAATGGTACCAAGCATTGCGTTGGAAGATAGATGTAAGCAATAACATGGTTATTGCGTTGTTGGATCTTGAATGGCAGGGGTGCATTCTATGTGTACGTATGGATGAAAGAATGGTATATACCATGGGGGATGTACCCACGGGCCACCCCTTTACGGGCCATCCCGTTTCTTACCAAAACATTATGACTTTACTTATATCGCTTTCGATGAATATACGAGATTTACATATAATATTTTATAAACCGATAATTTCGAAGGTGATTTATACGATATTATTTTTTTTTAAAATCGGTAAAAAATAAATAAAAATATTAAAATATAAAAAAAAAGTTTAAATAAAATTTTATTTAATTTTTAAATTACGTATTTTTTTAAATATATAATTTAATATAATAATAAAATATTTATTAATAATTAATATAATTAATTATATTAAAAATAAAATATTTAAAATAACGTTTTTATTTATTTAATAATTTAAATATACGAAATTTTTCGTATAATTTTAAACGTTTAAATTAAAAATCGGTTTATTTTCGAATAATTTCGAATTTTTTTTCGATTAATTTTTAAATAAAAAAAAAATTAATAATTTAATTTAATAATTAAAAATTAATTAAATATTTATTTATATATAACGTTATATAAATTATTATTTAATATTATTTAAAATATAATAATTAATATATTTAAATAAAAAAAATTAAATTAAAAATTTTATACGTTAAAACGATAAAATCGTAATTAAAATTAATCGAAAAATCGAAATTAAACGGTTTAATAATTTTATTTTAAAAATCGTATATTAATATTTTAATATTAAAAAAAAAATACGGTTTAATTAATTTTAATTTTACGTTTAATATTAATATTAATAAAATTATAATAAATTATAATATAATATATATTTAATTTTTTTAATTAATTAATATTGTAAAAGGGCAGGGCCCTTTATATCGTATCTTGATCACGTGACGTGATCACGTGTATAATAGTTAGATATTCTAACCCTTTTATACGATACATACACACATCGCCAAATCAAGTTCAAGGTTAACAAGGACTTCGCAGCCACTTACGATGGCTAGTTACTTCAAGACATCAGATTCTCCCTAATCAGCAATCCTTTAATCGATATCTTTATGTTTCAAGTCCCTATCTTAGATGACTAAGATGATCGATTACCTATCTTGATACGGGGCTCTAGCCCCGTAACAGTTGGCGACCAACCCGACTCGAAACAACGCAATCTCAACCTTGGGTGTCTTAGGAGGACCACACTCAAGCAGTCATGATATCGCACCAACCTGATCAGGGAGATCTTCTTCTTCTTCTTTGCCAAGTATGTTTGTATCGATAGCTTTCGTCGAATTCGTCTTCAAGCTATCGAAGGGAGGAAAACAGACTAAAACATCGGTGCATGCCACCATACTTTTTTCAAACTTTTTTCCCCTATTATATACGAACGCTACAATACCTTCAAGATCACGACAAGACCACTATCCTGATCACCTTATTTTCAGCGATTTTTTTCGATTGAATCCTGACTTCCTACGATCCGATCGATATCGTCCACCTCACCGCCAGACCTGCCACGAGACCCACTTAAATCGATCTGTACCAGCTTTTCTACATCGACGATCCTAGAAACATATAAACACCGGATATATATACGCGAGATACCTTGAAGCGTTCCGAAGCTAGACTTAAGAGCGATCTTGATATATTATTAGATTTATGTATATGCAAGATACCTTGAAGTTTCCAAGAGCGAGACTTAAGACATATCTTGATATACTAGATTCATATATATGCAAGATACCTTGAAGTTTACAAGCGAAGCTTAAGACCTATTTCGATATACTAGAGAGCGAGATATGTTTCAGGATACTGATATTACGATTGCAACCTGATCAGTTTATTAGTCATCTATGACAAGTCACGAGACAATACAAAGGAGATTACGATACCTGCCAGCCACAGCGTTCCTATATACGTACAGCATACAAGCTTACTTGCGCCGTTCATTTATACGTTCCTTACATCCTTTCGATTCCTTATATCCTTTCGATTCTTATATATCGACGATCGATCCCTTATTTATACGATACACCTGTTGACAAGATTGGACCTTGGATAGCTTACTGCAAGGAGGCTTACTACAGGGAGGCGTATCTATTAGATTGCCTAGCACAGGGAGGCGTACTACAGGGAGGTGTATTTGTTGGATATATCTTGTTTCTTATACCTGTTGATTCATGATCGAGGATCGCTATCGCTTTATTGTTTGTTTCTTTATATTGCTATTGCTTGATACGGATACCTGCGCAATAGCAAAGGGAGGGATGTAAAGGGGCAGGGCCCCTTATATCGTATCTTGATCACGTGACGTGATCACGTGTATAGTAGTTAAATATTCTAGCCCTTTTGTACGATACACACACACATCGCCAAGTCAAGTTCAAGGTTAACAAGGACTTTACAGCCATTTACGATGGTTAATCACTTTAAAACATTAGATTTTCCTTAATTAGCGATCTTTTAATCGATATTTTTATGTTTTAAGTTTTTATTTTAAATAATTAAAATAATCGATTATTTATTTTAATACGAGGTTTTAATTTTATAATAATATATATATTAATTAATTAAAACTTAATAATTTAATAATTAATTTTTTTAAAACGAAAAAATGTTTTATAAAAAAATTTTAAAATTAATTTTAAACTTTTTTTATTAAATATATAAACGTTATTAATAAAATTTTAAATTTAAAAATTATTTTTAAAAATAAAAATTTATAAAATTTTTAATTTTAATAAAAATTTACGAACGAAATCGAATAATATTTTAATATATTAAATAAAAATTAAATTAATAATTTAATTATAATTTTATAATTAAAAAAATATTTTATTTTATAATTTAACGTTATTTACGTTAATATTAAAATATTAATTTTATTAATATTTAATAATTATAAAAATTATATATTAATAAAATTAATTTATTTTTTATTTTTTAAATTTTATTTTATATTTTTTTAATTTTTTTTTAATTTTATATTATTAAATAAAATTAACTTTTTTATATATTAAAATATTTTTATAATAATTTATTATTTTAACGATATTTTATTTTATTTTTTTTTAATTTATATATTTTATCATTTATAATTTTTAAATAACGGTTTTTTAACGTTATTAAATCGTTTTATTATATATATTTATTTTATTTAAAAAGTAATACTGCTTGCGCTGTATGGCTCGCGCTAAATGTTGCGCTGTATGGGGCCGGAAAAACGCCGGCGAAAGGGGTACATATTGTCTGATACAATTTGGGTGGGAGCTGAAGTACCCCGATTTAAGCTATTTGAGCATTTGTATCTTTTCGCTGTATCCAATCTTTGATCAATTGTTTCGCAGTCAAAACAGGGTCAAAAGCTTGATAATTACTATCATCCAATCGCTTACGAAAGTCGCTTTCGAATGAGCCAGGTTGCACCTTGACTCAGGCTGAATCAGGTTGAGAGTTCTCGATCGAAGTTAGAGCAGGCTGAGATTGACTCGAATTGATCGAAGTCACGGCCAGCTTTGAACCTTCGATAGTGAGATCAAATCGGAGTTTGAAGATGGGAGAAAGAGATGGCACATAGTTTAAATTGACCGCTTTCGATTGAACCAAATTATAAAGATTGGAACGTGGAATTGATTGAATTGCGGATGGTTGAAGTTGATCGAGTACATAGTGGGATTTCAGTACAATCTGGAGCCCGTTCGAATCAGCGCTAAGCCCTTTTTCGATACAGCGCGCGTACCACCAAAACCCATACAGCGCAAGCAGTATTACTCTATTTAAATCGTTTTATTAATTCGGTTTTAATAAATAAATTAAATTTTATTAAATATTATAATAAAATTAAAAAAAACGGTTTTATAATTAAAAATATTATTATTAAATTTAAAATAATAAAAAATTAATTAATTAATAAATTTAAAACGTTAATATATTTTAAAATTTATAAAAATAAAAAAATAATAAAATTAAATTATTATTTTTAATTTTTAACGATAATAAAATTTTTTAATATTTAATTAATTTTAAAATTAATATTATAAATTTTTATTAACGTTAAATTAATAATAACGTTACGAAATTTAAAAAAAAAAATTTTTAATTTAAATATAAAATTTATAAAAATAAACGAAATTTTAAAAATAAACACCGGTAAAATTTTTAAGTTACACGAAATTATCTTAAAAAAAAATTCGAATAAAAAAAAAAAGAAAAAAATAACGAAAGTAACGATTAATTTAAAAAAATAAATAAAAAAATAAATAACATTATTTTAATAACGATTTATATATAATTAAAAAAAATTATTAAATTATTATTTAAATATATATATTAAACTTATAAAAATTTATTAATTAATATTATTTATATAAATCTACGAATTTTCTTTATTTAATTACAGTTATTTAAAAACGAGGCGTTTTAATAAGAAACGGGGTGGCCTATGGGGGGGTGGCCCGTGGGTGCATCCCCTATGGTAAGGCTAATTATATGACATGGGAAAACAACACAGAGACTGGATTGAATGGTTGGAAATAACTTGGTGATAATTGGGTGAGGTGGAGAAGATGCGTAGATCGGTATTCCTTAAGGTGACTACTATTCGACCAGCAAAGCACAAATCCCAGAAGTCCAGTCAGACGACAAGAGATATATATTTTCAATATTTCCATTTGGCAATGTATTCGATACTCCCAAGGCCATCGCTTCTTTTAACATACCTGAAGGTACCTATGGACGGCCCCATAACTGATTTCAGCCCTACCTATCACTACCTGTCTACCAATATACTTAGCCCTGATCATGACTACTAAACCTAGCTCGGCGCCGTGGGCAGACGAACCCTTCCACTTGATCACCACCCCATCAACATATCTAATGGTATGTTCTCTATGTCCGTTATCCAATTCCAGTGTGTCTTGGCTAAGTTAAGATTTAGGATTCCCATTCTTATGTTCACATTTCCTCCGAGATGGCACATGCGCACAATGTCCTTATCAGAGGACTTAACTCCATCCTACAACAGGCACCGTACGTGCCAACATCTACAGAGAAGAATTATAATGCCCAAGATGTTAAAGACCTTCTGTTCTATGTTAAGTCATGGACAAAGACGACAAGTCATCACCACTGGCTTGAAGAATCGTTCATCTTTCCCGAGATCGAGAAATTCAGTGGCAAGCCTGGGTTGTTAGATGGCCCAAAGAACCAGCATGAGTTATTCCACGGCGGAATAGAGAGACTTCTCGCGTATGCTTCAACTACAACTCCCGAGGAGTATCGATGGGAAGGGGTTGGGGGTATGAAAGAGATTATAGATTCATTTAGTAAACATCTGACGGACCACCTCTATGCAGAGATAGATGTCTGCTTGGGAATGAAGGCTCTCGATAGTGCGGGCCTAAAGAAGACCTGGGATCAGGCTGAGAAGGTTGCGCAACAATCCGGCAATCTCGGACTACTGGTAAGTTCGATACCCTTGATACTTTCAGCATTTAACTAAGCTAAGGACATGATCAATCTTAGTATGATATATTCCCTTGTGTTCTTGGGACCGCCGATAAAACCTACGAAGGCGGTAACCCTTTCCCCCCTTTCCCCTGGTTTATACCTTATCTAGTTAAGTACTGGTTTGCTGCTGGAAACGGTTGTTGGCGATTCAACCCTTGCGATTGGTGGGGTAAGCCACAGCCTCTGGCCTTTATCCCACAGAAACTATGATTTGAAGCATTTGGAACTTTAGGAATAATCTTCTTAGGGCATTAAGAGGACTTTGTTCTACACTACTTAGTCGAGTGGTAGGCACATATCATTTGTGGCTCGTGGAGAGTAATGAGTCGGGCGACTATTTTTGTGTAACATAAAGGAAGGATAGGGGAAGATATCTTGGGTCCCGTATGAAGTCTCACGATACCACACCGCGCAGCAGTGAAATCTTAATAAATTTATCAACAGTCCCTATCTTTAGTTCTGTTTCCTAAACCACCGGACTTTTCTGTTCATTCCTTAACGTTCAGTTCGCCCTCTTTCTTTAACGCCCATATCCAAGGCCCTCGGAGATAATGACATTATTGTATTCTTTCCTCAAGAATGGGTACTGGATTCATATATGTTTTTCCTTCTTTTCTTATCTCAGCATGCAGCAACTTCCTCCCGACCAGTGCTTCGTTATTCCACAATGCACAGTCTATTTCCGGGTTCTTGGCTCTCCAGACAGCCTCCTCGACTATAGGTACCTCTAGAATCCCTTGAGCTTCACTATCAGCTATGGGGGAAGGCAACCTAGCCCCACCCATGAGCGTCTTCCACAGCTGGCCTTCGGCAACATCAACAAGGCCCCGGCTAGTAGTTATGATGCCTTCTGAATCATCAAATCGCACGAGCCACCCAAACCTTCTGTGTGGACTGATTTCGACGATAGGAAAAGCATGGGTGGTATGTGAATTAATATCGCAGACCACCATCGTGTTGTGTATACCCAGATTTGCCATGTCCTTGCCAGCGGTAGTATGGATGCGTATCAAAGCAGATGCGGGGCAACAATCTGGAGTATCTACAAATCTTTGTAGAGCAGATGTCATCGCTGGCCATGGATGTATTGAGTGTCTATATAATGGAGTATCTTTGGTTTTCGCCGGAAGACAAATACTGTTAGAGGTGTTTTTCTCTGAGCAATTAATGAGAAATGATCGCAGATGTGGGAATTTGGCCGGTGTCAAGGAATCCATTTCATATTGATAAGGCGTTGCCATCACTCCAACAAGGGCGGGGCATACGAGGGAAAGATGAATTCGGACATGGTTCATACGCGGCAATAGTAGACGAAGGCATTCACAAACGTGCGCCTCTTCTCCCCCTGCAATTATATTTCGATCATAGCCGCCAGAATCAATCTCTATGTTAACACAGCTTTGAGGTATCGAATTGACCAATCCTATGATGGAACGCGCAGAAATCTTGAAGCGACATCTTTCTGGCACGATGGCTGGCACGTGGAGAGAAAAAGACAACAACCTGTCCAGGCTTCCTAGTAGAGGCTCGAGGCGTAGTAAACGGCGTCCTAGCTCCGCGTTGGCAGCAATGATTGAACTAAGGTCATAGCTCGAAAGCGTCGGCTGTGTGGGTCGTAAGGTGAGAGAGCGAACATAAGAAGCATGTTGTAAGTTAAACCTCGATGCGAAGAGTTCGACGTTGTCGGTGTTCAAGACTATATGCCGGTAAAGAACTGGAACCACTATCTCGTACCACTGTCTACAGACGGTAAGGCAAGGTAATAAGTTTGACGCGCCCGGAAAAGACGACTTGACCCAGAAAAATATTTCAATTAATAATTCCGATGAAAGTGAACCCATCGAACTAGTCATTTAGTCAAAGAATTCAAGATTCATGAAAGCGTTCCAAGGTTAGGGATTGGGTATTGAATTGTTGAAAGTAGGAGGAGTGAAGAGGGGCGCGGGGAATCTAAGGTTAGGTACCTAGATTCTAGATTCCACCCCGCAGGATTTAGCTTACGTAACCATAAATCAGTACACTCGGGGCTCTTAGGGGTCAATCGTTTCTATTGGTTAGTGGTGTTACTAGGGAACGCTTCGCAATTGATTGGCCATTCCCAACCCTAAAGATTACAACCAACCTCCAGCGCTCGCTATAACGCACTATATTCATAAGGGACTACTAGGTATGGTAGTGTACCCAGAAGGCCTAAATATTTGGCACTATCTGTGCGTCCTAGGGGACATACAGTTCCTCTGTAAAATATCAAACTTCTATTCCAGTCAGGGCACTTTGCAGCTTGTGTTCTCTCTGGCCATTTCGATCCGATTCATTCTGCCGTATGACAGACTTCTTTGCCATATCCCAATACCTTTTCATAGTATAAGCGTTAGTAAAATTGATCATCATTCCTACTATGTAACTTACACGAAAAATAGTTCAGGGTGCCATTGTCCTATCTCTTGAACAAGGTTCTTGCATCGTTCAATAAGAAATGCTGCTGGTATGTCACTTTCATCTTCATTGCGACAGGGCATACCCCCTCTATTTTCTCGTTCTAGCTAATAATCGTGAATGTGTTCCAGCTCTTTCGCCAAATTTTAGAGTCAAATATCGATTTCATTCTGACTTTCGCATTCGAGACATTCGAAATTAAATGCAAAAGATCCCATTGTCGGTCCTCTCTCAAAAGAGAATTATCGGGAAGGTATGTGATAGTCAGCTCATCGCTCGCCAAGCTTGAATGATCAGGTAACTCGTTAGATTAACCATATGGCTGCTAAAAACCTCGCGATAGAAAGATTGGCCACCTAACTGCCTAGGTAGGTACCTAATAGATAACCATTAAAGCAGAGCTTGACAGGGGTTCGTTCCTGGTTTCACTAGCTACCAACTACACTGAGTGGCTCGCATTCTGATTGAACTAATTGGGATCAGGATTATACGAGACCCTCAGCTTACACATTGGTGCCCAGGGTATCAAAACATATCTTGAAACTAATACCTAGGTACTTATGCTGTGCGATCTAATGTTTCTCTTTCACTAATACTGTCTGGTAGTAGAGTGGTCAATTAAACATCCTATCTAACTGGTTATGGAATACTATAGCAACGCTGTGCCGCGCCGTAGTAGGGCTGACAGGATGACGGTCCTCTACCTACCTAGTAGGCAACGACCGATTCTAGCTGATTCTAGTTGCTTCAATCGAAGAATATTCTCGATCTTTCTGTCAGCTCAATTGAACAGAGCATAGGAGTCAGTAGGCAATGAAGTTGGTATCGCTTTTATATATCATTCATAGGTACATAGGGTATATATGTCTACCACACATTCTCCATGGGTTTGCTGGATTAAGGTCATTCCATTTACACTTTATCATTGAAATAGATTAATCTCATTCATTTTATTTTTTTTAAAAAAAATATTGCCGCAGTGAAAAATGGCTGTTTATGCAAAGCTACCGGCGGGGGCGACACTCGATGTGAGGCCGTTTAAGGCCCACGTTGCCGAAGAGAAGCTCCAACATCTTAAGAAGCTTCTGGAATTGTCCCCTATAGCTCCGGCCGTGTTTGAGAACACCAATGCAGGTCGTAGGTACGGGATGCAGAGAAACTGGCTCGAGAACGCTAAGCAGGTGTGGTTACACAAGTTCGACTGGCGGCAGCACGAAGATCGCATTAATTCGTTCCCCAACTTTAAAGCTTCTGTGAAGGATGCAGCTGGCAACACGATCGAGATTCAATTCCTAGCTCTATTCTCAGAGAAGCCCGACGCTGTTCCTATCGCATTTTTCCATGGCTGGCCAGGCTCTATCTGCGAATTTCTAGATATCCTGGATATCCTTAAACAACGATACACCCCTGAAAACCTACCGTACCATGTCATTGTCCCTTCGCTCCCAGGTTACGCATATTCATCTGGCCCCCCAGCTGAGGTTGATTACGGGGTGGACATAGCTGCCGGAGCGCTTAACAGTCTAATGGTCGGTTTGGGGTTTGGGTCCGGTTATCTGGCCCAAGGTGGAGACCTCGGCAGCTTCATGAGCAGGGTCCTTGCGATGAGCTATGATGCATGCAAAGGCATTCACTTGAACATGATGGGTATGCCACCGCTAGAGAACCCGAACAAGCTCCCTACCGACGAGTTAGAGAAGAGGGCGTTGGCAAGGGCTACCGAATTTCTGGATACGGGCTATGCGTTCGCCCTAGAGCAAGGCACAAGGTCCGCCACCATAGGGCTCGCGCTAAGCAGCAGTCCACTAGCGATGCTTAGCTGGTAAGATACAAGATACGCCATCCCTCTTTATCAAGATCAATACTCTAACCATGGGCTATGTAGGATCGGAGAGAAGATTCTTGAATGGACTGACGAAGACCCTCCCCTCGAAAAGATACTCGAAAGTGTGACATTGTATTGGCTTACGGATACTGTCCCGCGAGCCATGTACCATAGTCGTGGGGTGAGTCAAATAATCCCAAATTTTCTGTTGACAGCTCAAGGACTAACTGGTGCTCCAACTACAGGCTGGTAACCCCGATGAAAAGCCCAAGATCGCAAGGACTAGTGTGGTACGTTTTTTACACCATTATTTTTCAAGTTCTCGAACCACAAATTAACTTCCCCAAGATCACGAAACTGACAGCCCTCAAACTCCCATTCATCGAGAAGCCATGTGGATACTCATTTTTCGCCAACGAGATCGTACCAATTCCGAGAAGTTGGGCGGCCAAGTCCTGCAACCTAGTGTCGTTCAATCAGCACGAGAGTGGAGGTCACTTTCCGGTACGTCATGAAACATGCATCATTCGATTCTAGGTAATTGAATTTACTAACGATAATATCATAGGCTATGGAGAAACCGAATGAACTGCTCGCTGATGTTGAGGAGTACGTCAAGAAGGCCTGGAAGGTTGCTGATAAATAAGGGTCTTCTGTAACATTATACAAGGTGTGAATAGGCGCATGTTGCCGATCTACGCAAGTACTTGGGTGTCGCACCCCGTGGTACACTATTATCTGGGTTGGAAATATCATGATATTGGTAGCATTGGGCTTACTAGGTGGTATTGATGTTTCTAGTCTTCGGTATCACCATTCGGTATGGCCGTCCTATTCAACAGATTCATATCTTCACTTCAATCAAGTATTTAAACCCATCTGTTTGAATGTAATCATGCATCAACTCAAACCACACGACTACATAACGTAGAAGATCTATAGATATACTCATGGGTAAATAATTAGTAACTTTAGTTGAGTGTACCTATCTTCAAAGCCATTACCAGGAAGACCCATGGACGGTCTCTCCGTCAGGGCCAATGACCAGCCAGGGATTTAGTACTCGCTTTCCTAAAAAGGAAATTGGGAGGGAACCCACCCGCTTAAGGTTCTCAGGCATCTAAGTACTCTAGCTTTACGGCCAGCTACTAGGTACTTATTAGGTAACTTCTATCATCGTGTATACTTGAAATAAGAGGCCATAGCTTGATGGGTAATTGCTAATGAATCTCTTCTTTGGTGATTCCAATACCACGTAGTTCAACTTCTGATGTTATCGCTACCTGCTAACCAATGCGGTGCGAGGGTTGTTTACCGCGCGAGCCCACCCCTCTTACTCTGCCCCTCCACCGTATTGTTGGCAGTGAATTTAGCTGGCTTAGGTACTCTCACGCAGTGCTTTCGTAATAAGATGAGGTCTCTCAATCAGCGGTATTTTATTTCCATATCCTGCGGATACTACTCTAATATGGTACACGAAACATGGATGATTTGATGCTGAAGACGAAATGATTGTATTCCACCCACTAAAGTACACCCGATCTATGAACTGTATTGTACGCTTAATTTACAAGGCCCCAAACGCCCCAAAAACATTTGTACAAGGGTATCGAACTCCAGAAACCACAACAATGAAATCAGAACTCTTACCCGCCCAGTTAATCATACATCGTCGCTCGTGACGGTGTAAGGGCATCAGCTACCGTGACGACGCAGGTGTTGGTTGCTTTACCCCCCATTCCTGTAACACGGTGGGCTCCTGGGCCGCGGGTCGCGCGAGGCTAGTGAAGACACCTCGACAAGCTTCTAAGCGCGCAATGTGCAGGCCGTCCTCAGCGTTAGCCCAGCGGTCGTCGATCGCCGCAAGGACGCTAAGGCCACAGGCGTCCCGAACGTACGGGTTAGCGCCCAACTGGAGAAGCTCCTTCAATGCGACCTTCTTTCCGAATCTGGCAGCGACGTGAAGTGCTGTTTCTCCTTCACGGTTTCGTGCTTCCAAGTTGGCCCCAGCATTGTGCAGTCTCTTGATAATCATCTCCATGGCATCCTTATCCTCTCTAGAGTCTTCTGGTCGATACTTGACGAACGCCATCAGGGGAGTTTGTCCTTGACAATCATAGAGATTGACATCTGCATGTGCAGAGAGGATTCCTTCGAGGTATTCTAGTCGTTTTTTAGTATCGCTGCCCTCTGACCTCGATTCTCCGTCTTCTTCGCTGTATTTGCGTTTTCGCTGTCGCTGATTATCGTACGTATGTTCTTGAACATTCTTTACGTTTAATACAACTTCTGCAAGACAATGCAGCGCGTTGCGTCCGCGCGAATCTTCGGACCGGGGGTTTGGATTTGTTGAATTAACACTATCGACCTTGACAGCGTCAAGAACTATCGTTAGAAGCTCGCGTTGTCGAAATAGAAATTCATCTCCATAATTTGAAGGTATGTCGATTATTGTTGGAGGGATCTCTGCCCTTCTTGGGCTTATCGTATCCATTGGGCTATTATGGCGCTGTATCAGCAACGTACTAGGCGCGGCGTCCGCTGGTCGAGGCTTCACGGGTTTCACTCCGAAGGCATCCCGCCGTTCGAGTAAGTCGCAATCAAACAAGTGCGCCAGGTGATAAGCAGTATCCATGTTATTATTCTGGAGCAGGTGAGCAAAGCTACGCCCGTACACATCCGTTGCCATAATGTTAAAGTCGGGATAGTTATTGAGTACGTTAAGAAGCTGTTCCAAGAGTGGTATTTCATCAAACCAAGACCGATGGAGGACATGCAGAAATGTCTGACCAGCTGTATTTGTGGCGTGAACTAGTGAGTGGGGGTCTCCTAATGCTTGGGATAAAAGATTAAGGAAAAGAACTGGATTTTCGCCCGTAGCAGCAATACGGTGGAACGCTGTATTACCAAAAGCGTCTGTTCTTTGGTATATATCGTCGGAATAATTGATATGAGTGGAAATTATATCGCCATGAATCGGCCATAAAGCCTCGATCGACGTTAGGTCGTTAGCGATCCGACACCAACAGGTGCCCATCTCGTGGAATTCAGATGTATTCTCGCATGCGCTTCTTCTGGTAGATAAATTCGCATCGAGAAAGTTGCCGGGAACAGCGTACTCTGCGCTAAATGGAGCATAAACGGTTGATCCACCTGGGTTACGGAAACCTCGCTGAGCAGGCTGGAATTGAGATCCAGGGGAGGCGATCGGAGACAAGGAAATTTCTCGTTGTAATTCGGGACCTTTGGGAAAGGTGAATTGTTTCAAAACGCGCCAGGCCCCCTTCACTTGGTCGTGAGACACCGTAGAGAGTTTCTCGCGAAAACTACTGCTCATGCTTGTTTCAGTGGAATTAGTTAGGCCAGTATCCTGACGAGAACCGTCAAGGCCACTCGGGATCCAAGGAGGGTATATTTGGGACCCATGTTCATCGTAACCAAAAATCGGAATGTTGGCACCAACTTGGCCGGTGGGATCAATTTGTTCATTCTTGAACGGAGTAGATGTGCCTGACTTCTCGAAGGAATGGCGACTTGATCGAGTAGGAGTCAGAGTATCGTCATCATAGCTAGCAGAGTGCGAGGTAGACCTCCTATGGTGAAACTTCGCCCCGCGCCGGCTATTCCTGAGAGCTGCGATACGTCTTCTCTCGTCTTCGTCGTCTTTAGGTCTTATCCATCGAGGATCGTTACCGAGGAGTGAGTTTTTTACTTTGTTGGCGGCATCCTAATTAATTATGTTAGTGTTTAAGATAGATAGAGATCATACTACGCCTCAACGTTGAACTAGTTTTAATACATACTTTACTGTAGCACAGGAAGTAAGCAATGTGGTATCATGTTAAAGTAGGAAGGGCCAAACATACCCAGGTTTCCAAAGGCCTTCTTCTAAGAGTTTCAATATAAGGTCAAAAGGTAATCTTGTATAAATGTAGAGCCGCACTAATCTGCGAGCGCGGGGTTCAGTCCAATCCTTAGGACGACCCCCTCTGTTAGTAGAGGCGCTAGTGGTAGGTGAGGCCGAATTCATTTTGATGATTGGAGAAAGAGTTTACCACAAAAACTCTAGAAAAATAAAACAAACAAAAATATGACTGGAAAGATATAAGAAATATAACCCCTTCCCGGCAGGGGAAACGTACTAACAAGAGAGAAAATCCTATGCATCACGGATAAGGCACGCGGCACGCGGGATCGGTGGGGTTTTTGTAGAAAGAGCCAACTCGGCGCATAAGATCTGTTGTTCAAGGGTGTTAGTGGCCGATGCGGATCCCTGCACAATCCCGCTGGCGAACACTAAGAATTCGAGTACCTATCTAACCCAATTAACAGGCGATGACCTTACAAGGCAGTCAGTAAGGCAGTTCCTAGAGGGAGGCTCTCCTCCCAAAGTCCCCATTGTGGTCAATGTTGGTACCCCGGCGGTTCCCCGTACACAAAAACTTCAGGTATTTAGCACATGAGGGACCCCCTTGTGCTTACCACTCCCAATCATCGCAATGAATAAAGGCTAGGCCGGTCAAGTCTGATACTTTGATATTCACATCCCAGGCCGTAGGTCATGTAACAGGGCAACTAACATACTGACAATACCAACAGTCATATTCATATGAATTAGTGACGTATAACTAATTGTATAGCTAGTCATTACCTAGTTACATCAACTTCGCACATGATATTTCAAAACTTAGAAATTAAAGTATTAGTTTTCTTTGGACATGCATATGCAGTCAATCAAATTCGTGGCTTCACTCGGAAAGGGCGTGCACACAACCGTATAGATCGGGTTGACATGCCGAGTAATTGACAATGACAATGACAATGATGACATTGGAAGTAGGAGAGGAAAGTGAAAGAGAAAGAGGGACTCGCCTAATTGAAGGCCGCCAAACGAGTACAGAGATGGTTAGCTTGTGGCTGTGGACGTTTTTTTGTGGCTAGTTCTATGGAACATTGGGTATCCAGAACACCCAAATTATGGCTGTGTTAAACCAAAGTGGCTGAGCGGAGTGGAAGTGTAGAAAGGCTCCCGAGCCATGAAAAAATTTATGTATATCAACTCTTCACGGCCGCGACCTAAGAGAGAGAGAAGGCTGCCTTACTCTTTTCCCCGGTCTCCCACCACCCTAGGTCATATAGGGTGGGAAATGTCGATGTCATCGGTACTGTACCTAGATAGGTAGGTACGGTACCTACCTGCTAGGCAGTATGGACCTGTCTAGATCTTAGCCTCCCTTATCCTCCTCTACTCTACTAAAGATCTAAGATCCGCGCACCATCAATCACAACCCGACTTGATTTCAAGGCTCGAATTGTGTTCGAAACATATTAAAATATACGACAGCCCCGGAGGCTTTAGGCCAACTGGCACGGGTCGATTCAAGCTTCTTTTCCCGCTTCATAGCCTCACTTGGCAAATATCCCGAATTCCCGTCTCGGAGAAGACTGGGGTAGCTAGTGGTACAACGTCTCTCTTGTGGATTATTCTCAACGGCTATTTTCCTGTGTATAGGTTTTTTTTTCGCATTTGTGTTGAGTTGTCGTTTTTTCTACTTTTCTACTTTTCTACCTAGGTAGATATTATATACCTAATATCTTACCCTTCCAAGGTTCCTTTGCCACCGGCAAGATTAATACTCAGAGGCCCCTTGCAGATTTGTTTCATCCACGCAATTGCAACACAGGGTGGAGCTTACAAGCCCTTTCAACGTTGTTGTTTCTTATCCATAAGTATCACCACTTTTGCCTTGCGAATAGGTACGTATACATAATGCTATTAAGTATGAATCTACCATAGTACGTACTCGGGCACAAACCTTTCTTTCGATACGTTTTCGATCCCGTCCAATCCTTTAGTCAGTAATTACCCTGGTCGTATCCCTAAATCTCAACGCAAATTCTTCACGTTGACAGGCATCCATCTTTTTGTCGCACTCCCTATTTTATCCCATGTACTTCGTCACTAAGCATTCAATTGGCTGAAAAGTTCGTTTAATTAATTATTGTTTAAACTTCTAGCGTGTGATCCGGAATTCCGTCATCCCCGCCGCCATTCCTCCACATCCGAGCGAACGACGCCGAACTGACACCCGATTCTTACTCCCCCCAATTCGGTTTTTTTCTAAAGGAAATGGGCCTAATTTCGATCATGGACTCCTTCGGTGGACAGACGTCTGACTCTGATACTTTTTCTACTTCCATCTGTTGACGTGGCATACACCCTTTTACCCCCTTGTATCTGGCTTATGTTTGATCACAACTATGATCATGGTCACTTTCGGGAGTATAAAACATAGTTGACCCCCCTTATGAGAAGGGTGAATGACCAAGACGAAAAACATCAATACCATACCCATTTACTATTTTCTTCCATGCACATTAGTTCTGTTCGATATCTCCGCCACATATTTACACACAAGTGTGCCTACTAGGTATACATACGTACTCGCATACACATCTACCAACACGTGAATTTATACATACCTCCTTTATACACGAAAAAGTAAATCAGACGGCAATACAAAGCGTACAATCTATATTGGAACAACTCAATTGCGATTTCCCTCTCCTGACACCCACGGTCATATTAGATAGTTTCTTAGATTCGTCTAGGTTTCTTTCCCTCTAATATTTTCACAATGCCCGATCATCATTCCCACAAGTCAAGGTGATATTTAGTCTATCCTTCTTATAAATGATCCACTACCTAACACTATTAGTTCTTCCCATAAATCATCAAAGACATCTTCTCATAGGCAAGACGAAGCCAACAATTCCACCAGGGACGTGGATAAATTGGAGAGATTCTTCGCTACAGGAGAGCCGACTAGGAAATCAGAGTCGTCCATGAGAGATAAGCTGGCTCAGTGGGATGTTCGTTACCACCATGCTTCTAGGCGTTAAGGGCAAGCTTATGGTCACCAATGGAGTTACTGGATACGGAAAATGATGTATGATACCAATGAATTATGCAGTAGGGAGGTTAGCAATTACGGAATTTGATTGGAAGCTTATTTCACTTAAACTTCCCGGGGAAGTCTTCCCTCGGGTCCTCTTCCCGGGTCCTCTTCCCCGGGGCCTCTTCCGAAACCATGCCTGGTGGCTGCATCATGGTGATCAAGATTAAGCACCCAACATATCCATAGGCATCTTCGGGCTTGACCCTATTCGCAAACCCCTTGATTCACATGCCACAATATGAATAGCGCATACTTGCCTAGATACACATTCAACCAAATATTGCAAGACATCTCCAAATATATTAGATACATAGACTAAGTACCTACCTACCTTGTACCCACCCTACATCAACGGGGCGCACCTACAATATTGAACATGCCGAACAATGCGATTGTCGACTTTCTACATCGAAGCAGTCAGCATGCAGCTTAAGAACGAGCCGATACGCTCCCGAGCCGGGCTACCGCCTCAATAAACGAGGCCGTTTAACCCCCACTCAACGGTCGTATTGCTCCGAGCGAGGCCGTATTTGTACCCACTCGCTCCATCCTGCTTCCCGCTCTCCGTGCGCCTTTCATCATGCCCGCCATTTCATCACGATTGGAGGCCTACTTAGCCGCATTACACGTCATTCCGTAGAATCAAAAAAAAATATGCATTTTCAGGGACGCATCCGTATTTGGTACCATTGCATACGCCTCGACTATCCTAGCAAGCATAATAGATACCGAACATCCCTCCAATCACTTGCACCGATTGGCAGCATCTCATGAGGCCTTATTACATAGATTAAGGGCCTCTTATAGGGTCGCAGGCAAGTTTTTGGTAAAGGAACAGTTCTCGGAACGCGTACTGCATATTAGCAAGACAAGCATTTCAGAGACAATACTACATCACTAGAATCTCACTGCCACTTATGCAGTAATCGGTACCAATAAGGGACCATATCCACATCTATCTCCAAAACGCCCTACCTCGGCGGAAGTTCAGCAGGCTTGACATCGAAATTACCACTACCCATCGCATCAATAGTCTCCCCAATAGCCATGATCTCATCCACAACAGCTTGCGGCAAAGCTCCCTTTTCCATATCCTCGAGGTTTTGCTTAAGCTGCTCGATCTTCGTAGCGCCTAAAATAACCCCATCCTTCTCTCCAAGGTCAGAATGATAAGCTAGCCATCTTAGAGCAGCCTCGGAGGGCTTGATACCGAGGGGCCCGATGACTTCGAGGAGCTTCTTGACTGCATCATGGAACTCGGGTCGGTCATACCAGGCAGCGAAATGTGCGCCGTAAGCACTACGGAGGCGTGTGCCCTCCGCCGTCCCCAGCGTCAGCTTACCGGTGAGGAAGCCGCCGCCGAGAGGCGAGTAAGCGTTAAATGTCATATTGTGCTCTCGGAGGAACGGTAACAGCTCCTTCTCCGGTTCCCGACAGATCAGGTTGTATTGGCCCTGATATACCGACGGCTTGATGTAACCCTCCTTTTCGCAGATATCTATGAAGGATTTAAGCATATCGAGAGGAAAGTTGGATATGCCAATCTATCATCTCAAATTAGTACATTAATAGAATACAATTGAAATTTATTCCGTCCCTGACCTTTTCGCAATACCCTTTCTGGTACTGTTCATTGAGTGCTTCGGCCTGCTCCGCTAAAGGGGTGGCTAAGTCGGGACAGTGAGCGTAAAGGATTCCCAATTTTTTCACTCCCAAAACCTCTAAACTATTCGCGACACTCTTCCGTACGGCTTCTTTACTTAGCGTGCCGTCACTATTCTGACCGGCAAAGAGCACCTTGGTGTTGATGGTGAAGCCTCTTGCAGGTGCTTTCACCCTTCCGATCATTCGTTCCGAGCCACCATGGTTATCGGGAGGATATCTAGCGGCGGTATCTATTTGGGAAACGTCGCCATCGTTTAAAGCATCGAGGAATGTTGAGACGATTGCTTCGTCCTGTAATGTTGGTACGTGGGATGATCCAAACGTTGAGGTTCCGAAATAAATAACGGGATGCTTTTGCGCCATAGTGAATGATAAATTAGTAAAACCGGCTGATGTAATTCAAAACATCATGATTCATTGAAGTCATTGTTAGTTACTTCCTCAACTACATTTTATATATCAGTATCTAGTCCCGCGTTGTCGGTCTCGCCATTTCCAATTCACCGAATTAGCCCGAAACTAGGAGTCGTGGTTTAAAAGATCGGTCGAGTACCGACAGCGCGAGGTAATACACGAAAGCTGCATTAATTGTTTCATCACCTGCCAGCCCTGGAGATTTAAGTGTGATAACAGATTCTATCTAATGGTGGCCATAATCTATGGATTTTGAATCAATTAGCATTGTCGATATTTCATTAGTATTTCTAGGTACCTAGTAGTTAAGAACTTTGGAACCTTTCAAAAAAAAAAAAAAAAAAAAAACCCTCCTGGGTTGGGACGGATGGCGCCAAAGTATACTAACTTCAAGTTGAGTTAGGTACCTAAATAAAGTTATAGGTTGAAGATATAGTGTTGAAGTATGTAGCCACCTCTTGGGATGGGTACCTAACTGTATTTAGGGGCTATTGAAGCTTCTAACCTTAGTATCGACGATGCAACTCGTCCAGCTCCCATCTACTACAATAGCGTTAAGCACAGCGTATGTAAACCGCTGTAGTTGTAGTAGGTTTTACCTCTTGCAGCGCCTTATGGACGCTGTAACATTTATGAATATCTCCAGAGTGGCTGATTTATACTCTCGAGTTTAAACCCACCGCCCAGACATGGCTTATTACGAAAAGCTTCAGAAACATACCTGGCAGTGTATAAGTCAATAATCATTCCCATTTATAAAATCCCAGAAGTTCAATCCCTCAGTCGCGTCAATACAATTCTCTCACACGCGCGCGCACATCTCGACCGCTACATAGCGTACTTGACCAAAAACACCAATCACTTACCTCCACCAATTTCCGAACGTAGAAACTTCATAATGAGGTTCTCTACTAAGGTACTCCTCATCATAGGCCTCAGGGCCACCCAAATACTGGGTAGAATAGCACCTCCGAGCTCTGGCTTCGAGATACGCGCCCGAGAAGACCCATCAGCCGGAAGCTCAATGAACGATATCGATAAGGGCGACGACGACGACGACAACAACAACGACGATGAAGAGGACGACGACAAGCCGCCGCCACCAGGATTCGACCCCTTCGACGACCCCGAGACAGACATAACCGGGACGGAGGTGTTGATACCGCCCGCCATAAACGACACCACCGAAATCGACTGGTTCAACCTCGACAACTCGATCGAACTCAGCGAGATGCCGGACAGGAAGGACTGGGTGATCCCCGTCTCGCACGCGTGGTGCGCGACCTGGGACATAAAGGACGTCAACGTGCGCGGCTCGATCCAGAGGACCATCCGCTGGAACAACCGAGGCAACAAGGTGCACCGCAAGTACGTGCACTGGGAGCTAGACGGGCAGGTCGGCACCTACGTCTGCGACTGCAAGTGGGAATACCGCGACAAGGCCACATCCTGGGAGATGTGGGAGTTCTACGAGAGGATGATCGAGTGGTGCGGCGAGGGCCGCGCTGGCTGGATCTTTAGCAAGAAGTGGGAAAAGGGCTATGCTGTTACTACCAGGGATAGGATCATGTACACGAGGCCCAGGAAGTCATTGTGCCCCAAGTTTTGCTGCTTCGACCCTAAGAGTCAAAAGTTGATGGGGGAGGATTAGGCGGTGGTATACTTACACATAAAGTTACGATCAGATTAGCATTGCGACATGTGAGTTTGCAGTTGGGGAATTCAGTTTTTTTTTATTTGTTTAGTTGAGGCAATGCAATAGCGGTTCTCCCTCAATAAAAGACATCAAATGCCATCTTATCGCCAGGGTAGAGGTATTGAGTGGAGTGGTAGACTTCATACACCTACCCACACTGTAACTCACAGCATTTACTAAAAATGGTCCTAGATGGAGATAGGTTAATAACAGGGTAGTTTACTAGATGATTGGGTTTCTATAGGTGACGCACCTGCAAGATTTTGATTCTTATCTTGTGCCATCTTCAGCAGCAAAGCATTCAGGAAATCTGGTGGAGAATAACCCTGATCGTTCTGGTCTATGATTTTACTCCACTGAGACACCAGTCTCTCGTAAGAGAAGATCATTCAACTTCTCTCCAGTTCGGATATAGACCCAGTCCCCTTTCCCAGTATCTTGTTTCTGGCCTTGGTCTTCGTCGATGATCACGTAGTCGAATCGCTTAGGACCAGATACTGGCGACGAAAGCCAAATCTGTTTATTGGGAGGCTGTTTATTGATGATATAAACACCACTGTCGGGGATCTTGACGGTCATAACGCCAGACTAATTAAGTAAAGCGATTAGAATTAATATCCATAGAATATGATTGAAACATAGCATATACATATAATACTTACACTAAATTCGACATCAATATCACCAATCTCATCTTGTTTTTCCTCGTATTGGCTGAGTATCGCGTCAAGGTACGTGTCTGCCAAGTGGTGATATTCTGCGGTCGTGATAGATGCCGGTTTGATTTCCGGGAGCGACGAGGGGATTGCGCGACGTTGGCTTGCCGAGAAGGGACGGACTAGGAAAGATCGATGGTAATGGGTATGAGGAGGTGTTCGCAATGCGAGTCGGCTGACCGCGGCACCGCGCGCAGCCGTTGCGATTCCGAAGCTGGTCGCGCGACCAAGCTTCATGATGCTTGAACGATACATGGTCAAAGTTTAGGGTTCGGTATGCTCGTTAAAGATGGGGGAATGCGGCGACAATATCCGTGAATTGGTTAATGTCTGATATTCGGTAATCGGCGATGGAGAACTGGTTATGGGTCGAGGAACTTGAAGAGTTGTATGATATTGAGAAAGTACTAGATAGTCTTGATAGTAACGCTAGTTATGTTGGTTTTAGGGGCATAATTGATCACAGGAGATACCGCCAACTCTGATTGCAATCGTTGATTCCTGAGGAAGTTAATAGTAGTCAGGGAGGTTCACAATGATTGCTGAGGAAAAAAATATGATGATGGAAATTGTTAACGATAAGTGAAGGAATCGACGGTAGGCGCGTTAATTCCTAGAGCTTTGAACGCTCCTGGCGAAATATTAATACATTTCACCAAGAGTTAAGAAGTGAACGCGGCATTAAGTATGATGGTGGTTGTTATGTCAAAGATTGAACGACGGGAGAGGAATTGCAGAAACGGAGGGGAGGAAAAAAAGATCTCCCAGGATGAGAATGCGGCTCCAGCAAGTCGGTAACTTTTGGTGGGTAGGTGGGATCGCCATCATCCCGCAGTTAGCTCCCCCTGTAAAAGTGACCTAATTGGTAATCCTGGGCGCCCACGTTTAGCGACTTACAGTTACAGCTTCCCATGAGCTCATCATCCCTGTTCGTTCCTCCCTCTTAAAGTCCTCCTATTATAGATTGGGGCAGTATCGACTCGCTCTATACGTCTAGTGAGAGTCGCTTCCACGAGATACTCGAAATACACCTATAATGGCATTCCCACAAGTGCAGGCGGGAGTGGTGGTGGCAGATTGGATCTTAAGCAATTCATACAATTGTATTAATACCATTCACTGGTATACACTCCCCACGGATATCTCAGTATGGCCCCTTAATTCCTGGTTGGTGACTGCTACCCTTAAAGGAGCAACTCGGCTGAAACTATCACAACTACACACACACTAAGAAGGCTCCGGGAATGTCACCTTAGCTCCGGCTGATGTAAATACATACATTTGTATACCTATACATGACTGGAAGCTTCTGAAGCAAAACATTTGAGCGCAATGTGGAGTGGAAAGAATATAGTATACGATCCACACTCGGTAGCTAGTAAAAGAACAGGGCCGATTGGTGTTTTCGGGAATAGCTTTCCAATGTGCCGTTATTAAGCACCATGAACTTATTGGTAGATATGTACAAGCAACTTATCCAATGGGAAAGCGGAAGGTCGTATAAACTTCATATATAGATAGGTAAATAGCCTAGATGCTTCTATCTAGACCTATTTCATCACCATTGAGAAACCGTAGCACTGGAGTGTTGATCAGCCCTATCGTGATATATATACCAATCGCTAAGTCACACAAACCCACGGGGCTCCACCACGGTAACAATCGCGATATCTCATGTACAGCAGACCGGCGAGAATCGGGGATGAAATGCGTGGCGAGAGGCTTCATATCGCTTCCGATACCGTTAGACGCAAGACAAGACTGAATCTCGGATGGATGTATGTGGTTAGCATGACGACACCATCCGATCCTACCCCGCTTCACGATGTCTATAAAAACGTTGAATTGGTTCTTTTCGAATGCGATCTTTCTTCTCTTCTTTCTATACGCGCTCGTCTATAACCAATTCGAACGAAAACTCATTCGCATAAACCTATCGTACGCATTATAGTAGAAATTACATCGTTATTTCTGTCTTCAGCTAAAGGATTGATACTGATTCTTGTCTTGACTAGGACCGATACTCGGTACGCGTCAAGATGGCGACCCCGCCAATGGAGGCCATGGCCCTAGATGGGTTATCCAGCGAGAGTTCAAAAGACTGCACTTGATCAAAATCCCTCATCATTAGGTAACATAATCTGGGATGAGCCATGAGCCGGTGTTCGAGTTTCTGCGCCCCTTCTGAAGTGCATATAACCATGCCTACCTATTAATTGGAATCATCAATCTAGATGATGGGCATGGAAATGCATGGATGATGGGGATCAACGTGGAGCTTGTTCTGAGATTATACGGCCGAAAACTTGATCTGGATAATACCAGCGAAAGGATCATGCTCTCGATGTTTCCCCCTTTTCCCCGTGCGCAGCAACTAACACCTACCAGAATACTTGATCACTATTCAAAATGGCACCATCTGCGACCCTAGAAGTTGTTGAACCTACTACCCTCCCCCACAAGGGTGGCATCCCTGTTGGCAATGGCAAAATCCATGCCAGCGGAGAGGTCCAGGTTGCTGATGGGAAATGGAAGGACTTTGCTTTCCATCCCATCAGGGAGTCGCAGGTGGCTCGTGCTATGGTTCGTCGATACTTCACCGACCTCGACACCTATGCCGAGTCAGACATCGTCATCGTCGGTGCAGGTTCGTGTGGTCTAAGCACTGCTTATACCCTCGCCAAAGCTCGTCCTGACTTGAAGATTGCCATCATCGAGGCCAGCGTCTCCCCTGGTGCGTCTGACTAACATGACTTAACGTAGTCAAACTTCTTTACTGACTAGTGCAGGTGGCGGCGCCTGGCTCGGAGGCCAACTATTCAGCGCCATGGTGATGCGCAAGCCCGCCGACAAGTTCTTGACTGACCTTGGTGTGCCGTTCGAGGACGAGGGCGCTTACGTCGTCGTCAAGCATGCTGCTCTCTTTACATCGACTCTCTTGTCCAAGGTGTTGGCTTTCCCCAACATCAAACTCTTCAATGCCACTTCCGTCGAGGATCTCATCACTCGCCGTGACGACTCCGGCGCCATCCGGATTGCCGGCGTTGTCACCAACTGGACTCTTGTCTCCATGCACCACGACGACCAGTCCTGCATGGACCCCAACACCATCAACGCGCCCGTCGTCATCAGCACTACCGGTCACGATGGGCCCTTCGGCGCTTTCAGCGTCAAGAGACTTGTGAGCATGCAGGCGATCGAGAAACTCGGTGGTATGCGCGGTTTGGACATGAACACCGCCGAAGACGCCATCGTCAAGGGCACTCGAGAGATCGTGCCCGGCTTGATCGTAGGTGGTATGGAGCTTAGCGAGGTCGACGGAGCTAACCGTATGGGACCGACTTTCGGGTAAGTACTATTACCATACACGTAGGCTTCAAACAGGAAGAAGCTGATGAATACACAGTGCGATGGCTCTCTCCGGAGTGAAGGCTGCCGAGGAAGCCTTGAAGGTTTTTGAGCAGCGCCAGAAGGAAAACGCCTACTAAATTCGAGTTTTGGAATGTCAAGGAAGACAGAGAAGGGAAGATGCGTTACTAGGTATTGATTAGTTGAAGTTATGAAGGACCACCTACCGCTCTACATAGGTACCACTATCCTTACTGAAAATAAATAAGCTTGAATAGCTCTACATGGTAGCTTGTTAAGTGATTCGGAATGAACTTGTAAATGGATTTCGTAGTTTGTACTCTGTAGATTCGGAGATGATGGCATTAATAAGCCCCTCCTCTCATTGGAGAATCCCGGAATCAACCGGAGAAACTACGGAATAAACACCAATGCCCCACCATAGCTCCACTAATCTGTACAAAAAGACTTTGCAAATTCTCAAAGCTCTAATTTCTTAACTTAGACATTTCCCACATCTTTCTCGTTCGTTCTGAAAAATGATGTGCCGCAATGCGCATTTTGCTCGTCAGACATGGCGAGTCTGTTGACAATGTAGCTGGTCTTTAGTGAGCGAGTCTTTCACAGACATATCATATCTGACGAGTACTAATCTTTTCTAAGTGCAGGTTCTAGAGATTCTCCTCTCACGAACCATGGTGTCCTCCAAACCAAAAGATTGGGTGCGCATCTTGCGAAACGCCAGGAGACCATAGGTCCAATCAAGTACATATTTACTTCAAACCTCCAAAGAGCCTATCAGACAGCCGAAGCCGTTGCCGAAGCCCTGCTTGAAACCCAATGTCCCTCTAGTGACGATACCTCGGAGTCTCGAACAGCTGTGGAAGTCTCCCGGCTACCCGAGTTACGAGAGAAAGACTATGGATCATCTGAGGGCAAGAAATATGGCGTGAAGACAGGGAGAGGTCATAATGATCAAATCCAGTCTGATTCGGAATCACATGAGTCGATGAGAGTCAGAGCTCATCGGTTCGTGGACTCCCATCTGGTCCCAATTACCGACACTGATGCGTCTGGAAATATCACTGTCTTGATAGTGGCACATGGTATTATCCTTGGCGTCCTTTTGAAGGTATTGCTTGAACGGTTTGCTCCGAAGCCAGCTCCCTCTGCACCCCATAGTGGAGGCCAAGATGGTCTATCGGAGTCCGTGGCATGGAGCAACACTGGCGTACTTCAGGCCAAGCTGCAATTGGGTAAAGACTTGACATCTTCAGGTAGCCCGAACAAGGCTGTACCTGTTGCTAGTTCAACAGTCTCTGACGATGCCGCTCCCTCTACAAATTCACGTGGAAAGCCATTGCACCTGACTATTGAGCTTACAAACGATCTTGAGCATCTCAGTGGTCTGAAAAAGACAAGAGGTGGCATTGGAAGTGCCAAGTTTGATTCGCGACAGCGGACAATGGACTCATTCTTCACTTCTACCTCAAAAAAGCGAAAGCTTTAAAGGGAAAAGCATCTATTGGGGGGTTCTTGATCATGGTACGTTTATGGTTATTTTACTCTTTTTACCCTCTATATGATGAGAGCACATAATTCACAGACCTGTTCTGAATTTCATGTGGAATCATTTATGTCCAACCGCTATCTGATACTTGTTTCTATCCTCACTATTTGGAAGCTTTGCGAGAGTATCTGCTAATGTCCGCACCTTCACGTTAGGTAACTTCAAAATTCATATCTCAGTTATATTCTTAGATTGGTATTAGCAACGTTGTGTTAGAGAACGTTTTCACGATTGGAGTATGCCCTAGGACATTCCGACTTGGCATAGCCGCTGGGTTAAGGGCTCAACAATTAGATTCGCTTTCAACAAAGCCTCCTTGCTTCAATAATGAACTTGCAATATCTAATCAAATATGCGACATTCCATAATGTGCAACCTTGCCGTAAAATAACTCTTGTACGGCTTCGCCTGGCAACGAAAATTTGTTTGCAATATCTGATCACTGTGTTTCATGGGACGTACAGCTAATGATTGTTAAATTTTGAGTAAGGTCAATCAAGATGTGCAGAATGTGTAAACCATCTAGACAGCTTTACATTGTTCATAATGGTAATACTGGTTAGTAAAAACGGAACATACCCGTGGACGTCTGGAGAATATTGGGCCAAGTGTATTAGATCCTACCCGGTACGTGTCAGGTATACTATCTTGCTTAATCGAGCATCACTACACTTCTTCCATTCATTTCATGTCACACTAAAAATAGTTGTTTCTAGGATTATACTCAGACTTAGTAAAATAGTTTGGATGCCACAAAAGTCTATCATCATTTATCTTGATTCATTCCTGAAAGCACCTAGCAGGTAGGCTGCTGGACGATGCATCCATTCGATACTATATTTGGCTTGTCTACTAGGTACCTACCTAGTGATAGGAGGCATGGTTTTGATGACATCCATAGAAATATTCTACGTCAGGGGTGTCAGAGACATGTCAAACTTTATACAATTCATACCTAGCTATGTATAAGAGAAGTGCGTCGTAGAAGTTCAAACATTTCAAGGACTTCGTCTTATAATAGAAGCACGCCTTGTTTCTGTCTGAGTTCTAGTAAGCCTTTACCAATAGTGCCCCAAATCCTGTTCATATTAAAGCATCTCTTATAATTTGGATACGGAACTTCCACCTGATTACAGTCATCATGCCACCTCCAGACGAACGCTCTCCAACGACGCCTTCGGTGATCATCTTTCCTCAAGACGACTCGCCCCCCCTCACGGCCGGTCAGGTTCCCACGCGCGATTATGAAAGCGGTTCAGACGATTTCACCAAAACGACCACCACTTTGACAACTGGATGGATCGTTGGGGCCGTTCTAATCATTGTGCTTTTCATTGCCGTTGTAACTATATCATTTACGGCATATAGACGGCGCACTAGGAGGCATGCAGATGGACTAGTTCAATCTAACATAGAGTTGACTAATCGAGACGCCCCCCCTAGCTATGAAACCCTACCTAGATAGATGAGAGCTATGCCAGGAAACGGTGAGAAAGGGATAATCGCCGAGTTGAAGTATAAAGCGGGCTTGAACCAGCTAAGAATTATAAAACCATTTGAAGCATTTCAAACCACATAAAACTATACGATATAGGATAACATGATATTATGTATTGTTGTTTATAGATGAAGTCAAAATTAACATGATATCCTGGCCTTAGTTCAAACTAGGGCTACGATCTATAGGCAGTTACCGACAAGATGCTATCATTACTCCACATTAGATGCTACATTCCTCTTTAGAACTAAGTATCGAACTTCACTATCATATCTAATAGTTAACCTAGGATAGAACTTAGATATATACACTTTCTTTCCCTTCGCTTACGCATATATAGTTCTGAGTAAGTAACAAAGGGGTATATGCTAACATGCGTTCCATCTTTGTGGCCTTGGTTCTGTCATGCTGTAGTCTTTCACAAAGTACTCTTGAAGTCTTCCAGGCCTCACCTCCTCCCCGGTCAACACTTGACGCTCCAGCGTGTCGCCATGTGTTATTCGAGCATGATTTTGGTAATAGTTACGGTGCTCCGTACGTGGGACCCTATACGCCACCTGAAGGCTGTAATTTCACCACTACTATTTTCAACCTGAGTGTAGTGTCGAGTGGACGGCAATTCGATCGGCTTGCAACACTATGGCTTGGTGATATTGAAGTGTGGAGAACTTCTACCGCAATGCCGACTCAATCAGGGATCCATTGGTCGTTCCAAAAAGACATGACTATATGGTACACACTATTAACACAGAGCCAAAAGCTCATCTTTGATCTTGGAAACCTGATTGATGGGGATCGATACACTGGCCATTTCAATGTCACAATGGAAGCTCTATACTATGATGACCGTTATATCTCGGGCTTCCACCCTGCAGAACATATCTACCCCATCTCGACGTCATCATCTTCGACTAACGCTACTTCATTATTCTCACTCCCCGACGACAGTGGGGTGGTCAATCTTACCCTCCCAAGGAACGTAAAACATGCGGTGGTTTCGGTCACGGCCTCTGGCAACGGCGAAGAGGAGTTTTGGTTCACGAACGTGCCGTCGGAATACGTCCATACATTCCCCAGCAACGATGGCTGGCTATATGAATACAGTCCGTTTCGCGAAGTGCAGGTGCTCATTGACGGCCGGCTTGCTGGCGTTTCGTGGCCCTTCCCTATCCTCTTCACCGGCGGTGTTGACCCGGGTGCGTGGCGGCCCATCGTCGGCATCGATGCCTTTGAACTATCTCCATTTGAGGTTGACATCACCCCTTGGCTTGGCTTACTTACAGACGGACAACCGCACACTTTCCAATTGCGTGTGGTGGGGTTTGACACATCTGCGGAAGATGGTATAGGCCCCATTGGAGAAAATTGGTGGGTTTCAGGGTCCGTCTTCGTCTGGCTTGATGAGGCGACCGAGCAGAAGACTAGCAACAACTTCCGTATCGAGACTACACCGCCTTCTTTCGACTTCCATCCGGTCGTTGGTATAGAGGTATCTAACAATGGTACGATTTCCAACACCTCATTTCATTTTGCGTTAACAGCAAGCCGAAATATAACGATCTCTTCCACGATCACAACAGGGACCGACACGCGCGACGTAGTATGGACGCAGAGCCTCTCGTTTTATAACATACAGAACATGTCCGACTTGGCTTTCAATCAATCACTGTCCATGATCACGTCGGGCAGTTACTCAGACTCGATCTCAAACGTTATATCTCATTACGTTTATCCCTTAAACCTCTTCAGTGCATATGATGTAGCCTCCTCCGGAGCAACGACGAATCCTGGCTCTGTTTTCTGTATGGTCGATCGAAGCAAGCTGACAGATGGTATATCTACGCTGCCTTTCTTTACTGGGATATCTGTCGGTTCGGAGAGCCTTCATACTAGACAGAATGTTACATCGAATTACCACTGGAATAGGACGATCGTGGAGGGGACGGAAGGTCTAGACGCGATGGATGGTGAAGTATGGCTTTCGTATTCTGGTATTGCGGCGAGCGGGGACAGCGTCGTGGCATATCACCGATATGCTAAGGAGAAGAATGATAGCATCTTGGTAGATGAGCAGGGCTGGGGGCCATTACAGGTGCCCAGTACAATGCCTCTTCCACTCCCAGATGATTGAGATGATGTTGATGCCGTCCAGGTAAGAAATACCTACTGACAAAAGTTTGAATCGCACTAGGAAATATTTCATAGCTGACATCGCTGAGTCTTATTGTATCCGTCCAATTAAAACCCTTGATATAAGCCCAATTTTGGTGGATACCTAACCGCTATAATTTAAGCTTTCCCAGCCCGGAAGTCCACTATAAACCCATAAGTTTCAGTTAACTTTTGCAACAAAACAGCCTCTTAATCGTCTTGATTGTTCTGGAATTAGCAACGTCATCGTAACATTAAATATGTCGTGTCGTCGACCAGCAAGATAATCATAACGCGAGTAACTACACATTCCCAACTCTTCAACCTATATGGAACGAATAATGGCGAGAACCTATCGCTTTAAACAGTGGCTATGTCGACCTGTGCAAACAAACTAAGCTGCGCCGCAGTAACGGTTAATGCCGATCCTGACATCGTGGGTGGCCTCATCCCTCCTCTCTAGATGCCGACTAACTCGCATAGGCTGGAACTGGGGTACGGCGTCGACTTACAACCATCAACTAAGCCTTGTACTTACCCATTCCCGTATAGGTCATTCTCGCTTTCTTGATTTCTGCTTGGTCTAGCCTCGTAATTATCACCGTTGAATATTTCTCTCTCCATGGGGACGACGTTAACTTCAATTCGAATGCACTCGATGAATTGTTAAAAGGGTATATCTGGAAGTTAACAAAACGCTTTAGCAAACCGTGGACCCTAGGAGAGGTCCAGCCAGCTATTTTGTTGGTCAGCGACCAACAACTAATCACTGGTATTGCGATCCTAACCGTGGGGTATATCCAACACTGCACCATTTCCCAGTATCATTTCTATATAGTCTACTTGCTTGGGTTTATGTCCTCTCAAGTATATGATGCATCCCTCCATGCTCTTAATCTATACGTCAACAGACGTCCATCGATGAAGTTATGGAGAGTAATTCTGATGAATATCCTTTTCGGTATGCTTATCTTCAACGCATTCGTTGTAGATCATGACGAGTTCCTTGTGTATGAGGACGACGATGATATTTGGTACCTTGGGTCTTCTACTCAATGTGTCTGGAACAACTTCATCGGCACGAGTCATTACCGATCTTCGCTCTTAGACCTCATCCTATCGTTAATTGTATTGATCTGGGCCTACCTTGGGGACATGCAACTGTTCTATCCTCACATATTCAAGCCCCTCGACTGGTTTATTCGAGTCATTCAAACACCATTATTAGGTCTTCTTAGGTTTCACGACTACATCAGCGAACGGATGTCCGGAGCGGAACCTCCTTCCATTGGAGCGCACCGAGTCGACACGGAGACGAACCCCGGGGCGACGTGTTCCATGAATTCGTTTCCTCGGAAACTATCTCATATTCCCTTACTCATAATCCAATTTTCCATATGGTTCTTACTCCTCCCGAGCTTTACCTTGATAGAAATTCTGACGTCGCGTATCGTCGACCTTTGGAGAATATATTCGGCGTTATTATGGGCAACAATCTCAGTTATAAAACTCGGGAAATATGCCAGCTCCCATCAATCGATTCAGGGTGACGAAAGCGGATGGGGGTTTGGCCAAATCCTCCCCTTACTTCTACTACTCCTACCGGCGACGTCGGTACTAGAGATATACCAAGGCGAGTAGAAGGATGCAGGAAAGGTGCAGTGAATTATGCTAATTATCACTAGAGGCTCAAGAGAAAAGAAAGAAAGAGAAAGGTGCAAGTGCTGAAGTCGAGCTGCAACACTTAGCCTTACGAGACTCAAGCGGGCAGCTTTTCTACGAGGAGCCAGCCTCTCTCTATACCGCTTCCACTTTCGGGGGAAGCAAAGACGACACTACATTTAAGAAGAACAGGGGCGAGCAACGACAAGGTACAGGATTACGAGCAGGGTTTACAGATGTCTCTATAATGAGAAGGGAGACGATTGATACCAGACCCACTCTTCAAGGTAGAATGTATGGGCATAAGCTGTTCTGCGTGTGGATTACATTTTGTACACATGCTGCCTTCGTGGGGACTACGTACGGAGCGATCAAGGGATATTCGATTTGAGATGGGCATAAATTAGAACATAAAGGTTAGAAAAAGATAGAAATCAGGATAGAGGGCCTCAAGATACGCGATAAGTCGATCGCTTGGGATGCTAGTGAAAAGGAATATACGAACTGACGGGTAATTATTAAACACGATTGCGGATGATCACCCTTATCATAGTGGCTTTCGCTTGGAGTCCCATTTCTTTAGAACACAGCTCAAAGATCTACATAAAGCAGGGAATGCCGATTTTGTCTGATGATTCCATAGGTAAGATGAAAATATTAATGGATTCCACCTAACTCAAAGTGTAACCCAAAAAAAGGTAAGTAGGCTATACAGAGAGCTGATCTCTGACATAAATGTCGAAATATTTACACTAATTTCGTGTGTGTAGCACAGCGTCCCGCCCGACTCTAAAAGCCCCTAAGTCCTACATCGGGCGAGGCGTTCAGCTGGCGATCTGGTTGGGTGAACAGCGAGGCTGAATTGACGACTGATATAATTCGCCAACCACCCCTCTTTTGCTGGAAAACAACTAGTTAGCTCTATTATCTCAATTCATCACAATCCAAATCTCACTCAACACCATCAATTCTACCAAACACCAACACAGCACATAAGAAAACCTTCAACCCTTCAACCTACACCCCAAACCTCAAACACCCCTACAATCATGATCCTCCCCCGCGCCATAAAAAGTAGCCGCCGCAAAGGCTCCGGCTTCAAATCCGGCGGCTACCACTACTACGGCGGTGGCGGTGGCGGCGGCGGATCGCGCCTCCCTCTCTGGGTCACCCTGGTCATCGTATTTAGCGTGTTATGGGCATGCCTCTACCTAGCGCTATTCTACTATTTCTTCCGAAAAGGTATATCATCCTCTTACCAATCTCACAATCCCTCAACCAACCTACCTACCCACCGCGTACTCACCCAAAAAACTAACGCCCCCATCACCAGAACGCCTCCAAACCGACCCCCTCAAAAAGCGCAGCCGAGGCGTCTCTCTCGGGCGCGCCGCATGGAAGGCGTTCCGGTACGCAACGCTAATGGAGCCAATAATCTGGGCAGTGCGGAAGCTAATAACGCGGTTCCGGGCGGGACGGGGAGCGAAGAACGTGGGCGGCACTTTCTACCGGAAGATCGAGGAAGGGGAGGAGAAGGGGCCAGGGATGCGGGACGTAAATAGCAATAGTAGTAGTGGTAGCGGCGAGCCTGTGGGTGTGGTGCCACCTGCCCAAGTACGCGGGGAACCGCTTCTTTCTCCGGTGGTGATATCTAAGGGGTCTGAGGACCGGTGAAGGGGGTGATTGGAATTAAGTGATATATTTATTTGATAGATAGGTGGGTGGATTTGTTTTAGGAACGCTTGATTAAGGGCTAATGGGCTATTTAGAGTGATTGAGTAAGAGTACAAAGTAGATAGTTTTTTCTCGCTGAGTAGGTAGACGTTTAACAAATAAGATACCCGGTTCGTTTTTAGAGGTAGTAAAGGCAGCGCAGTAGGTATTCACGACAGGATTACATACAGAACTATACATTAATCATTGGCCCTTCCAACCTGCTAGGCCTCTCCACGACACTCCTTCGTTGAATCTCGCAACTCGGCTTCATTTTGGCAAACTTCCAAAGATCCCCCTCCCCCCAATTCGGCGCCTATACAAGTGAGGTATCTTCCGTATCAAAACAAAGAATCATTCATTTTGTCTCTCGATGTGTTTCGTGGTATGCTAAACCTGAATTTAGGACTGGTTAGCTAGGTGGTTTGCGGCCTAGATGGTGGATTAGTGCTCTAGCTCTACACTCTAGAAAAAACTCGACTTACCCGCTCGAGATTGTAATCGTACTTCTCAAGCGCGTTCACCGCATCTGTCCTCGAGTAACCCATGCCCGTCAGGTTCTTTACAATCGGATCGTCGTGCTTTCCTTCGTCGCTAAGTGCTCGTCCTACAGTGCTTGGTCTACCTGAGCTATGACTTTGAACGGGACTCTTGTTCTCATCACTGCTCTGTTTTGCGGGTGCCTCGCTGGGAGAGTCTAAGCTAGCGAAAAGGGCATCCCAATCCTGATTGTTTTGTGTAGCAGGGCCTTGGGTAGAGAAGGAGCCGGCGTTGGCATTGTTGGTGGCTGGACCGACGCTAGTCGTAGCTCCCGAGGGAGACGAAACTGTGCCGAAATCATAGCTACTATCGATTCCAAACGTGTTCGAGACATTCGTCGATTCGCTCTTAGGCTGACTTGGTGGCGGGCTACTATCAAAAACAGGGTTGAAATCATCAAGATTTGATCGAGACAGGTTGGCAAACTCATCATCCGCTGAACCTTCTTTAGCATCCTCGAGGTCCGCGAATTCGTCATCTAGGTCGTCGAAGGCGGCTTTAGATCCACTAGGAGCTGTGTTTGTGACCGTTGTTGGCGTTGGAGCGAACGAATCTCCACCCTGAGATGCGGAAGAGAAGGACGGGGAAGCTTTCGGTGGCTCGGGAAACACCGATAAGTCACTTGTATAGATATTAGCACCGTCACGAGAGAATATCGGCAGAATGTACCAAAGACCAGGAACTTTCATACTTAGATGGGTGGGATGTATGCGATCCCGCAGCTGCTATGTCTGGGCCGTCGGTTGCGGCCGCACTTGCCTTTGATGCCGCGGGAGAAGCCGGAGCCTGTTGTGTTTCCTTGGGTTCGGTCTTCCTATCGGCTGGGGATGCCGGTGCAAAGTCATCATCAAATCGGTTTCCCTCGCTGGCAGAATCCGACTCGTCGTCTCGTTCTAGCTCGGAGATAGGAGGGAACTCCGAGTTAAAAGTTGAAAATGCATTAGAAGTATCCTTGGTCGATTTATCTTGGGCCTTGCCTGAAGAGCTGGCCATGCTCGCAAAGGCCGAGTCAAAATCTACCTTTGCGTTGCCATTATCCTTCAAGTTCCCGAACAGATCACTGTCCCTATTGCCCCCATATGGTGTAGTCGGAGCAGGTGCAGTTGGTGTCTCGTCTGGGAATGACCCAGGAATGGATCCATCCTGAGGGGATTTTGGTCTCTCTTCACTCTGCGGTGTCCACTTCTGGTTTGTATCAGATTTTGATGTAAAACTCTGGCCAGTGGACATTGCCTCCATCGGGGCCGGAGCCGGAGTGGAAGCGGAAGGAATTGGGGCGGTCTCACCAGACCTGCTTACAGGAGGCGAAACTTGGCGTGAGGGGGCAAGGGTCTCGGATGCCTCGCCGAACGGTCCGAAGCTCGGGCTAGGCTGCCGCGGTTCAGTTGGTACAGGGGGTTCGGCAGTCAAGGTGGCCTGGCGACTCACCGTTGGTGTAGAGCTAGTTGGGGTAGCAAAAGACCCAATACTAGCCGTAGAAGTACCGGTGTTTTGGTGCTTGAACGATGTCACTGGGGCCGATGATGTGCTGTCACCCCCGAAGTCGCCGAATATGTCATTAAACGACTTTTCGCCATAGGGTTTAACAGGAGGAGGTGAACTAAACGCACCCATTATGTCCGTGCTCCCTGTTCGCCTAAAAAAGGGATTGTTCGCACTGGCGGTTGACGGTGCTGGGCTCGCTAGCTGAGCAGAGGTTGCAACCGGCGATCCGGTGTTGACCTGACGAGAGAGTTCCTCGTTGCTCTTTGTGAGGTCCTCGACGTCGTTCTTCAGCTTGTCTCGCTCGCCCTCGGTCGTAGAAAGTTGCTTCTTGTTGATAGCCACCATTCCCTTTTGCTGTCGAGCTTCTGACTTTAACTTCTCGATCTGCGGCTTTAATTGGGCAATCTCGGTATTGACAAAGCTGATACGTTGCTTGAGAGTCGCATTCTCTTGCTGATCGGCCTGGAGAGCTTGTGAAATTTGGTGGTGTTGGCTCTGCAAGTCTTTGTAAGTGCCATCAATTGTTATCAATTCGTTAGTAAGCTTCTTCGTCTCTTCGCGTATGTTCCTAAGCTGCTCTTCTAGGGATCGAACATCTTGAGCCTCCTTCTCATACAAGGCGCGTAGTTGAGATAATCGCTGTTCGAAGTTCTTCTTTTGCTCGCTAGCCTGGTTGATCTCATTTTGAGTGGAGCCGCGCTGTCCTTGAACTTGTTGCATCTGCTTCGATAAAGATCCCACCTGGTTAGACAAGTTTGCTAATTCGGCAGTCTCGCTAGTTAGCTTCTTGCTAATTTCTGGATCGTTGTCACCGAGAAGGTCTTCCATAGTAGATGCGGAAACGGGCACGGGGCTGCGTTGAGCTTGACCCGATCCGGCGGAACCTCCGGTATCATGAGAAGTCAAAGTTTTGCCAAATGAGGAGGACGGAATAAATGGTTTAAATGTGTTGACTGTGGGAGACGTTCGGATTGGCGAGCCTGGAGGACCACTAGCAAAGGGATCTCTCGTTGCTGAGCCACCGGTCGATACCGGAATTTGAGCTGGAGCAGGGCTAGGTGATGCGTCAAGACCAAACAGATCATCAATGGCGGACTTCGGCTGTGGTTGAGGTTGAGGCGGCTGCGGCGGGGGCGAAGGAGCTGGAACATCAAATGGTGACGGACCGATAGGGGCACGGGATTGAGTTCGTAAAGACGGAGGGATAAGGTTCGGCGGAAGCACCGTAGGTAGAGGAATATCTCGCCTGGTTCGCTGTTGGCGAATAAGATACATGGCGACAGCGAAGGTGTCCCGGTTCAACCGACCCTCCGAATTGATGTCTGCTAGATCCCAAATTTGGGCTAAGGCATCTTCGGGCAGGCCGGACCTGCTTAGGAAAGGGACTGCCTCCTCGCCTGTGATGAATCCCTTATTTGGTTTATCCAATTCGGTATAAAGCTGATCGAATCTTGATTTTTCGGCTGGCGTGACAAGCCAGTCACCCCCAGTCACCTGAGCCGGTACGCCTGGGGGAGGGGGGCCCAGCGGCGGTCTTCCTAGTGGACTGGTCGTTCGCATTTGAGCTTGTCCACTCAGCTGTCGCGGTATAGCAGATATAGGCGGACCTGTAGTCGTTGGGCTCTGCCTCGGTGCAGGGGTGCGTCGTGTAGCAGCTTCGTAAAGCGCAGCAGGGAGAATATTCGGTAAGCCTCTCAAAGCACCAGCTTTCATAGAACTAAGAAGATGCATGGCAATGACGAATTCGGTTGCAACAAGGGCGCCCCTCTGCTCCGTATCGGCAAGCTGCCAGATGCGTCCTAAGACTTCGTTAGGTAGTCCCGATTTCTCGAATATGCTCTTTGCTTGGTCGCCGGGTAGTATGCCGCCTGGCAGTAGACTCTGCTTCTCGAAGACGGTAGCATATTGAACGACCTTCTCAGGCGACAAAGGCGGTATTCGTATGGGCCCGCTACCAGTTCCTTGTGCCTGTAGCGGTGGATGAGCCGGCGGCGGCGGTACGGGGGCGGCGCTGATATTGATCCCATCGAATCGCGGCAAAGGACCCTGCTGCATGGCCAGTTCAGGAGTTGGTTCGCGTCCAGCTTGGGCATGGCCGATGAGCCGCAAGACGAGTCCAAAGCCAACAGGTGTCAAAAAGCCTCGGTTCTCATTGTCCGCTACTTGCCAGATCTGCCGACGAGGTAGATTAATCAGCAACTTCAACTTTCCATGTTTGTTTTGTCATCCCCTAGCGTGAGCGTGAGGAAATCATCGGCTTGACTTACCTCACCAAGAATACGTGAGTCAAGTCGGGTTTTCTCGAAAAACTTTACTGCCACATCACCCGTTACGATACCCGCACCTTCGATGTCAGCTTCGTGAAATAGTTGCCCATATACTCGCTTCTCTTCGGGGCTGAGGATGAGCGTCGGCGCAGCTGCAGAAAGAGGGGGTTAGCTGATGCTATCGATGATGTATATGGAGAGCTAATAAAGGTCTCGATGATATATATAGACATATAGATATATGGTGATGTTATTTAGATAGAGAGTTATCATAGCTTACCGGCGTCAACGCTGGATTCGGCAGACATTATTGCGCAGCCGAGCTCACCAGGCTTCAATTTAAGACAGAGCTCGGCGGGCGAGGGCGAAAGATTTCGGGGTTATGTTTCGGATGCAGACCAAAAAAAAAGAGTTCAATTGACAATGCGTTAAGACGGATAGAATTCTTAACTGCCAATAATACACGGGGCTACTTTGGAGCTTCGGCAACAAAATACGGTTACAAAGGTTCAGGTCGTGTATTGCGAAAGGTAGAATAAGGTATTCCGTTAAGTGCCAGGTGTGGGAGAGAATGTTTTGGTGTTGGAGTCTCCAACTTTACTTTCACTTTCGGCAGGAGGCTGGAGTAATGAGCCTAGAGCCTAGAGGTAACGATAGGTACCTAAGTATTCTAGGTTTGACAGGGTAACCTTGAATTCCTCCCCCTACTTGCTGCCCCTACTGCTCCTACTGCTCCTACTGCCCCAAACTGCCCCTACCTTAAGCTACCAAGGCAGCTAGGTTGTCTACCGCAAGTTTACGTAGACGGTGCCACTTTTCCAGCTCCCCAAGAACCTCTTAACTTTCAAGCTCCGGGCTCCCGGTACACATATACATATACATATATTATGTATTCCGTACATACTACATACATTATGTATGCAAAGACCCTCTATTTTAAACGATTATCATTATTAATATTTCTTCCCGACGTCCATTTGACACTCATATGCCTTCTAGCATGTTAGTGCACCTTGTTTTGTCCTGTCGGAAGGCAGCTAGATAAACATGTGACCCGTAATAAATATCTCCTCTATTAAAATTTGGAGACAGATAGAAAAAGAACGAACGTTTCTCGATGAGTCAAGCTGCTCAAAGGCGCTCTTTTTCCTCTCACGAGTGCCGCGGCATCCCGATTTGGAATCGTCATTTTAGGGGACAGGTAGCCATGCACATCTCTGCGAGCTGCATTCGAGAACGAAGCCACAATTGGTCGACAGCGGGTTCAACCGCGCATAGCGTCTAAGGTAGTTATCGAATAGAGTGAGATTGGTACTCTACATTTCAACCATTGGTCGAAAACTCTGTCACACTGCATACAAATTGTCAAGCGATACCAAGCGACACGAAAACGAAACTGCAGGAAGGATAATCAAACTACGACGGGAACTTATTAAGTATCTTTTAACGTCCTTTCTGTCGAGACAACCCATTTGGGGACGACACCAGAGAAACTCGTGCTATTAAAAGTTGTAGGACGGATGTACAATGCGTATACTAATCTTGCTACCAGGCTCAGTCACAGTAGAATCAAAAAAGTCCCCTGCTGTCTCTCCATTAGTCCCAACGGACAAGCCCACGTTACCCGGAAACTTTAGCACAACTGATACATCTCGATTCGTCTTTAGTATAAACAGGGTGCTATCACGGTACGTCTGAATCGCATCCTATTATGGGTGCGAAAGTATTAAATGCCTCTGGCGGTGACACGTAGCACGAGTGACCTGAGACTTAGTACTCAGCCTCAACATCTCCGTCTCCCTCTAGGGAATCGGTGGCAACCTCCTCGTAGTCGCGCTCTAACGCAGCCAAATCCTCGCGTGCCTCCGAGAATTCACCTTCCTCCATACCTTCACCAACGTACCAGTGGACGAAAGCTCGCTTGGAGTACATCAGATCGAACTTGGTAGACAACGCAGACCAAGCCTCAGCAATAGCTGTCGTATTGGACAGCATGCAGACGGCACGGTTGACCTTGGCCAAGTCACCGTTAGGAACGAACTGGGGAGCCTGGAAGCAGATACCAAGCTTGAAGCCTGTTGGGCACCAGTCGACGAATTGGATCGTGCGCTTAGTCTTGAGGGTGGCGACAGCCGCGTGGGCGTCCTTGGGGACAACATCACCTCGGTACAACAGGCATGTGGCCATGTACTTGCCGTGACGGGGATCGCACTTGACCATCTGGTTGTATGGCTCGAAGCAGGACATGGTCATCTCTTGAACCGAGTTGGCCTCGTGAGCAGCCTTAGCAGCCGAAATAACTGGCGCGTAGGCGACAAGGGGGAAATGGATACGAGGGTACGGCACCAGGTTCGTCTGGAACTCGTTGAGGTCGACATTGAGAGAACCGTCGAATCGGAGAGAAGCGGTGATGGAGGACACAACTGGATAATATTAGCCACTAGCAAATGCATATTGCTTCGTTCCCTACATACCTTGTGCGATCAAACGGTTGAGGTTCTCGTAGTTAGGGCGCTCCAAGCCAAGATTTCGGCGGCAGATGTCGTAAATGGCTTCGTTGTCGACCATAAACGAGCAGTCGGAATGCTCCAGGGTGGTGTGAGTGGTAAGGATAGAGTTGTACGGTTCGACGACCGAGGTAGCGGTCTGAGGTGCAGGGTAAACACAGAACTCTAGCTTGCTCTTCTTGCCATAGTCAACGGAGAGACGCTCCATCAACAAGGCGCCGAAGCCGGAACCGGTGCCACCGCCGAAGGAGTGGAAGACCAAGAAACCTTGGAGACCGGCGCAGCTGTCGGCGACGCGTCGCACTCTGTCCAAGACCTGGTCGATGAGCTCCTTGCCCACGGTGTAATGGCCACGGGCATAGTTGTTCGAGGCATCTTCCTTGCCAGTGATCATCTGCTCAGGGTGGAAAAGGCTGCGGTAGGTACCAGTGCGGACCTCATCGACGACGTTGGGCTCGAGATCGCAGTAAATAGTGCGAGGAACGTACTTGCCCTGACCTGTCGAATACCATTAGATGACCACCCATTGGCTACCAGATAGATAACATATATGCTTACCAGTCTCCGAGAAGAAAGTGCTGAATCCCTGGTCGGGATCAGCGAGCTTGCGCTCTTCAGTCAGGTATCCATCAGGCTGTATGATAAGCTCGTCAGTCGTACTCTGCTATTGAAATGAATCGAAGCAACTTACCTGGATACCATGCTCGAGACAGTAGAGCTACGAGATGTCAAGATTAGCTTCGTACTCGAGTCATTCGGATGACAGGGATAGTAGAGATGCAGGTCGTGCATTAAATAAATATATGCGACGTCGACATCCTATCCTATACAGATATATGGGATACTTACCTCCCAGCAGGAATTGGCGATTTGGCAACCCGCCTGGCCAACTATGGAATACGTCAGTATAATGGTGTTTTTGAAGGTTGGGCAATATAGGTGCTTATAGAGCGAGACATGGATTATGCGGTGAAGGAAAACGCGTGCCTTGAGACACATGAGATAAACGTACCGTTGATGCTAATGATCTCGCGCATCTTGAAGGCAAATACAATGCGAAAGCAGTATTAAGTGTAAACAAGAGGATGAGAACGAAGAATCGGAATCGCGGGTGCAGGCAAGGTTAGAAGGAGAGTCCCGAAGCAGGAGGTGTGAAGTGAATGAAAAATGTAGGAATTGAAATTGAGTCGAAAGGAGTTCTGTTGATGCTTTTGGACCCAGTCGTTTTTACCCAAATCCAATAACTAAAAAGTACTAAAACTTCAAGTGGGGGCGGATTAAAAATTCATCCCCTGACTGGGTAGGAGCTTTTGTTGACATGAAGTTGCCTAGATGGGGACTCGGGCTAGTCGGGAAGGCACACGGACCACGTCAGGATGCAGGGACCTTGGGTGGGACTACTGTTTAATTTATAACATTGAATGGTAGGCCACACAGTGAGCTTGGCAACAACGACACACCGTCGTGCCAATTGCCCAATACTTTATCACCTAAGAAAAAAAACCTGATCTTCATTAATAATTTGGTAATTGAAATTCATACATAAAATTCTTGGATTTCTAGATTGTCATAATGTTAATTCGATTCACTCCTGTAATTTTGCTGATTGCATCTGTGTTCGCAAATACCGAAAAGGCCATTTTCACCGGTCCACCAGCCGCCAATATCCCTTCGGCACATCCAACCCTTGAAGACTTGCATGTCGATATCCTCACCCCTATCAATTGGTCAATACGAACACATCTTGAGTCCCAATTTCCCAATATTTCATCACCTAACGGCAAAGCTACTTGGCTTATCCTTGATGAACTCACTGAAGGTCAACGTTATGAAGTGAGAGTGTGTTGGGCTGCAACTGTTAGTTTCCTATGGTCTAACAATGTTTTTATATCCATTTGGGTTAAGAGAGCTAACTTAAATATAGCAACCTACCCAATTCAAAATCACCACTTATGAGCTGCAAACCGTCTTCGAGACTCCCGAACTAATATCTGAGCTTTCAGAATATTCATGGGCTCGCCAGTCGCTTGGGGGTAATCATGGGTCTCAATCTAAGCCAGAAGAAAACCTCCGGATTTCAAACTCCGAGAGAGAAGCTTCGGTTCTCTTTCTCCAGATTCTAGCGGCGGCAGATTACTTCACGCTAAATAAGACGCTGATGAGACACGTTCCGCCAGTCCATGTGGATATCATCCTCGACCCCTTTCTTCTTGGCGTACTGCCCCGTTCGTTATTGCCAACTGTGGGCTACATTACCGCAGTAGCCGTCACATCCTGGTTTATCGCACGATATATCTCAATGTGGATTTATAACTTAGGAGCAGAAGCAACCCCTGAGAAGAAGATTCAGTGAAATGGTAGACACGCTTTCGTCACTGCTTCCTATATTTGCCTCCCTAGATCCAAACGAGAGTACCATCGAATCCCAGCTATCATATCTCGTAATCCTCGCTCATCAAAGCATTCCACACAACTCTGGACGGAAGCGTAACCGCAGCATTGTCTTCATTTTATCCATGACTCAATCTATGCTTTAAACCCATCAGGAGACATAGCCCAAGTCGATTTTCTCTTAGCAAAAGTGAATATAGCGGAAATGCTAGAAACCGAAAGAACATGAACTCCGCGGTCTATAAATACGTCTGCTTAAAGTTCGCCAACGGCACCAGCACCCTTTAAGGTTGGCCTGCTACCAATTGCCTGGGTACCCCCCTGATTGACTATGGTGAGGGTGTGTCGCCGAAGGAACCGGTGGCCCGGCAGCATAGGAAGGTTGTCCAGAGTAGCTGTGGGAGCCTGATGATGGTGGTGGGGGCATATTATACTGCTGGGTGCTATGAGTGCTAAACGTAGAGGGAGGTGGTGGATACTGCTGGCCGCTATATTGAGACTGATTTGGTGGTGGTGGCGATGCGTATTGCTGTTGTTGCGCTGGGTGCTCTATTAGCGAATACAGAAACTTTATACCAGGAAATATCACCTACAATAGGCATGTCCCTGAGGGCCTGGGCTGTGCCCGTAGGTAGAGTGCTGTCCCGCAGGCGGACCGCTACTGTAGGGTGGATTGTGATGTTGCTGACCGGGAGGAGAACTATTGTAGGTTGGGTTCTGGTGCCCTCCCAGCTGATTAGGGGGAGGAGGGTACGAAGTTGCGGTATGCTGACCGGGCGGAGGAGGGTACTGCGGTGTCACGTGTTGAGTAGATGATGGATTATAGGAGGGCGAGCCTTGCTGGTGAGGCGGGGAGCTGTAGGATGGCGTCGAAGCATTCGGTGGCTGGTAGGATGTTGGAGGCGCATGGCCAGTGTACCCGCTTGTCTGGCCTTGATTTGAATATCCGTAGTTCTAGCGTGTTAAGTTACGTTAGTTAGAAGATTCTATTTCAGTATCGTCGTTGAAAGTATCATACCGGTTGGCTTCCATGACTCCCCCCAAACATACTCGCAACTCCTCCCATCACGGAGCCAGCTAAGCCTGAGGAATGCGGAGTTTGGCTAGATTGCCCACTATGGTAATTCTGGGGTTGCTGGGGCTTATGACCGGAAGAGAATAGATTTGAGGCAAGTTGGCCAACAAGCTGACCAGTACCTCCGCCATGCGCACCAGACGAGGTACCAGACGAAGCACTATGGCCACTGCTGCTGTGACTTCCACCGAGACCACCAATTAATTGACCAGCAAGGCCACCAATACCACCTGAGCTGTGCCCGTTGGTGGCCTGAGGCTTTCCGTGGCTACCGGAGAATTGGCTCAATAACGAATTAGCTGCAAAGCTCTATAGTTGGATGTTAAGTTAGCGCATTATACTCTAGAATGCTGTTTCTATCAGAAGACTAATAGACGTACACCAAACCCCCTTTCACCAGACGGTCCATCAAGTCCTCTATTATCCTCGGCCGGTAAGATGGGCTCCATCCGACCGTCGGGGTGCTTGACCGTTTGTGTACCATCGGGATGGGTGATAACTTCTTGCCGTCCAGGGATGCCGTACGGGTGTTCATTTGTTTGGGCAGGCGTGTTTCCCGGTGCAGCCTGCGTCGGGGTTTCCCATTGAGACACTCCCGTCGAGAGCTGGACGTAGTAATACTTCTTGCTCGCGCCATCCCACTGTGCTATCCATCCAGGTGGGAGTTGCGGTGGTTCGAACGTAGGGCCTTCATTTGGAGAGGCGGGGCCAGCCATGACGACTGAGGGGTCTTATCTCGTGTCTTCTATATTTAAGGTAGGTAAAGTAGATGGACCAGGAAAAGTATTGACTCGACGAAAGCGAAAGATCGTAGAAAGGAGGAAGAGATGCCTCGAATATCGGTAAGATCACTAATTAAAAAAAGATGGTGTCAGTCCGTTAATATTTGAAAAGGATGTGATGTCGAGGGCGGTATGACATGCCTTGGTACGTAGTAAAATTTAGAGAATTTGAAAGGAAAAGGGTTGTTAAAGGGTTGCAGATGAATGAAAGTAGACTAACCCGCTAGCTCAAGATTTAACTCTCTGTGAAGTCTAATCTACACGTAAGTTATAATAGGTAGTCACCAGTGCAGCTTGAATTAGTATGAGATATGCCGTGAGCCGTCGCAGATTCCTACTTCCTCAAGGTAGCGAGTTAAGCATGTACTTTGCGTACATGCTATATATGGATATCAAACAACTAAGATGCCCTAGGTACCCTACCATCTTGCATCTTGGAGGGGTCCTTCCTCCCTCCTAAAAGTGGACCATACTTCGTAGGCAATACCTAAAAGAATGACGATGTCAGCCACAAATAGCACAAATGCCACACATTGAAGTGGCGGTGTTCCAATTGATTCTTAAAATCCGTCGAGGTCCGCATTTTGCTTCCAAGAAATTCAAGCATCTTACGTGTCTTTCCCGTTTTCCCCATCTGACCCATGACGCTACTACCTGACGAATCAAACACGACTATATCTCATCAATTTTAGAGTATATCGTCGGTCGCCTCTAACTTACGCACCACGCCCATCTACTAGATGTTAAGATTAGATTTCCACCAAAGGCAACACATCCATGATGTTCATGCCCTAATGTATTGAAGCGGTATGGAAAACATCCTTAGAAGCTTTATTTCTTTCCTCTGTCTGAGCCCTACCACAAATATTCGCATGGTGCTTGCTGCACCTCCATTTGCACTGCCTCGTCATATTTACCGTCTAAAGTTATCAAATCTGTTTTCTTAATGTTCTTAATGTTCTTAATAGTGTTTTCTCATATTTTTATAAACTTTCAGCACTCCTAAATAACAATGAAGCTCTAAGAGAAAAAGGCGTGAAGCGGGTACTACGCCCCAATTATTCGGTCTTATTGAGAGTTATGAAATTCAACTTTGTTATTAGAAGCGCAGATGGGCTAAGATGAAAATAGGACTACCATCATTCAGGATGTTCGAATGACGAACTTGCGTACCTAATTGACAAATAAATTTCACGAGATCATGGATTCTAAAGACTTGCCTCTCGATGTGGTAGGGGACATCGACTACTACAGCCGACTCTCAAAAATCCGCCAGTTTGTTTCGGGCAACCCTCTCGCCAAAGAGGAATACCGCTTTATGAAAATTCTTCTTTCGAGCGTCAACGTAGACATCATAAGCGAGCTACCAATTGAGCTTGTGTTACAAATCGCGGATTTCTTACCTTTGCGCGATTTCGTAACTTGTCTTGCTGTATCTAAACCATGGCGAGCCAAGTTTCTTTCCATATCTGTCTTAAACAATGCCACATATATGTTCTGCCCGTCAGTACACCAGGCGTCGAGGGACACTCCGTTAGACCCAAAAGAATGTCTAAATGCCCTTCACAAAATAGGACGCATGCCAGGACGATACTTTCAATCAAGTCTTGAGAAACCGTTTTCTTGGAAATACGAATCGTATTTTAAACTCGATCCCGACTTCCATAGCCACTATGAGGACATGTCTGCTGCCTATGCGCAATTTGGTCGCCAGTTTGATCGCGAACCAGATTCTTTTACGTGCAGAGATGCTTTATATTCTAATGGCAGGATAGCGTGGCGTCCTTGGCCACGAATCATTTGTGTGGACAACCTGTGGTCGCGGACACGAAGGGTTTTTACTACGCCATACGGTCCTCTTGTTCACCGGAGATACGAGCTCCGAGCCCTCGGGGATAGGCTCGTAGTAGCCTCCATGGACCGCCGCTTGTAAGATCTTACATTCAAATATGTTTTCAATTTAGGTCTCATTTAATAAATTCAATAGGATCGTATGGGATTTCAGCGCCAGCACGGACATTCGTTTAGAAAGGAAACTACCTGGATCTATTAGAGATGTTTCAACTAAAGGATCTCGCATCGCTATAATTCTCTTTAATGGAGACATCATCCTGGGGGGGTTTCGCAGAACATTCTGGAAATTATCAACTGCTCCCTTGATTAGCTATCGTAACCTCACTAATGAGTCCATGGTATCTTGGAAATCTAACCTTCGCGTCATATTTCACCCAGCATGTAACGGAAAGTTTTTTATAGCCTCCGGATACACTGATAAATCTCATTCAGAAACGACTCATAGGCGAATGATCTACGAATTTGATGATGACAGAAACATGACGACGTTCGAAACCTCAAGTCCGTGGACAGCTCGACACCGGCAAGAACACGGTATTCCTCAATTCAAGATACTAAGAGGAATGCCATGTTACCGCGACTCTATAGGGTTCAGCGAAGCATATCAATTCGGGGAACTGCCAACCTCATTCAAACCAATTACTCCTTTTGCTGAATTTGATATCTACGACCGGAAATTCTCTGTGACAAAAAATCTCCCTCATCCGTCTGGCTGGATTTCCCAAAATAATCAATGCGATATGGATTTTATTGTTGAATTCCATAATCACAGCTTCACAGCTTACAGCCTCCAATCTGGGTTCGATTTTAAAATTGGCGAATAAATATTCAATACATGATCAGTTACACGAAAAGAAAAAGGTTGGAGCACACTCGGGGTGGCGGTTATCTGTATGATGTGCTATTAAACACCTCATTAGAGCTACGAAGGGCTCTAAGGGTTAGTTTATGTAGGAAATTTTTAGTCGAAATTCGGCGCCGAGATTAATATCACATCGGCTGCTAGTCTCAACCAGGCAGTAGAGGGCATACTTCAGAAACCTTCGTCATCTTCGTATAATATCATGGCTGATTTAAATCGATCCGATACGGAAGGCACTGTGATACATGAATAGGAGAACTGTGAGTTTGTGTCATTCACGATGGCACCCTCGGAAGCAACAATGTTGCACTTTCGAATTCTTGGAAGCTATTCTGAAAACACCCTTGAACTAAACCGGAGAAGGCTAATTCGAATGCTACGCCCAATACGCCGTTCTAGAAAATATCTTCTTGTAAGTGATAGTTACAGCTTCCACAGCATCATTCAAGGGTGCAGCCAAAGTTTCATATGAATGAATACCTACCTACATGCCTAACCATTCGAAAGGTCTTTGGTAAGCTACACAGCCGAGTCCGAGAGAGGCCATACAATAGCCTGGAAGTAATACGAACACGATAACCCAGATCAACGATGACTGGCGCTAGGTTAATTCCTAGTTCGGGAGGCTCGCAAATCTCTTCCTGTCCAAAGAGTGTCGCCGAGTAAACCGATTATCAAGCATGGTCGAACGGATTGAGCTAGGAATCGGGGATAAAAAAAATAATGTCCGCCAGGGTACGCACTACCAATTAGGAAATCTAAATCCGCGATGGCCAGATCTTTACCGATGTGAATAGCCACGATTTTTCAATTTTCCATGAATTGCAGTAACACACATAGGCGGAAGAGGGATAAGAAAGGAAAAGAAAAAGGAGTTACCAATTGCTTGTTACCCCGCAAAGATATCCTTACCCTGTATCCGACTAGAATGACCTAATTCTGCAGGCTTCCGGATCTGCCAGGTGATGCCTTGTCACCTAACCCCACCCCCACAAACTCATTACAACGGGTCTTTTATGGAGTATTACGGTACCGTGATTGGTCATTAGGACGGCTTAGGATCACGACCCATTGATCAACCTTCACTTTTACCCCAACAACACGTATCAAGCGCCTTGGATGCTATGGAGGCTACGAATATTTACCTGCCAATTTCAAAAGCTGAGGGATCCAGCCAACCATCGATCAGATATTTCCGGCGTGATGAACTATTTGCGGCGGTACGACATTAGCGGGATGATCTATCATTGGTTTCCCCCCTACTCTTACCCATCACTTTCCCAGTCATTGACTGTCATTCACAGCTAATCATAGATAATTGGGATTTTCGATCTAGAATTAATACCTCCGAGATATTGCATGGAAATTTTGCCTCGGCTGGTACCTGGTCAGGAACTGCGAATCTTGCAGTAGATTTCACATGCTGTCTCGGATCGCTCACCCAAGATCTCCAGACAAAGCATTCCAATTCTAGCTTATGCACAACTAAACCTTTCTGAACCGGGGATGGGCCCTAACGCGGTAAATTTACCCCGTGGGGGAGGACTAGAGAAAGATATTCTTGCTCGATTTGATTCCCAGGACCTGGATTCCTCGATGGTATTCTGGAAAAGCTACGAAATTGGGTAAGCTGTGCGATTGTTGACGAGTCACTTGGTCCAACTCAGTTTGGCGTCCCTTTCGCAAAAATGATCAGCTGGATGGAAGTTGACGGATCAGGGATACGTGTGCTACAAATTCCATGAATGAGATTTGAGGTTGACTTCATTCTTGGTTTACATGTCGATGTCTTGGTTCAGCTTAATCCTTGATGGGTATAGCACGCATATCATCATAAAAGGTAAGTCTATATAAGATCGTCATGCCGTGTCATGAGACACGGTGATACATTCTTCGAAAATTCTCTTTACTAGTTTGCAACCTTGATCTACCAAGATAACTCTATCCTTCCGACCTTCCGTCTCCCTTCCTACCCCCTTCCCAGCTTGCTGGGCCTCACCCAAGGGTCATAATGTATACCGCTCTTGCTCCTCTGATATCGGCTGCCTTTCTCACTAGCATTGCCGCTGCTCTTCCAGCGCCGACTCGAACCTTGGAAGAACGAGCTGTTACCGCGTCTGTGGTTATATCACAAGGCACCGTTGTCGGTTCCGTTATTGGCGGAGTCGAGAATTATGGCGGTATACCCTTTGCCGAACCTCCCACAGGGAATTTGCGGCTGAAGCCGCCGCAGAGACTGAATTCTACTCTCGGCACTTTCGACGCTACTGGAATTGGCCCATCTTGTCCACAAATGTTCTTCTCTACAAAGGGGGATCTTATTACCTCTGTGCTAGGCGATCTCATCAACACACCACTGTTGCAGACTGTTACGGGACAAACAGAGGACTGCCTAACCATGAGAGTCCAACGACCATCAGGTACTACATCGAACTCGAAGCTTCCCGTTTTCTTCTGGATTTTCGGGGGTGGCTTCGAACTTGGTAGCCCTCAGATGTATGACGCTTCATCCTTAATCGCTAATGGCGTAAAACAAGGAAAGCCATTCATCTTCGCTGCCGTGAACTACAGAGTGGGTGGCTTCGGATTCCTGGCTGGTAAAGAAATTCTCGCAGACGGTGCATCCAACTTAGGCCTTTTGGATCAGCGAATGGGCCTCGAATGGGTACAAGACAACATCGCAGCATTTGGAGGAGACCCGGATAAGGTGACTATCTGGGGCGAGTCGGCCGGTGCTATCTCCGTGTTTGATCAAATGGCCCTCTACGGCGGACAGAACACTTACAAAGGGAAGAAGCTTTTCCGCGGTGCTATTATGAATAGCGGAAGCATGATCCCTACAGATCCGGTAGACTGTGATCGCTGCCAGGATATATACGATACTGTAGTCAGAGAGGCGGGATGCTCCGGCGTTACTGATACACTTGCATGCCTTCGCAGTGCTGACTACAAGACATTCCTTAATGCCGTGAATAGCGTTCCTGGAATCCTCAGTTATAATTCTGTTGCATTATCGTACCTACCACGACCAGATGGCGTTATCCTACCAGAAAGCCCCGACCTCCTCGTTGCCAGTGGTCAGTACGCAGCCGTGCCGATGATTATTGGTGATCAAGAAGACGAGGGAACAATTTTCAGCCTGTTTCAGTCCAACATCACAACTACGGATCAGCTTGTCGATTATATATGGAAGATATTCTTTCCCGCTGTCGAAAGAGATGACGTTGTGGGCCTAGTCAACACTTATGATGCATCGATTACAGCTGGAAGTCCCTTCAATACGGGTATCTTTAATGCCGTATACCCACAGTTTAAACGCCTTGCAGCCATTCTCGGGGATATGGTATTCACCCTTACACGCAGAACCTTCCTCCAGAGTGCTCTCGCTGTGAATCCAAACGTGCCGTCATGGTCCTACCTTGCGTCGTACGATTACGGCACCCCGATACTAGGCACATTCCACGCCTCTGACATACTGCAAGTCTTTTACGGTATACTCCCAAATTACGCTAGCAAGGCTATCCAGAGCTACTACATTTCGTTCCTGTACACACTGGATCCCAACAACGGGACAAGCTCCGATATCCAGAAGTGGCCTCAGTGGAAGGAAAACAGGCAATTGATGCAGTTCTGGAATAACAAGAGTAACTTACTGGCCGACAACTTCAGGGCCGCTTCCCAGCAGTACATAATCGCAAATTCCAAGAAATTCTTAATCTAACGTTGCATTTTTAAATGGGTTATCATGTAGGGATTTGGCGTTAATCGAGGATGGGCACGTGAACTGATCTGGCGATTCTTGAGGACACATGTTTTTAAGCGGATATTCCGGTCTGAGATCGCAGTCATGTCGAGAAGCGCATTATCAAAAAAAGGAAAATCAAAATGAGTGGGAAAATATGAGAGGAAAATATTACCGGGAATCTAAGGCACGAGAGCTGAGGGTGCTATAGATAAGGGTACTTGATGCGATGAGGGCGTGACGATAGTGTGGGGCCATCTCAAGCATCGGCAAGGTTGCGTTGATTTAAAAATTCAAGGTAGCAATTCCAGGGATTTTGATCAAGATAGCCCGAGGAGAGGGGAATGTAACATCGCTGACCGACACCATGCCCTTGAAGCATCTCGTATCGTACCTACCTAGGTATTTATTGTTGACATTTATGGCGTGCACGCCGCTTATTAGGTATTCTAGTGTAAGTCTGACATTGCTATTTACCCAGTGCTTAAGCTTCATTGCCAACAATGCGGTTCCCCTTACTGTTAGCCCTATTGAGCGCCTTTGGGCAGCTTCAAGCGCAAGCGAACGGATCGCCTCCTAAAAAGGGGTCGCCGGAGAGAAATGTCAACCAAGTTGGTTTAGACAAGAAATCATACATAGATTCGTTGGTCTCGAATATGACGGTCGAGGATATGGGTGAGCAAGCTCGAGCTCACATATAAGTCCCGAATCGCTAGACTAACAAGTGATCGAGTTCTACAATTGCATCTTATGTTTGGCGGCGACATCGTAGGTGTCGAGTCGAAGAACGAGCTTTACGGTATGTCTATCACCTGCGTAAAAGAATTCGCATCGCGCTCACTTATGGAATAGATTCCACAATGCGCTTTAGCCCAGAGTCGCCTATTGGTGTAATGCATGATTGGTACGCCTCCAGTTATACATGTGCTGTAATTTAATTAGCGCCCCCTATATTTACAGCGACTCATCTAGGTACCCCCTTAACACTTCTCACTATAACTCCGTCCAGACATTGACCCTCCAAAAAGCGCGACTGAAAATTCCGCTTATGCATGTTGGAGAGTGCCTTCACGGTGTCGGGTCTTTCAAACAGTCGATGTTCCCCCAGAGTTTGGGGCTGTCGGCTACTTTCGATACTGGCCTTGTACATCGCGTCGGTAGAGCAATCGGGACTGAGGCGAGGTCGATTGGGATCCACGCCTGCCTTTCTCCTGTTCTTGATATTGGCCAGGATCCGAGATGGGGACGAATGCAAGGTGCGAATTCTCAATTCTGTATAAAAGCTACTCGATGCTAACCCAGGATAGAGGCGTGGGGAGAAGATAGAGTGTTGACTTCGCATATGGGAGTTGCTTACTCTAGCGGCTTGTCCAAGAATGGCTCTTGGTCGGAGCCAGATGCTGTAGTACCAGTTCTCAAGGTATGAATTCTTGTGTTGTTGTTTAGAAGGTTATTGGTTTATTTTGTTGGATAGCATTTCGCCGCCCACGGAGCTCCTCAGTCGGGACATAACACCGCCCCCTTCATGGGTCATGGGAATCGTCAAGTGTTGCAGGATCTCCTAACGCCGTTCAAAGCGGCGATCCAACTGGGTGGAGCAAGAGGCGTATTGATGTAAAGGGAATATAGGCACTCCAATTTGTTTCTCGTACTAATTGGTGTGTAGGGCGTATAACGAGTTTGACGACATACCGGCTCATGTCCACCCCATGTTATACCAAGCGCTCGAAGATTGGGGGTTTGACGGATTCACTATCGCTGATGATACTGGTACGGTTATTCCTCCGTAAAATTTAGACTGTACGCCATGTTGATCAGGTAATAGGAATGGTCGAGCTACAACAGGTGCACCAAGTAGCCGATTCCCCAGGAAGTGCGATAGGACAATGGTTTAATGCCGGAGGAATGATCCAATTCTACGATTATTCTCTTGAGGTCTACCTTAATGTGAAATCCCACTCCCATTTGACCAATAGAAGTGTTATTAACAAGGTTTTAGACGACGAAAGACTTAGTTGCGAACGGTTCTGTGGAATTGACGACTTTGCAGTCCCATATTCGCAGGATACTAGGCGTTAAGTGGGATCTAGGTTTATTCGATGACCCCTTCATTCCGGCAGAAGTAAATCCTCAAGAAATCGTCAAAAGCCACCGGAATCTCACACTTGAAGCTTCCCGGAGAAGTATCGTTCTCCTTGAGAATAAGAACTCCACATTGCCATTGAAACCGCAAGCACAGAAAACTACCAAAATCGCCCTTGTCGGTCCGTTTGCCGATGTGCTCAATTATGGAGGCTATTCTGGTCAATGGGGGCAATATCCTGCAGACGCGGCGCAGACTATCCGCCAAGGGATACTCAAGTATGCGAGTGAAGGAGATTTCGAGTTGGTTTCTAGCTGGGGCGCAAATACCTGGGAATATAATTCTCAATATGTGATCCCACCGTATCTCTTGTTATCGAATGGAACAGCAGGTGGTCTCGCCGCGACATATTTTGCGGATACGAACTTCACCCAGCCTATGGCACATCGAATTGAAACCCCTGCACTAGACTGGGGATTATACCCTCCAGATGGCCTATCATCTAATAATTTCAGCGCTGTATGGGAAGGAGAATTGAAATCCCCCGTTGACATCGATGTAGATGGCTGGATTGGGGCGGCGGTAGGACCCAACACGACGGTCAAACTCTTTATCGACGGAAGCTTGGTCACTTCGTATGGTGTAGACGGACTTCTACAGTCCAGTAATATCATGGGAAACATCATGAGCTATGATTATATCACAACAAACAGCACATTACCCCCAACCGGATCCGCTCCATTTACATTCAGGAAAGGGGCAACATACCACATCCGCATCGAATACCAAGCATTCAATCTCTACAAGAAAACTGCAAACGTCAATTCTCTCAATTCGCAACTCATACTCTTCTGGAACCTCGTCAGTCGGAACGGCAATGCAGTCGACCAAGCCGTGCAACTCGCAAGTTCCTCGGACGTGGTCATTTTGACGGTAGGGGCGGCCTGGAACAGTGACGGGGAAAACGGCGATCGAGGTACTCTTGGGCTTGTCCCAAGTCAAGACGTACTAGCGAAAGAAATTTTCAAGTTAGGGAAGCCTGTTGTCCTCATTCTTGAGGGCGGCCGACCCTTCGCGATCGAATATTATAACCAAAGCGCCGCGGTGCTAAGCGCTTTCTTCCCCGGCCAATCTGGCGGTCAAGCTATTGCGGATGCACTATTTGGTACGGTGAATCCCGGTGGCAGAATGCCTGTCACCGTCCCGAATAATGTCGGCCAGCTCCCCGTGTATTACAACTACAAGCCGACTTCTCACTTGGTGAAGTATTTAGACACGGAGTCATCGCCGGCTTATTGGTTCGGTTATGGACTGTCGTACAGTACATTTGAAATATCTGAGTTTGAAGCTTCGATAAATGGCATCAAGGCGACGGAATTCAACGCCGGAGATACGATTACGTTTTCAGCTAGAGTCAGAAACAATGGTACCGTAGATGGGAGTTATGTGGCGCAAGTATATGCCCTATCGCGCGTTTCATCCATCGTGCAGCCTGTCAAACAGCTTGTTGCCTTCCAGCGCGTAGACATATCGGCCGGAGAGGAAATTATCGTGTCGATGGGGTTGGATGCGAATAGGTATCTAACAATTCTTAACAGGAGAAACGAATGGGAGTTGGAAAAGGGGTCGTATACATTTGCGCTCTTGAACCATGGCGGCGACACAGATATAACGACAAACTTCACTTTGAATTGTGTCTAAAGTCGGGGGGAAAATAAGTAGACCTAAATGTAAAAATTCTTGATAAGCTAAAAGCTAATGGATATGCGTTACCTCTTTATTAATCCTATTATTTTTACCACCTATTGGAAGGTACCTTCCAGGTACGTATTTGGTGCGGTATTCATGGATGTTCTTCGTACTTGCCTCGAGAAGTTTTGGCGGTTGCCAATGAAGCTACCTAGGCTGCCGCCTAACCACCATAATCTAGGTAAGCCCTGGAGGTATCAACTGACTGCCCCTCCTGTTTTCAATCCAACATCACCATCATTATCGGCGTTTCCAACCATAAAGAAAAATCAGGTTTGAGGTAAGTCAATCGAAATAAACACCGACCACATCATCAAGGCTTTACTCACATATTACATAAGCATTAGTCTTGTCGCCTTGGGAATAATTCGTTTGTAGCTCAGCTCAGACACCTCTCTTCCAAAACAGCGATTTCATGAGAAAATATGTCAACACCCATGCAACTTGACTTGCCTCTTCGTCAGGCATCCAAGATGACAGGGAATAAGCGATCAAATGGGGACGTGGGCATGACTTCCACATCGACCATAGCCCCCTCTACAGAGGATTTCGCAAGGGATTTAATAACAGAGCGAGACGACTCTTCCATGGCCATTTCTTCCGATCTAAAAAACTTGCGAATCTCGAGTTCCCGAGAACGACCTCTGTTTCCCAGATACACAAAGGATCTAGAAATGTCTAGTGCTTCTAACACACACGTATCTAACCCCTCCGACGTTGGCGGTAGTAAGAGGAAATATACGTGGAACAGTATGGCGGAGATGATTAGTGCACATGTGGAGGAGCTGAAGGAGAGACCGCCTCTCGGCACGCCCAAGGAGGACGCTAAGCAGATTGGTAAAAGTGGCGGAGGATCTCAGCAGATATCGAACAGCAAGGGAAAGGAGAAGGCAAAGGGAGCCTTCATTTAGGAAGCTGATGAGATAAAAGGAAGAAAACGTCAATTTAGGTTCTCACGCTATAATAAGTTGTGAGAGGACGAAGTCTAATTAATCACTTTAATTGAAAAAGGGGTTAGAAAACAACTATTTTATTGCATCATAGGGTCCAATAACAGCCCTGGAGAACTTTAGACTCTCTAACGCGTTACAGCATAGCAGGTAACCCCCCTAACATTAGGGCAACATTAGGGTAACCCCTCCAAAGGAAGGACCCCCAGGGTAACACAACCACCCACTGCCCCGCTGTACCCACCAAGTGGAACGTCGTACTAACAACCCAATTTCTTTCAGGAAGGTTGATTCAGATTTCCTATTACCGTTTGCCGTTATTACCTAAAGGTAAGGCTCAGGCTAAAAGTCGCGCCTTTTAAATTACCTGTTTGTTCCTCCGCGTTTGGTGGGAACAATACTCCTACAAAAACAATGACTGAGATAACTTCGGTTTCATGTCCGCCTCTTCACCCCGTCCCCCGCTTGAAGCTTCCGATATAACATGTATCGCGCCGGAGCCGTTCGAACCCATACCCCTCATTGCCGACATCTTACGCACCGGATACTGTATTCCGGGCTCCGTGTTTTTGGTTGAGGGCGTTGATTCCCTTCATACCTCTAAGTCTCAGAGATGGCGCGCCGTGCGCTTGATGTTAGGAGATGGAGAGCTATGCATCCAAGCCCTGCTATCGGCTGAGATGCATAGGTATATTGATCAGGAAGAGGTCGCATTCGGATCTTATGTTAAGTTAGAACGGTTTCGAGTCGAATGGAAAAATGTTTCCAATGGAAATGGGGAGAATCCGTCCGTAGGAAAAGGAAAGGGGAAGGCACGCGATGACCTTAATCCAGGAGACAAGATGGTTTATCTGGTTGTCGAGGATCTCGCTCTAGTCGGGTGGAATAACTCCCTTGTCGACGCAACAGACGTTGAAAATACCGAAGTGCGCGTTGATTCTCCAGAGGAACCGCAAGAACCACAAGAAAAGCCCGAGGCTATACCTCAATCCTCCAATACTGTTAATCCATTGTTATCAAGCCGTGGCGCACTATCATTGGATAGCGGTATCGACATCCCCCAAGAAATCATCGACGTAGACGACGACTTCGAAGTGATACCCGATGCCGCAACCAAAGCATCTCATAATAGACAGGACCTCGCTACCCGCTCCAAGGACAAGCTGGATACCAGCTTCTTGCCTTGGTCGAGCAAGGACCCGAGCAGACCCCTGAAGCTCACAAAGCTGCGAACAATCCCCAACTTGCCGTACAAGCAGAATTGGAGCGTCAACGTGCTAGCTGTTGTCTCTGCCCTGTCTGATATCGAGCCCTCAGGTCTACCCCCCTATACCCAGCGTCAGGCTCGGCTCGCGGATCCTTCAACTGACAAGCATGTGCTGCTTACCGTGTTCTTGGACCCAGATCGGTTTGCGCCGAAGGTCGGGAGCGTGGTGTTGTTACTAGGTGTGAAGAACCATCGGTTCGATGGCGGTAGTTTGAAGAAGTACGTTAGCGACCGTCCGGCGGAGGGGTTTGGATGGTGGTACGAGAATCCGGCGCAGCTCGACTGGTGTGATGTTGAGGGATTGAAGAGGTGGTGGGATGAGAGTCAGTCGTCGTAATGATTCTCGAGCGACGATGCGCACGATATAATCCTATTGAACACAAGTTGTCAGCAATGCTTGGGATAATGACCATGTTCGTCCCGCGGCTTCATCGCACTTCAGTTCCACCTAGCAGCGTCTTGCTAGTACTACAATTTGGTCCGTTATACCACCTCCTTCGGATCCTATGAAAGTTGAGGATTGATGGTCACCTTCCACAGATTTTCATTTGCCTCCAGTCCATCATTTTGCTGCAAAAATTTCTCCGACACTTGTATTCATCGATCATTTCTGGTCCACGTGTAGTGAATTACTGTCGAGTCAAACGTATCACTGTGCACAGACAGCTTGTGAATGTGACTCACGACCACGCTGTTTGGAAGTTTTCGAGTTGCCCGAGGAGAGAAGTCTCTTCTAAAAAAATGATATATCGAATTTCAAGACAATCTAAGGTACTTTATTATATATCAAGGCCCCGTTCTCTTGCCCTCGTGTATTGATGGTTTTCCCAAACATACAGCTAATCTTGAGAATCTGTTGTCACTTCTCGATAATTTGCTATTGAATATGACCTCCTCAACTCCAACTAATCACTATCAACATGATAAATCAACCCGAGAGAAAGAGGCGAATAAACCCTTAGGCCCTTCCACCCCAGAACCTAACATAGCGAGACTCTGTACCAACTGCTCCAGAGCTATGTTTTATGATGATCGCGATGGTTTTAAAGAAAGACTAGTCGACAACGAGCCATCACGTCTTCTATTTCCTATCGGGAACTATCACGGTGGTTATCAGAAAATTTGGACAGATACCATGCCTAGTCTTCCGCAGATTGAGAAATCTGCTCTCCGAGGTTGCGACTTTTGTGTATTCCTACATAACAGCATATTATCTCGCGATACAGATAATATGCTAGTTCATTGTATCGGAAAGAAACTAACAGAACTGGACACACGTAGCGCATCAATATCAGTCGCATACTGCTGGTCAAGCGAATCCCCAGATATATATCGCGATATACATTGCAAAGATCTTATAGAGAAGGGAGCATGTTCTAGGCAGGATATTTCTTCAACCCATGATAATTTAAACGAAGAATACTCCCCTAATGAGGACGAAGATAATGGAAATATGCTCGACGAAGGGAACTCCTCGGACGAAGAACACGACCTACTTGAAACAGATTCAAAGATGAAGGAAGACGGCCAACTGGAGGGACTCATTGTCCGACTAGACGTTCAGGCAACTGATAAATATATACCGCCAATTTATCTCTGTTGCTATGCTACACAGACTCCGGGCTCCGATGCTACTGGCAACTGGCTTGGTTTAGCTCTACCGTCAAGTCAGAATTACTCGGAGCCGCATCGAGTAGATTGGATGAGACGAGCTCTTCAAAAGTGCGAAACACACAGCCATAAACTTACCGATGACAATTTTATTCCAGAACGCCTCATTGATGTACAATCTCCAAGACCCAGATTGGTTCTTCGTAGAAAATATCAGACATTGCATAGCATCTCCCCTGTCCCGGCATACGCCGCCCTAAGTTACTGCTGGGGCCCTCCAGAGGACGCTAGATCGCAACTAACTACCACAAACGAAACTTTTGAGATGAGGCAAAAAGGGATAGAGGATCATGAGATGACACAAGTCCTTAAAGATGCTATTTTTACGACACGAGCACTAGGAATTCGTTACCTATGGGTCGACGCACTCTGTATCAAACAAGGGGACACTGATGACTGGGTTCGGCAATCAGTGGATATGTCAAAGATCTATGGGAACGCGAAAGTCACCCTTTGCGCTGCATCCTCTATGTCTTGCCAAGAAAGCTTTCTACGCCAGAGAGGTAGTCGGATCCGCATGCCCTTTCACTCCACTCTCCGGCCGGGTATAACAGGTTCATTTGACATACAATTCAAGTATGTCCGAAGAGATACCTATACCCCGAGACTATTCTCTCATCGCGGAGTGAGCGTTTTCGACCTTGATCTATCCTTCGCAAACTGGGCGGGCCGTGGCTGGGTATTCCAGGAGAGGTTTTGCTCTAGGTCTAAACTTATATTCGGGAACTCCTTCATACATTTTCTATGCGACACCGAAACACATAAGATGGGCAAGTCATTGATAGATGGCCCTTGGGTTGTCAGTCTATCTACTATCATCAATGGAAACCCCAATGAGCTCTACAGCGCCTGGCGTTACAGGGTATTACGACGATATGCACGGTTCAACATTCACTCCTTTTCAAACCACACGGATCTGCTACCTGCTTTATCGGGTCTAGCACAATGTTTCCATCAGCGACTACAAGATGATTTTCTAGCTGGATTCTGGAAAAGGGATCTCTTACGGAGCCTTCTATGGTTCGTACGCTACAGTGACGGTGGTTACCCCCCTCACGAAACTGAGTTTTTGCCATCCCACGATTCCTATATTGTTCCATCGTGGAGCATACTCGGTCGTGGCTACTCGCAAGGAAATTGGGAGTATGATTGGCGTCTAGAAAGCATCCGACCCGCGACGCAACTACTACATGCAATCACAGACCTAAAGAGTGGAAATCCTTTCGGAGCCATCACAGGTGGTAAACTTACTATCAGAGGTAGGGTCCTCGATTTCGCATGTCTGGACAAGGATGCTATCTCTGTCACTCATGAAGGTTGCGTCGAGACATACTATCCCTACCAATTACTATACAATATAGAAGTCGTCGGACGTTTCACCCTAGACTTTCGATATACGAAGCTCATCCAGGATAGAGATTGCTGCGGCAAAACTGAGAGCGAAGCGATTCTCGAGCACATCGGATCGTTAAAGTGGGTCCTTCTCGGGAGGGGTTGCTGGGAACACGGATTAGGAGACGGAGCATTCGGCCTCATTCTACGTCAAGTGCCCAATTCGAAGGGGTTATTTCAGAGGGTGGGTGTGTTTAGTCCTCCGTGGGCGCTTTCGATACCGTACGGCCTCTCGATGTTTAAGATATTAGGGAAGACGCAAACTGTAGTTGTCATCTAGGAGCAATGTCAAATAGCCGCATTACTTTCACCTACAACTTCTAACCCCTTTTTGCCTTATACTATACGTTGTATACTAAAATTTACAGCTCAAATACTCGTATCGCACAACTTCTTCCCCCACGTGTCTATTAAACGGAACTAGATGTCTTGGTATCCAATTCAGCTACTTCTTTTAGATACCTCACTAACGTAGCATGCGCACACACATCCAGCCTCACGCCTCCATCCGCTAATCTCTAATACATAATTAGCGGAGACTAACCGCGCCGAGGTACCGAGCACAGTTCCTATATGTCCTATATTCTTGCTTTCAATTAGTTCTGTTTCTGTGATAGGCATATTTCGATTTAATAAAATCAATTGTAAATACCGCTTCATACAAGACAGCCAATCTCATACAGGCAAATCTTAGCATAGGAGGTCCCCGTGCTGGGAACACACATCCCGAGCTCCAAGCTCGTTAATTAGTTAAAAAAAGTCGCCTTAACCACCTTAAATAACGTTAAACCTTTTTAACACTTCCCTAACTTTAATTATTAAAGTTTTTTATTAGATGCATTTTTTAATACTTACTTTATTAATTAAGTACATTTTTTTTTTAATAAGTTTTATATTTTTTTTATGTTTAATAAAGTTAAGTAATTTTTTTATTATTTTAAAGTTTTAATTATTTAAGTTCGAATTATACGTATTATTTTTTAAAAAGTTTTAATTTTTTAATTAAATAAATTATTTACTTTTTTTTATATCGTAATTTTATAATTATATTTAATTTCGATAATTTTTTTATTTATTTTTTTATTTAAAATAATAAACTTAATAACATTTAATGTTTAAAATTAATTAATAATAATAATTTTAATCCGTTTAAATTTATTACTTTTAATAATTATATATATGTTATTATAAAATTTGCTTTTTTTTTTAATATTTATTTTAATATAAAATTTAAGTACGTTTTTTTTAATATTTAATTTTACGTTTTATATTTTATAATAACGAAAATTAACGTTAATATTAAGCCGTAATAATTAAAATGTTTTATTTTTATTACGTTTATATTTTTTAAAAAAAAAAGAAAAATTCTTTTTAATAATTTAAAAAAATTAATGTTTTTTATAGTTTTAAATAATATTAATACGGTTTTTAATAATTTTAAAATTAAATAAATATTATCATTTATTTTATAAATAAATAAATTTAAGTTTAATATAAAACTTTTTATAATATATTCGATTTTATTTATAATTTTTAATATTTATTATTTATTTTTTATTACCGTTATTAACATTTTTTTAATAAATATAAAATATATAAATATTTTTATAAATAAATTATTTATAATTTTAAAAGTTTTTTTTAAATTATTTAATCGATTTATTATAAGTTTTAACGTGTATTTTAAAAAAAAAATAAAAACGTTTTATTTATAATTATTAATGAAATTTATTATCGTTTAAAAGTTTATTATATATTTTATTAAATTTAATGGTATAATTATTTTAATTTATTAATTAAATTTTATTTCGTTTTATTTCGTTAATTTATTATTTAATTTTATCGTATTATTTATTATTTATTTACTTTATTTAAAACGATAAAATATAATTATAAATTTTAAGTTCGTAATTTTTATTTATTTAATTAAAATTATTATTAATATAAAGTTTTATTAAAATTAATATTTTAAATAATGTTATTTATTTTTAAGTTTAAATTTTATTTTTATTTTATTAAATATTTTTTTTAAAATTAATATACTTAAATATATAAAAAGTTATTTTTAAATAAACTTAAATTAATAAAAGTTATCGTATAAAATTACGATTAATATATTTTTAAAATTTTTATTATAATAATTTTTAATATCTTTAAATTATTTATTAATTTTTTATAAATTTTTTTTTAATATTATATTATATTTGTTAATAATTAAAATATTTATATTTTTTTATATTATTACTTTTTTTAATATAAGCTTTTTACTTTTTCTAAAAAATAACTTAATAATAAAATAAATCGTCGTTTTATTTATATATGTTTTTACATTCCTTAATATTATTATTATTTAAATTTTTTTTCGTAATTTTTTAACTTTTAAAACATATAATAATATTTTAATTATTACATTTTTTCCCGTTTTTTTTTTCCTTTTAAATAATATAATAATTATATAAATATAATATATAATTAATTTAAATCTTATTTTTTAAAGTTATTTATTTTATTTAAATAATTTATAATAATTTTTAAAAATACGGTTTATTTTTTGTTTAATTTTTTATTTTTTATTATAATTTTTACCGCGTTCATTTAAATTTCACTTAAATAATATTTAATTATTAATTTTATTAATATGTTTTAATATATTATAAACGAAATTAAAAGTATTATTTAACGTTAAATTATTATAAATTTATTTTCGTTTATTTTTAAGTCGTTATAATTATTCGTATTTAAATTTTATTAATATTATTAAATTAATTTATTCTTATTATTTATTTTACTTATTATTTATTATTATTTATTTTTATTTAATAAGTTTAACGCGTTTTTTTATTTTTTCGTATTTTTAAATAAAGTTATTTTAATTTTATTTTAATGTTTATTTATATTAAATATTCTTTTATTTATATTATTTATTATTTTATAATAAATATATAATTTTAAACTTAAAAAGAAGTTTTTTAATTTTATAACTTTTTTTATTTAAATATATTAAATAAAATATTATATATTACGTTTAAATAATGGTGCGTTTTTTTTATAGTTTTATTTAAGCATTAGAAAATGTTATATAAAAATACGTGGAATTATTTTAAGTTTTCCATTTTTTTTTTACGTTTTTTTTCGTTATTTTCTCCGTTTAATTCTTTTTTATTTATTTTATTATTTCCTAAATTCGTATATATATTTTTATTTAATCGTGTTTTTTAATTTTTCCGATTTTATATTACGTTTTTTTTTAATTTACGTAATAAATTAAAATTCTTATTAATAAATTTTAATTAATTAAATAATTATTTATTATGTTTTTTTTAAAATTAATTTAACATTTTATTTTTTTTATTAAAAAACTTTTCTTAAAAAATAAATAAACTTAATTTAATTATAATAATTCGTTTATATATTTTTATTTTAATAAAATTTAAAAAATAATTTTTTATTAATAAAAATATTAAAACATTAATTTTTTTAAATATATATTAATAATATTTACTTTTTTATAAATTACCGTTAAAATAAATATACCGCTTAATTCATTTTTTTTAATTTTATTATAATGTAAACTATTAATATATAATTTTAATAATATATGTATTTTAATATTTTTTTTAATGTAAATAAATATTTATTTAACTTAATTTTATAATGATTTTTAGTTTAATATTAACTTTTTTTTCGATATTAAGTTTTATATTTCCATATAAATTAATATTAATTAATTTTTTTAAATATAATTATTTTTATTATATTATTTAATATATTATATTATATAAAACTTATACCCATTTATTTTTTAAATTATAACATATATCGTATTTTAAAATATAATTATAAACTTTTACCGATAAAATTTCTCGATTTAAAAATATACGATTAAAAATTTTAATTATTAAACTTTAAATAATATTTACTTTATTTTTTAAATTCACGTAAATATTTATTTTTTTTATATTTTTAATATATATTATTATTAAAATATATCTTTAATTTATAAGCGTATAATTTTTCATTACGTAATTTATTATATAATAAATAAAAACTAATATTTTTATTTTAATAAAAATAAAAGTAAAATTATAATTATATTTTAAAATATATATTAATATTTTATTAAATCGATTATAGTTTTTTAATTTTCGTTTAATTTTTAAAACTTTATTTTACGTTATATAAATCGTTTTAATTAAAACTTATAACTAATTAAATTAATATTTTACATTTAAATCGTTTTATTTTTTTTCGTCGTTATATTTTTAATATATCGTTATATATTAATAATATTATAAAATAATAATTATAAATTATACTTTATTTTTTTACTTTTTTTTAAGGGTTTTTATATCGTTTTATAATATTTTAAATAATTATTTTTTATTTTTATATTTTAATTTTTTTCTTAAAATAAATTTATTAAAATTTTTTTAAAAATATTTATCCATTTATATTAAAAATTTTATTATACTTATAGCATTTTAAAATTCGCTTATTTTTATTATAAAATTTTTAATATTAATATTTTTATAATATTATAAAAATTCGTATAAATAAAAAGTTTTTTTTATATTCGTTTTAATTACTTTAAAATATATATTAATAAATTTAAACGCGTTATTTATTATTTTTATTTTTATTATTTTTTAAAAAAAAACTTTTATATATTTATAAAATTATTATATAAAACTTATTAAATTTTAATTAATTTTTTTAAGTAATAATTTTTATTTATCGGTTAATAATTTAATAAAAACTTTTTTAATTTTTTTATAATATTTTAAACTTTTAAATTTTTTTTTTATTTAAATTTTAATTAATAATAATAAATCGTTTAAATTAATTATAAATTAAATTATTAATATTTCGTTTTTAATAATTAAACTTTTAATTTTATTTCGTTATTTTATTTTTTTTTTATTATTTAATAATTATTATTATTTATATATAAATATTTTTTTAATTAATTTTTTTATTCGTTAATTTATAATAAGTTTTTTTTATTTAAATTATTTTTTTATTTTAAAAAGTTTTTTTTTTATTATAAACTTTATAATATTATATATATTTTTAAATAAAGTTTTTTTCGTTTAAGTTTTATTAATTTTAACGTTATTATTTTTAATAATTTTATTAAAAATTAAAAATGAAAATATAAAATATATTAATATTTTTATCTCGTAATATTATAATAAAATAAAAACTTATTTATATATAAATTAAAATTTTATTTATTTTAACGTAACGAAATGTAACTTATTTTTTTAAATTAAAATTTTTCTTTTTATGTGTTTTTATTTTATATTTTTAATTATTATTTAAAATT